AGTTTGGCCCAGCATTGCTACTTGTATAGGGTGGAAGCCGTAGATGGAAGAGAAACTGCATAGCAAACCCTGCCCTTCTGAAGCTGCTGCACGACAGTGCCTCCCGAATGTACGGACACAACTTTCCCCCCTCCTTTCACCCAAAAGGCATCAAAAAGCTTGGCATGCAATTACCCCCCCCAAACCCCAATCTTGTTCTCTCTATGGATTCGAGAAGCCATCCAGGCTTCGAAAAGTGCGTGCCTCTCTCCTCTTGTCATATTTCGATGTGTTACTTTCTGTGCTTTGGGCAGTATCTTTAGTGGTCGCCTTCGTCTCGCCATATACGCATGATTCCTTTTCATCGCATGATACTTCTGCTCCTCGTTTTATAGAATTGTCCTTTCCTCCTTGTTTGTTCCTTCTCATATCACCTCCCAAACACTATGATGAAATAAACGCCTGGGCCGTGTCCTTTTCCAATCATCTCTGCCCATTGCCCAGTGGGCTTCTGCTAGTATACCTTGTCTTCATCTGTAGATTCTGTGACGTCCGTTGTTTCTAGCTGTTTTTTGCTGTCTTCAACCAAGTACCACGTCGTAGAGGATATAGGCATCCTGGAGTAGATACAATTTGGTTTCCAGTTTTCTCTGCGAAATCTGGGTCGTGCTTTCCCGGCCCCATAGACAGGAAAATGTTGTGTGCTCGCATATTGGGACAAAACTCCGAAGGGGCTGCGCGCAGTGGATTGAAAAAGGCTGACAACGTGCAAGCGGCGGGTAGGCTGGAAATTGTTTTCTCAACGCCACCTGAGAGTGGGGGTCCGTTACTGTAGCAGTGGGGCGTTTTGGGCTGGAACCCTCACAAACGGCGGGATTCATAGTTCTGCCTGCCATCTGCCGCCCACAGAAAAGAAGCAGAAAGAAACAGAAAATACGCAAAATGAAGGGACGACAGCAGACATTGTAATCCTTGTGCTAACACATTAATGATTTGCCGAAAAAGATTTCGTGGAACGCAAAAGTGTTTGTAACCTACAACAAGCTGCGCATGCATGCGCAAATCGTAACCCTGTAGCCTTGTTTATGTGGAACGTTGCTTTTTCTGTGCCCGCTCAGGAAATCCGCCGAGGCCGGAGGCCTGAGGCGTTTAGATCCAAGGCTAGGGAACCACTAAGAAGTGTCCCAACCCCCTACCCCGGCGGCGCGATCCACCGGATTTGGGCCCAAGTAAAGGGGGCGGATGCGAGAATCAGCATTTTCGAACCCCCCCCCCCCCCCCCCCCCCCCCCCCCCCCCCCCCCCCCAGCCCCACCCCGCCCCCTCCCCCAAATCTGAGAGTCTGAGCCCGAAGCGCAAGCCCTAAGCCCAAAACCCGAAGCCCTCATAACTAAGCAAGCCCTAAGCCCTAAGCCCTAAGCCCTAAGCCCTAAGCCCTAAGCCATCATAACTAAGCAAGCCCTAGCCCTAAGCCCTAAGCCCTAAGCCCTAAGACCTAAGCCCAAAACCCGAAGAGCCCGGAGCCCGAAAGCCCGGAAGCCCTAAGCCCTCACACCCCCCCCCCCACCGCGCGAAGCCAAATCTCGGAGCCCCCCCAAAGCTTTCAACTTTACACCTCAAACCTTCCTCGGTACCCTTGCCGAGGCGGCCTCGCGTTAGCGATACAATTATTGTGCATTCAGGGTCGCGCTGCTCAACTTGTGATACAGGCGATGACGAAGCACCAGTTGTTCCTTAACTTGCTCAAACGTTCCGCTATTGGTAATTGTCTCCATGGTTAAATTCCGTATATTACCTTATCATGGTATATCTATACTCTATACAGGAAACCTTTTGCATAGACCAGCACACTTGGGTTTGCAGCCCCTAGCTCTTACCCCTTCTTGTGCCTCTATAAGGCTCACCCCTCAAACGTCCCTTGTGGGCGGGCCTTAAGTGACTTCACGGGATTCCAGCTCTTGCGAAAAGATGCATGTGTTGTGCATGTCCAGTGCCTTGAAGCCAGCTTTGGCTTGCGCAACTTGCATCTCTGGAACCTGAACAATAGAAATCGAAAAACCGGATGGCTGAAGTACTACAGTCCTCGTGCAGCAAAGCACAACAGTGATTCCTGCCAAGGCACTTGGTTCACTGCCTTAGGCGGCACCGGAGTCGGCGCTGACTCTTTTGGCGGCACCTCCAATCACGGATACGCGGCAAAATGCTCCATGGTAGCACGTAACTGCGGTGCGCCACGCAAGCCATCAGCCAGCTCAATGCAACGACGTCAGCCCTACGCAGAACCGACTGATCTGGCAGGAGCAGCAGCTGCCAAGTTGGCCACTGAGCACTGATGGAATCTTCTCGCTCCAAAAGGCCATGCTCTTAGATGTTAAGCTGTCCATCTATTGTCTTAGAGTGAACAGCCATGTTGCGTGCACATCTGACCAAGCACGCCACTCCTCAATCTGTCTGGGCTTCTTACCGGAGAAGGCGCTTGGCTGACTGCCTTCGGTGGCACCTGGGTTGCTGCGTCCGACAAGCGAAAGAAGACTTGACTTGAGCAAAGAGATTACAAAAAGAGCACCAGCCAAAGGCAACATCTTTTAAAACCCTCTGTCTCGTGCCTGGCTGACCGCCTTGGAGGGTGGAGGCGCCTGTCACGCGTGTGCGCCAATGGGGTCGCAAGCCCAGAATCGCCCCTAGCTTCATCTCGAACTCTTCTGAGAAACCGTAGACTTGGACTCCGCCGTTCGCCAGCAACCTTTGCAGACCTTTGCACTAAGTCAACCCCAAACTATGTGGGCTAAAAGGTCACAGTGGAGAGAGCAATACCTTCAAGAATTCGAGGCAGCTGCCTATTGACAAAAGACTGCAATCCTTAACAAGCCTGTTAAAGTCACAAGAGAGCGTGTCAAGGAGCTTGTGCCGAAGACGTTGAACAAGAATGAGACTTCTCGATTGAACCATCAAGCCCCAAGCCCCCCAAATTCCCGAAGCGGAGAATATCGGAGAATGGGAACTCCTTGCGCCAATTCCGAAGACTTGCAGTTTGATAGTCGTGCTATCCCCCGAAAACGCAAAGGAGCTGCGGATGACGGATCGGTCTCTGACAAAGCTGGACCTAGCAACAGCATTCAGAAAATGCCAGCAAGGCTGCGCTCGCCTTGAAGCTGGCCGTGGCCAGGGAATCTGGCACCTCAAGGCTTGAAGGCAACATCATCAGAGATTTCCTTTGGAGGAAACTTGCAGCCCATGGCATCAAATCAGTGGATCCCCAAAGCCCTGGAACCTATGAATTCCCACTCTCCACAACCTCGTTCTATTCCAGAACTTCCGAGGCCCCAGGCGATCTCCTCACCAGCCATGATGCCGCGGCTACACGGTTGCAAAGCTCTGGCTACTCATCAACTCAATCGGTTAACTAGTCGGATCTTGAAGGTGTGCTGAGATGTGCCCCATGCTGTACATCGACATCTCTCTGCAGACTGCCAGGCCCCATGTGCCCGTTCTCCATTCCGACGAGAGTGGTACCGGTATGGCTTGGCATTCTGAGCGGAGAACTGTTCTGTTGCTTTCGGTAGACCAATGATGGCTGCATAAATGCGTGTTTTGTTGGCGTTCAAAGTCATGTCGGCTATCTATCAGCTGAGGCAGAGAACACAGCATGAACAATCATGAGCACAACATGCAACTGCATGACCGCAGCGAATTACAGATAGGCTTGGCCACACCACCTGAAGCAACAAAACAGAGCACGGCAGCCTTGTTCTTACACGCTCAGCATGGATTTCATCAGCCAGCGCTTGCCGGTGAGGGAAACGTGGAACCGACATGCATGCACCCGAAGTGCAAAGCTTGAGCTCTTGTCCGTGTGAGCAAGAGCACGACAACTTTAACTGGACGCGAAGTTTTCGCCCAGAAACCGAGCTAACATGAGAACTCAGTGGATTCGCTTTTTCATCGACCATAGGAAGGTGAGGCCCTGTTCGACACGAAATGCAGATGCATGAACAAAGACAAAGCATCCATACGGTGAAAGCACACGAATCACGCCGTCAAGCCTTGTCGTATTACACAATTTACGGTCTCGTTTCCCGGACCTATTCCGTCTGGCAGATGGCGAACGCGAGGAGCTTCGCGGTCTCCTCCTCCTCATGAATCAGCGGGGGCGAAAGACGCTACGGCGATCAAACAGCGAGCAGCGGACTTCAACAGCCTCCCTGAAGCATAAAAGCAATCTTGTCCTGGAAGGACTGCGCCGGCGGCTGCGGCTTCGACTGCGCCTGCAGCGATGTGCGCGCCGACTTTCAATGCAGGAACAAACTTTTCATAATCAAATTCAGGCGATACATGTACTGCGGCATGCTGCAACTACGTTCAAACAGATGTTGCAAGCCAATCCATGCGGTGAAGGCACCGAAGCCTTGATACTTCAAGGCGGGTCGAGCTCCCGGCGTAGCTAAGGGAACATGTCATCACTGTCACTAAAGGCAGCCTTCTTGGAGGAGGGCGACGGGGGCTCCTGCTTCGCCTTGCAAACAAAGCGAACGACAGAAGGATCTTCCAGTCTATGCCTCTGAACACTTCGCGACAATGCAATCATGCGCAATGAACACTGCACGATATCCTCATATAGAGCCCTTTCATTCCATCCCTTTCCCAAGAATGCTGAATCCGCTACGCATCCTTAAAGCTTTTTCTGGATTCTGTCCTTGGGCCACGTGTAGCAGGCTGCGCACCGCTGCCTGATACAGGCATGCGGCATATGCACATTGCGACCTGAGACTTGGAGAGGGTACATCTAGGTACCCCACCCAAGCAGGCCCAGAGTGAACCGAATTCCGCAAGTCTTGTCCACAGGTATGGCCTCCACCTTTCCCCATAGAGAGCTGGATGTTGAGGTTTTTGCCCTGAGCACAAATCGCATGTAGGGACCGAACACATTTGCCACTGCGGATTCAAGCTGGTAGTACTTAGTGCCTCAGAAAATGCGGCTCCAAGTTGCCTGAAATTTCACACCATCCATCTCCTCTATGGCTTTCAAAGCCTCGGTACCCACAACGCTGCTCCACACTCATGACTGGAATGTCGTGACATCGTCCATTTCTCATGAGGACTCCCCAAAGAACGCCCAAGCAAACTCAACACCAAAGGCCCTGGCATCCTTGTAGGTGTCATAAGTGACAAAAGCAAATCCTGGCGTCACGGGCTTCCAGCTCTTGAGCGCGTTTGGGGAGAAAGGCTGCTGGCCTGCTGGCTGTCTGGAGACCCACACGTCCACAATGTCTCCGTATTTCTTGAACTTTCTTGCCAGTTCCTGGCAAGATCTGGCGGATCCGTGTCCCAGCTATCCCAGCTTGAACACGCACCTTCGTCTCTCTCATGCATCCGATGCAACTACGGATTGCTCCTCCTTCTCTGGAGGGACGTCCTTGTCCAAATTGCCAACATATATCCTGCATGACACCAATCGGTTGCTATTCTGTTCACGAAAATGGGGTGCCAAAGTCACCTGAATCTGTTCTGGATTCAGCGCGAACAATGAACAAAGCTGTCCTCGTTGGCATTTCTGCGGCGGGCGAGCACGCTCACTTCTTTGAAAAACTAGCTGGTTCTTGCTTACCCTGATCATTTCCCAAGGCTGAATCTACCAAGCACCGGTCCCCTGCCACCATCTGGCGTGTCGGCATGATGCGGCCATGACTGGTGAAAATTGAACTTGCTGCTTCTGGTACCTTCCGAACAGCATGACACTTCCGGCAATGAGCTGACTAGCACTTCAGAACGCCTGTTACAGCCAATGGCAGCAGCGAAACTGCAGCGCACCATGATGCACCATGCACACAATCTTTCAAGGCTCCCCGAATGAACATGACAATCATCCAAATTGTTAAGCCTTGATGCCTTGGGCCTTGCACAGCGTGTCAGACATCAAAACCTCCTTACGGCAGTCGTGGAAGTTTGCAAAGATCAAAAAACATCACGTCACTCCTGCCAGCGTTGCAACGTTTGCCATGGAGCCTATCGACAAACGAAGCCACGAAGCACAAATGCAAATCAAAAGGCCCATGACTTGAGTTCGGGTTGTTTGTAATGGTGCTGCACCATGCATTGCGCAAAACCACGCGCCACCTCAGCACCATCACTTCCGAGCAATCACAGATAACAACATACCATGGCTTCATGCGTCAGAGTATTTGGCGTTAGCAACTCTAGTCGATAGTTGGGTTTGCCGTGCCCCACGTGTTTTTTCAAAGCGCTAAGCATTGACAATCGTCTGGCTTCACACACGTGTATCACTGGAAACAAGGGTTAAAAACTTGCTCAGCGGTGAGATGCCATGAAAACTCACAAGTGGCAGGAGTCAAGACCTCGACCAAAACAAGCAGTTGCAACTGCACAGTGTTGGAACTTTTGCCAAGAAGGCTGAGCGATCAGCCACCATTCAATGAGCAATTGGAAATAAGTAGAGTCTGGGCTGGCGGCTGGTTTTGTGAGGATCCTGCTGCGATGTCAGGAACCAGCACCCTCAAAGCTGCAACTACCCGTGCTTTCCATGTTTGAGCTATCTCGCAAACCCGCTGTGCTCTCAAACCTGATTGTTGAACATCGCGACTCTAAGAGCTGAACTCGAGGAACCACCAGTAAATTCAAACAGCAAGTGACACATTTTCGGCGTGTACACAACAAAACTTACATGGGACCTTTGCCCAAAGCTACACAGCCGTGCAGTCACTCGAAACAAACTGGAACATCTTGGGAGTCAACTCCCTGGTCAATTCACAACTGCCTCGCAAGTCGAAAGCGAGTTGCATGAACTAAAACTAAGACGTCTGGCGCGATGGCAGCAAAGGCCAGCTAGGGCGGCTGAAAGTGCTCGGCCGACCGGTCGCTGTGCTCGTGCGGCTGGCCTGCATGTGGAAAAGCTTTTGGTCTATCGTAACCGATTAAGTGGCCGACCCGCCCCCCCCCCCTCCGCGGCAGATTTTGTTGAACCTCCTCCCGCCGACCCAAACCTGCCGCCAAGTGACTGCGCGGCTGCTTCGGGCCAGCGAGGAACGAGCGCGGCGGTCGAGATTGGAGGCGTGGAGGTCGGAAATCAGGCTGTCGAAGGCGCCACGCCTTCAGCATGCAACATGTGAAAACACGAGAGTCGCAGAAGGATGCAGAAGGATTCGGATTTTGCGCTCGTCATTCTGCATCATCTGCATCCGGGAGGCGGTGCCATTCCGCGCTGCTGCCAAACACCCATTGCCACGCAAACCAGGTTTGCTATGGCATAGGACCCCATGATGACCTGGGAAAAAACGCAACATGGATTGCAATCTTGATACCAACTATGCAAAGTCGGCCAAGTCACTGTGATGGACGTTCCAGCTGGCCAGAGTGTGGCCTCAAAGTTGCGAGATGTTGCGAGCAGCATGCTGCGAGTAGGGTCCCCCAGAATTGTCCTACGATTTTAAGCTGCTGTCGCCAGGCGGCAAGCAAGCTTCCTGCAGATCCCCAGGCATACAATACACTGTGGGCAGTCGAGCGGACATGCGTCGGAAAAGCAGCTGGAGTCAAGACCCACCTTAACAGCAACATCACGGATTGAGACCTTATAAATTTCTTCGAGCACAAGCATAACCCAAGACTTGCACAGGGACAGACAAGGCACGTCACAGCAACTCCTCCCATAGACCCGGCACGTACCACGAATGCCAGGATCGCAATGAGGGCAGGTGGTGTGCTGGCCAATTTCGCCACCAACACGCCAGCACAGCCCAGACCGCTCACCAAATAACACCACGGCTGAAGCGTTGCGGCACTGAGTCGCCACGAGGCCAAGAGCACAACTGTCGTGCCAACGATTTCGCCAGAACTCGTGAAAAGTACTTCGGTGTAGTCCATCGCCCCACCAGATGCAAAAAGGAAGCCGCTTGCCATCGAAGCGCCATAGTAACCAAAGAGGCCCAGGCTCCAAATGGCACCTCTGCTGTCTGGCAAGTGAAGCAAAAAAAGGCCCACAAACCCCTCCTACATTGCTACAAGTAGCTGCTACTGCTTGTATCTCTCAGCCTTCCGCACAAGCATGGCAGGTCACGGATCAACTGAGATGGAAGTCTTCCAAGGAGCTGAGTGAGACCAGCTGCCGTCGGAGTGATGGCGCCTGTAGTCTGGTTGATGTTCGCGCCTAACCCTTTAGGTGGCTCGGGGTGAAACTCTGGCACTGGTTCATGCAGCCTTCAGTATCTTCAGTCGGGAGTGACTCGCTTTTGATGTTGGAGGTTTTTCCAAGACCTGGAGGCAAAAGAAAACCCCAAACCGGGGTGGGCTCGGCCACCGAATGGTTCTTAGCCCTAAGTCTCCACCTACAATAGCTCCGCCCGGCAGTGAACCTCCGGCATCTTGGAAAGTCTCCAGGCCAGACATGTGTGATTTCCTGTTTGCTAAGTTTGAGATCCCCAGCCTGCCAGGCTGAATTTTCTGCCCAATGCTACAACGGTCCAGATTTATGCTGGATTCTATGCCGGGCAGGTTTCTCGGCGGTCACCACTCACTCTGCCCTCGCTCGCGACGGGACGATCCATCCCGAAATGCGACCCTCTTGATCTCAGCTTTGCTTGTTGGTGCGCCCGTACACGACAGAACAAGGCATTTGCCAACCTATACTAGAGGCTTCAAATCCGGCGCTCATGCTGACAAAGGCGCGAGCAGCTCTTTGCAGGATAAGTCTGCTTCACGCGTGTATGAAACCAGCGCAATGTTGCCAAGCTCCTGCCAGTCAAGATGTAGTCAAGGTGTTTAGCAGATTTTGTGTTTCGACCACGCAGCTGTCCTTTCTACAACGTTCGGCACGGGTTGTCACGTGTCAGACATATGGCCATATCTGACTTGCTCTGAGCTTGAGCTCCAAGAAACACAAGCGGGCGGCTACTAAACTTTGGCATCAGCATGTTCTGCGACTCCTGCTTGTTGACTGCGGCAATGCGCTGCAGTGTCGCCAGGGCATCCTCATCGCAACCACGGTCCAAAAGCCACATGGGGCTCTCCTGAAGGAGCTTCGAACGTCGAAAGCGGGCAATGGATCATTGGAAGAGCCCGTCGGTCCTCTACTTTCCCTTTGAGGGAAGTAGGCAGCACATGTACTGCGTACGGGGGACATCCGAAAACAAGTTTCGAAACAATGGGCATGATGTCAAAAAAGTCGGAATATAACACATGTTCAACAAACAACTGGCGAACATCAAAAACAACGGTGACATCGACAACCTTGTGAGAACATGCTCCGGGAACAAACGAGGCAGATGAGATCAGAAAGCGGACGGCCGGTCAACCACCCAAACAACTGAATTCCCCTTTCGTTCACCCGAGCATGCCTGAACCCTTTTTGCATCTGGAGGGGATGCCGGAAGAAGCGGCATGCACGACTTGATCAGCTCTACTTGGTGACACGCCCACAAGCGCTGCGCATTCCAAGCATGACCGCCACGAGATTATGAAGATCATGGTGATGTTATCGTTCGAAAACATGCAAATGCACCCTCAACAGATCGCCGGTCAACAATATGTGAACACAAGGCGTTTCACGAAGCATTCGACAATGGGCAATGGCGGAAATGTCATTGTGGATGTCATGCCTGCACCCTAGACCCTCGACATCCCTGGACTCTTGAGCGCATCAACACAAGCAATTGAAGCCTATAAATGTGCAAAAGTTCCAGTAGCAGCCGTCGCTGAGAACACCCAACGCCTGCTTGCAGTACTACAGCCAAATCATGCTGGCCTCGAGGTAGATGTATCCACAGCAGGCCAGAAGGATGGGCAAAGCACTCAGCAGTAAGTATATCCTTGGACGTAGGCGATCGAATCTCCAGCAATCCTGCCCAGTTCAGTGCCAATTTGAGCCAAAAATCCGCCAGCCGCACGTTTCCATGACACTCGCTGCCAGGGCATTCGTGTAGAGCGTGCCCAACCTTAGCTGTTTCCAAACGTCCCCAATCAGTCGATCGGCACACCAATCTCGAACAACGCATTTGATTGAGGAAAGCATCGTCCACGCATATTCAATCGCATAGCACATCGTGCTCCTGAGCTGCCAGTTTGCGGCTTGCCTGCATGCTGTAATTTCAACCGTTCAGCCTTCTCAACACGCTTGGGAGAGTAGCGTGACGGTCAGGCGTATGACGCGACATGTCGGAAAATCTGGCCCTCAAGCGGTTGGCAGGAGTGCTTGCCTGCAGCTGAATGCAGGGCTAGCTGCGAATACTTCTCCGGAACACTCTCCTTGGTAGAGCCCCATAATCTGCTCGAATTTGTACGCAGACAATCTGATTCGCCATTCATCCGATGAATCTGCTGTTGCACATTTCCCCTGCGGCATCACGTTGCATCGTAATCCCTGCCGCTGCTGATTTCGCTGCCATCTTTTCAGCTGAGTTGGCATTCGTGCAGCTGCGAGTGTCGCGGAGGTTTCTCGGCAGTTCCAGACCTTTCTTCCCACTATCGTTGTTTGGTTTCTTTCGCTGCGTGAAGCCAACCGTTTCAATTTTGGCTCGCAAGCCATGTCAGCTAACATACAGCAGCAGCCTCGTGTTGTCAACGCTCATTGGAAATTGGAAACAAAACGCTGCTGCAACAGAGAACAGAGATTACTGAGAGCAGCTCGGCCAGATTGTCAAACGGAATGACAATGCCACCGATCGCCAGGCCAACCAGTCCACGGAACACGACCAACCACGTGTACCTGATCCGCCAGTGTATTCTTGCAGCCCAAAAGCTCGACAGGGTCGTTACGCGTTCTGGTGCAGTAGCGTTTGAAAGCCAGGAACAGGCATTGAAGGCGAGGAGCAGCCCCATCACCCCAAAGCGCCCGTGGGATTGAAAAAGCGAAATCGCAGTTAACTCAATGACGCCATTCTAGAACCACCTAGCGAAACACCCAACAGTAGCTAAAGAAGACTCCTCGTGGGTTTTCGTCCTTAAACCCTAAGCCCTGAACCGCAGCTGCTTAGGTTTAGGGTTCGGCGAAACAAGAAGTGGATGACTACCTACTCCTCAACTGGTTCCGAGATCGTTTCTGTTGCCACCCACCCAACACTCACGCACCGCACCATGATTCAGGAGCCGCTTCGCTTCCTCCCTACTTGCTTGTTGCTGACCTTCCCTTCCTCGGGTCCGTCCCAGTCTCCCAGGCTGCCTCTAGCTTTGGTCCTTGCACAAAGCCTCTGAGGTACCTGAATGGAGTTTTATTGGCTGATCGGATCCTGGGCATGGACGCTGCTCTGGGGGCAGAAAGCAGTTGAGGGGGCATTCAGCCTAATGCTTCGGCTGCGGGCTGCAAGACGCTCGGCCATGGCCCCCCCCCCCTCCTCTGCCAAAGTTCTCCAAAGGGACCTACGGCCTGTGGAGCTCAGGGGGACCCAACCTCCAGCTTCCCTATGCGCGGGACTCCCCCTATAGATTCATTGTTGCAGCAGACCTCTTTTTTTGGACTTGCATCCGACGAGTTCCTTGGCAGTTGGCACCTGAAGACAGAGTCCATTTCTGAAGACAGAGTCCAAAACCACCCGCACAGGCCCCAGAGCCTGGGACCTTTCATGGTGGTGGCCAGAGGCTCAAGCCAAAACACTACTTTGAGTGGCATGCCGTGTTGATGCCGACTGTCAGGAATACAGCTGCGGGGACAAAATGCGCTGTTTCAGGCCGGCTGCGAGGGAGCAAGTGCGGAGAGGCAACCGGTGACCAGCAGAAAGACCTACACATTCAATGCCAGCAATGTTCGAGACCACTTACACACCTGTGCAGAGACAAGCAAGGTCACATTAGCAATGCCGAGGGGCATTAGCCAGCAAGAAGGCTCGCCTGATGAACGGCTTGCTACTGCATCGCCCAGACGCCACAGAAGCCAAGCACTTCCGAACATGACCTACTTCCTGTCCTCAACTTCCTACCCCAGCTAGGAAGAAGGATTGCCCAAAGCTGGACCATTTGCATGGCAGTGACCTGCGACCCAAGTGATCCGACAGGCCACCCCATATGCAGCTGCCAAGCCTGGGAAATGGGCTGAAACGCCGAAAGTCATAAGTCATAAGTGCAGTACATGTGCCTCCTCGTCGCTGCATTCGGACACATGATGCTCAATGATGATTCCGACAAGGCACAGCTTCGTGCCAAAAACACTCATGGAAAGAGCATTCAAGGCCCATCCTTGGCCGATCATTGCGCTCGTTTGCATGCGCTTAGCTAGACTGCTCACGTATTATCGCGACTTCCGGCCGCTGCACTGCTGGAAGCAAAATGCTGTCAGAACCCATCTTATGTGCAAGCTTCCTTCAGCCTCAGGCCACTCCTCCGGGATCTTCTGTTCCAGAAAAGTAACAACGCCTGAGATCTTGATGTTGAATAGGCGTGCTCCCCGTCCCTGTCGCACGCGCACGCGCAAGAAAACACACACACACACACAGAGGCACACTTACCTGCACTTGCCCAGGAACACTCAGGCACACATGCACACATGCCCGAACACGCACGTGCGCAACATCAAGAGATCTGCAATCATGTCGCCCACTTCGATGGAGTCGGCCATGAAGCCAAAGGCAGCTATTACCAACAATCGCAGCTGGAAGCGTCCAAAGCCAATTAAGTCCTGAGAATCCAACTACCTTGCCCCGCACCATGCACATCGGGGCTTTCAAGATGCAGCTTGAGGTGCAAACACCTCTGCCAAGGATTTCTCTTCCACATCGCCGCGCGGAAACGCGTTCATCGGGGCAATCGGGCATGCAGGCACCAGTCAAGCAACTGAGCAGTAAACACCTTACAGTAAGGATGGGGGGGGGACCCACTTCCAGTATGCCACTATACATCGTTATAACATTCCCTAGGAATCTACCTCTTGCTCGCACATCTTTGGGATCCTTTAGAACTTGAGGCATGTCTTGGGAAGCTCTGAAGCCAACGGCTGTTATTCATGCTTGTGCTTGAAGGCGAAGATTCATGCAAGGTGGACCACTGACACAAGAGGGACCTGTGTGAGTCGTGTGCCAGGGGCTCAGCGACCAGGAATTCCGCCATTCCTCAACGAGCGAGGGCATTTTTCGATCAGACTAACGGGAAACTCTGAGTTGGAGCTTGGGCAACGTGTCTTCTGCTCTTGACACCCTGTCTTTTCATGAAGTTCCCAGAAAAATCGTGTCTTGTAAAAACTCAAGAGATCTCACGAGCCTGTGACGAACCGCCGAAGGTGAGATCAGCAGTTGGCATCTCTGATCCGCCATGTGTCAGAGATGAGCTGACTGAGCTGACTGAGTCGACTGAGCTGTGTGCCCAGTAGTCAACTCCGAACCAATTCAGCAGCATCTCCGTGAACATGTGCCTTAGAGGCGTAAAGCCATTCTTCAGTCACAACTTCGGTCCCATCGTGACGCTGCCAATCCAAGCTGAGGGCTTCGAAGTGTGCCACGACTGGTTCTGGAGCTCTTTCCGTAAACTTGGTAGATTCAGAATGTACCTGTTCCGGATGTCTGTACTGTCTTTCCATGTCCAGGGGGTCGACTACATTGTTATGTTGCAGTAAAACTGCCATAAAGTAAAACTGCATTTGAATCCAACTCTCTCCAGGCTACTCATGTTCCGACCATGGTGGCCAATCTAATCAGGATCAAGCCCATCAAACCCCCATCGCTTGCACCGCGTTTGGGGGCTGTGCAGTGCGTTCCCAACAACATTTGAATACACCAGCGTATGCCAGGACCAGCTGGGGCAAGGAGGAGGAAGGGAGGAGGAAGCAGTAAGGCAAGGAATGTTGCAAGTTCTGGTGCAGAGTTGCTGCCCCCCGATCTGGCTGCTTCCAGCCTCGTCGCGGCCCTGGCGCAATCCACCTGGCATGAAACAGACCGGCGCTGCAACTGAATTCTCGTGACTGGTACTAACTTCCTTTGACAGGAACAGGGAATTGTGCAGTATACGGTGTGGCTCAGTTCCTCGCATCACTGACACACAAATGTGCCTCTGGGTCGAGCTGGCGTGCAGAGCCTTCAATGCTGAGCCTCAGTCATTGGACGACCGAGCCGCGGAAGACAAGTTTTACTTACCCAGCTACCCAAAGCACTGTCACGCACTCATGGGGCCATCTCGATACAGAAAGTCCAGTGAAACAATAGCTTCAGCACGTTTCATGTCTCTGTCCAGAATGCAAACGTAGTGCATGCATGCCAAGGCAACGGCATGCCCAGCAATGTCCATGTGAGGGTGGTGTCGAGGCCGACCTCCGAGGCAGAACATATGCTCGCTGCTCTATGCCTAGCCGAGCGCGATTGCAGACAATCCTGCTGCTGTACAACTTCAAGGATTGAGGAGTCTTGGGTCTAAAAAGTCTAGGGCTCGTCGTGAATCGCCCGGTTCTTGATACTGATACGAACTAAACAAGAATGTTTGAGCTTGTGCACCACATTACGTAGGACATGCGTCATGGGATCCAGCTAAAGTTGAAAAGCGCAAGGCCAATCACATTGGATCGGTTCATGCTGTCTTGACCTAAGCCGCGGGCATTGTATTGTCGGACCAAGCGAAGCGCCTCCAACACCGCATCGCTGACCTAAGCCACTGAAACTTGAGTTCCCAAACACCCTCATGAGCGTCGAAGTCACACTGCTCTTTGCAGCGATGCACTTGCGTGGCTATGCGAGGAAACAGGAATCATTATCAACTGCTACATTTACATTAATGGGACAACTATCGCTCTGGGCTGCAGAAGATCCTCTGATGTGAGTCGTACTTTCGGCAACATTGATTGCTGTCTCTGGCCTGCACGAACCCATCCTCATAGACTTGCTTCCTGCTTGCACAGCGGTGACTGCAGTAAGTAGTTTACGCAAGAGTGCCGTGGGTGGTGCCTTGTAACTACAATTACCTTCGACCTGGGATCCATCTTCATCTTTTGTCACGGAAGCTAGGCAGCTTCTGGCGCGAGAGATGTTGCGTGGAGTTGCTGGGAGCTACAGGTCCTAGTAGGTGTGAACTTGCTACTGACCTACTGCTGACATTCGAGACTTGTCAGACGGTACTGACATTTGATGGCGCATGGACATGAATCAATGGATTTCGAAGAGGCCCGGTCCTGCAGTCACAGAATGCCTGCGCATGTCACCGGAAATCAGGATCACGTCTTACCATGTCTGACTTGCGAGAACGTGGTCGGACCCGTGGTCGCAGTGCGAGCTGCCTTCGCCAGTCCGCTTTTGAAAGCCTGCGGGTCCTGCATGATGAGCGTGATCGGCAACCGACAAGCTATTTTGGCGCTCAGTAACATTCAACAACATATCCGGAGCATGCAGCCGCTGGGGGTTAAGCGATGATGCCGCATGCTGCGTGTTGGTGTTGCCCAGCTTGCATGGTACAGTCACAAAGCGAAATCGCCATTCCTGACCTGTTCGTGTCTGCAAGATTCCTTGCGCTGTAGGTACTCAAGCTGCCCCCTTTCCAGGCTGGAATGTATATGCAGCCGAGCCTACAGCGAACCCTGCGTAATTGGGATTTTTAAAACAAGGAGCCTCCTGCCTCCAAACCCATGATCGGTCATGGTCTGGCTTGGCTGAGCTTAGACCATGCAGGCGTGTCAAGCATGAGTCCTGACAGTGCGAGGTGTCGGGGCTGTGATCATAGAGAATTTGAGCAGCCTCGGCAAGAATATTGCCTGCCCTGGTCAGTAGGCAGAAAGGCATGAGCAGGCTTGACGCACGGCTGCGGCCCCTGCCCTATTGAAGTCGCCATAAATTATGGCCAGCGCGAGTGAGCGCAATGCCTGGCACTGCATTGAGTGCGTCGAATCTGCGCTGCAACCCTACAGACACCCACCACTCAAGTGCACAGGAAATCTCAGCTTCTGGGTTCTCCTCAGGCAATTTGGGTCTTAGATCGAAGCCGCCGCCATCCGAACAGAGAGGGAAGGAACCCGTTTTGCACCGCAACAGTTCCGCCAATTAATTGCACACCGACCCACTCCACTTGCTGCAGCCAGCACCTGCGTAGCGTTGAAGAATTAAACCTTTTTGGGCAGACCCTGAGCACCTGAGCACCTGCACTTTCCAAGCCAGAGAACGAAACATCCCATCATCAAGCGCAGCCAAACCATGCACAACCCACTCTACCAGGTTACTTTTGCCAGCTTTAAGGTTTATGGCGCCGACGCTCTGCTCAGATTGCCCTGTCCATGTCGCTTCAGGCAGGGCTGCAGCAACAGGTAACTTCAGAAGTACTCCCGAAATGCTGGATGGCTCGGCTTGGCTCGGCTTGACACATCTCAAGGTGATGTACACTATGATGGACTGGATTTCAGTCGGAAATCTGTATTCAACGATCCACAACATACATTTTTTCACAAAATGTGGAGATTCAGCACGAGAATGCAGTGGCACATGAAGTGCAGATCTTGCCTCTACCTTTTCGCTTGCGAGTGGTATGGCCAAGCCTGAGCAGCTTTCTAAGATGACGGCATGAGGCACAAGTTACACCCACAAACGCAGAAACCATGGAACCATGGCATGGCAAAGGTCCCGATGATGCCGCGCATGGCGGGTTCCAAGCAGGACCATCTGGGGTTTCATGGTTTGCCAGCTTGGCACGGTGGAGCCAAGGCAACGTCTCGCATCCCGCAGTCATCTTTCAAGTATCATGATGCCATCGGGCCTGCTGTTGTCATCTGTTGTCTTGACCTTTAGACTCAAGCCTGCGGTGCTTCGCTTTCGAGGGGAGGCCACTTCCAACGGTTTCCAAAGTCCAGTCCAGACCGTCCAGACCGAGCCATGTTTCGGCAAGAGTAATTCTGCATATACATTGCCTTGAAACAGCAGGGATTCAACACGAAGGTTTCGTGACGTCAGCTGGATTGTACTTCCTCTTGGGAATGGAGCGATACTGCACTTACACAGCTGCAAGGTGTCCTGCCGTGGGGCCTGCCTTCCACCACGTGGCTTGTGTGAGCAACAGCACGCTGCACGAAACCTAACTCCGGGGCAGCCCCCAGCCACAGCTCTAAAAGCGGCCCACTGTTGATGAAACACGAACTTTGTGGCATTGCAAGCCAAACTTTTCGGAAAGCCATCCATGTTCGGAGCTGGCTCGAGTTTGTCCCAGCTGGCCACTGTTGCTTTGCAGGAGGTTTGCAGCTGTGCGACGCACCTTCTGTGGGCCACCCCGTGAAATCCAATTTTATGCCAAGCGAATGTCCAAACCGCTGTGCAGAAGTTTGACCACAAGCCGCAACAAGTCTGAGGGACATTTCTTGAAACACGTTCAACGCAGGCAGCGTCAATACACAACTTTCGCTGCTAGCTAGCTGCTAGTCCTCATAAGCACTGTCAACTCAGTTCGAGGCATGTTCACCAACTAATTAGGCTAGGCAAGGCCTGCTTGGTAACATCAAGTGGCGGGAGAAAAAAAGCGTGCCAAGTAGGACCATGTCATGGAAAGCAACTCTACGCGGCTGATTCTTAGTAAGCTATTGTCTTCGTTTGCAGCACACAACGGTGAGGACAGGCTGCTGGTTGCCCAGGCCCAATGCCCCTTGATGAGGCAGTTCTATGCCAAAGAAATCTAAAGAACAACTGCATGCATCCACTGCCACTATATTGCCACCAAGACCAGGTCATCGTAATCGAGTTACTGCAACTTTTCACTAACTTTTCAAAGCAATCAACCCAAGCATTGAACAACGCAGCTTAAGCAGGACCGCCTCCTTCTTACATGCTACAGAGGTGGACATTCCTGCTGCGTATGCATGTGAGGGGCTTCTGCTCAGACGAGATTCCGGCATAATTAAGACTAAGCCCAGCACCAGCATCCAGAATGATGAGCTCGAATGGCTGACCTCGAGCACCTGGGCTGTGCGTCACACGCTCGGGTAACGGGGGTCATGCGTGATGCCCCAGGTATGCCCCAGGTACATGCACTGCCTCTCTGTACGAAACCATCCCTTTGAGCCCACTGCGGTTCATCACCATACTGAAGCGGTCGGAGGCTTTGCCCTCAGAATCACGGCCACTTCAGGGTCACTCTGGGAGCTTGGGCGCTCATTGGGTGATCTCCGGGCAAGGGCAGGGACCGGGCACGCCGTATAGTGCATTGGAAGGATGGCGTGTCAATAAAGCTTCGATCAATGTGTTCACTGAGGCGTTTGCAAGAAACGAGCCCGTGTCTTCACCCTGCACATGTCGTATGGGTAGATACGGTGGAAGAACCCAAAAGTAATTTGCAGCAGAGCTGGGACAAGAGAGGAAGAAAATATGAATTCGTGGCGGCAATTGCCAGAATGGAGTCAGAGGTCAGCAGGTTGCAGAGAAAGAGCCTGTCCATGCTCTGTGCTGCAGCTCGAGCCACCAGACAGCCTTCGGTGCAGGCACCAGGCACAAAGCAGGCAGGGCCAGTGCACAAGATGTCGGAATCCAAGGGCCAGGCTTGAGCATGACATTGCCTGGATGGAGATCCTCAGTTTGCAGAAGATCTCGCAGGGCTGCACTGCACCCTGTTGATTTGAGGACGGGGGCCCCATGAATGAAATGGTCTTTGAAGATCATCCGCATGTACGCTGCGAGACCTGAGCACAGAAACTGCCCACCAGCCCCGCTCCAGAATGCTCTTCAACCGTACCTGCACGAGTATTCTAAGTTTGTCTTGGTTCCTGGCTGTCAGACGCAATCCTCTGGCTCACATCCTCAACAGAATTAGTTGACAGCGGAGCCTTTCGACACTTGTTTCGTGGACTTTACGATTCGCCAGTTCTGGATGCAATCTGGACTGAGGAGCCATCCGGCTGAATGCCCAGAATGCTTCTGATTGCATCCTGGCAGCAAATTAGGGCTGAGCCTCATGTTGCGCCTGGCACGTGCCCAGACTCGGCTAGACTCTAGACTGTATTTGGGTCGCCATCTTGAAAAGCCCAAGAAAGGCTAGCGGCTAGCGACTAGCGAAATCGGCTGCAGACACAAAAGAGCGAGGTGCTGCATGGCTCTCGAAGCGGTCGCCGTCTTGCTTCTCATGGTGGCCATCCTGAAATATTCTTACACGAACCATATTGGAACTGCGTGGGGGTGTTTCAGCTTAGGGCGAGGCAGATGCCATTGCATCTCGGAAAACGCGGGAGAGCCTTGGCAAGCAGAAAGTAAGCAGACACCGGAAACGAGAGGAAAGTCAGCCCGGCTTACGTCCGCTCAAGTCTGATTCTGGATATTGTTGCTACTCGCACCTATGCTACTGAGGGCCCTGCTCTCGCCCCATTTCCCGAGAGAGCACCAAGAGATCTTGCCTCGTCTGTCCGTGGCTTGGAAGACACTGACCCTCTTGCTGCATCAGATATCAAGGAATCTGCCTTCTTGGTGCTGGCATGGGGTGTTCTGCATCTGGGGAACGGACGAGGCATACAGCGGCGAAGGAAAGCGAATGGACCTTAGTTTGGTGAGCTGCACCACTGCAGCTTTAGAATCTCTATGGAAGCTGAGACTTGCTCCCCAGCTCTTCGAAGTTTTCGCGGAATCGCTGCCTCAGGGACATGATTCGAATGCGCGCTTCGTACGAGGTCGATAAACCCATTGACTCCTTTACGAAGCTCTTGGCAACAAAGTGCCCATGGCTTGGGTCCGCGGTGATCCAGGCTCCCGTGATGGCTGAGCACTTCTTAGAGGCCAGCAGGTGGGAAGCTTCTGTACGGAAGTCCTGGACAGCTGACTAGGTTTCCTAATTACCCCAAAAAACATCATGGATTCCCTGCGGAAAACCCAGAGCTTTTTGCAGCATGTCCGTGTTGCGTATGCGTGGCGGCAGCTTACACACCTAGTCATTTTCTCGTCTTCGACAGCCGCCCAGTCCCATTAAACCATCCATCATACCTGCTTATCTCTTCTGCCGAGCCTCTTACATGTTTTCTCTGGGCCTCTGCAAAAATTAGGCGTCGGAGTGACGATCTCAAAAAAACTTCAAGAGATTCCCAAGTATGGCCCAACATGCTGAGGCAATAGGTCTTCCTGGTGTTAAGATTGCGATTCGTCACTGGAACACCATAGTGGACATCAACCGTGTACTTCATGGCGCGTGCCGTCTGCATCTGGACGTGCTCGCAGAACTCCTCCGCGGCCTTCTTCAAGCCGAGCCTGGCTAAAAGAAGCACAAGCTGCGTAGCAATCCGAAGCTGTGACGGCCCGAAGGGCCCGTCCTCGCTTTGCGGCATTCTTGGCGGACTCTGGGCAACTGGAATGTGTTCCCTATAGTCACTATCCGCTGAGGCCGCAGCATGCGCAAAGGTTCTAATGAGTCTGCCCAGTTGCCAAAGCCTCGCGTACGGGGACTGGGAACAGCTGACACGCGTCAGATGACCATCGAGATCAAAGTGCACCCAGGAACCCACCCACCACACACACGCTCACAGGCACATACGCACGCGCACAGAGACCCTGCGCGCGCACGCACGCGCACGCGCACGCGCACGCGCACGCGCACGGGCACGGGCACGGGCACGGGCACGCGGCCACGCGCACGCGCACCCCACCCACCCACCCACACCCACCACACCCACACCCACACCCACACACCCACACCCACACACCCACACACCCACACACCCACACACCCCACACACACCCCACACACACACACACACACCCACACACCCACACACCCACACCACACACCCCACACCCCACCCACACCACACCCACAACACCCACACACCCACACACACACACACACACACACACACACACACACCCCACCCCACGCCCACGCCCACGCCCACACGCCCCACCCCACGCCCACGCCCACGCCCACGCCCACGCCCACGCCCACGCCCACGCCCACGCCCACGCCCACGCACACGCACACGCACACGCACACGCACACGCACACACATACTCAGCTGCTCAACAGCAGGACGGATTTGCCTCACACAAGAATCATACAAGTATCAACAGGGCAGAAAAGCACGCACATCTTTGCCCCCGGCAGAGCAGTAAGGCCAAGTCAGCTTCTAGCAGCCGCTTGACACCAGGCCTGCAAGACATGTAGGCGCACTGGCCCATGCTGGGTTTACGCAACGGCTACTTCGAATGATGTCAGCAGCAGTCAGCTGTCTGGCATGTGGCAAAAGGAAGGCACTTCCTTTTCCCTGCCATCCCATGCCTGAGGCATTTCACGGCCACCTCTGTGCCGTCTTTGAGCTTGCCGAAATACACCTGCACCGCAGGCTTATCACTCGCAAAAACCTGAAATGGATTTGAGCAAACGGGGCTTTGAGCCATCTCACTACTACTGCAAAGGCCTCCGCCATGCTTCCGGAGGCGTAGGGCCTACAGCATCGAAGCGCAGAGGTCAGCTCAGGCGGAAGTAGACGACAAGACTGTGTTGTACACGGTCCGTAGACGTGTTTCGGGGCACGCGTAAGGTGTGTGGCGTCCGGGCGCTTGGCCATGCTACTATGATGTCAGAAGCATGACTCATTCCCTATTGCCAATACTGTGTGGGAGTGGGGATGGAAAGGCCGGACGAGAGCTCAAGCTTTTTAAGCTGCCCGCGCTTCCGGTAGCTTCAAATACTGACCCCGGGTTCAGGGAAGGGTTAGGCATTCCCACGCCCACAAGAACGCCTAGCTTGCCCCAAACGATTAGAGTTTAAGTAGCTTGGGGTGATGGACGAGAAGCCTAGTGAGTTTCTGCTCCTACTAGCCCCCCCCCCCCCCCGCAGTTAATCACAGGGTCCTCGACAGGTCTGTTGCGCAGAGGGAAACGAGGGTCACGCGAACATTTAAAATTGGCGACATAGCAACCTCCAAAAAACAACCTTGAAAACCCTGCCGCCATACTGCAGGCGAGTAGACCCAAATACCTGTAATCATGTTTACAGTTATATAATGTATATATATATATATATGTATAAACATACATGTATATTGTTTTTTCATGTATCTGTTTTTTCGATCTGTTTAGAAAAAACAAAGGGAGTCAATGCTGGAGGCCGGCCGGCCTGGAATCCAGGGACTGAATGTCCAACTCCGCGTCGCGCAGAGAGCTGCAAACCTATGGCCCAAGACACCGTGCCTTCCTAAGCGCCAAGTGCCTCAAATGATCTTCGAATACTTTTAGTAACTCCTTGAGCTCAAGTGAAGCCCCAGCTACTCGAATGACATCTCATGTCACCTGGTTCTTTCTGTTCTTTCACTCCGAGTGAATGTTTGGGGCATCGGTTGGTCCGTCGGCCGCTGCCTCGGACGGCTCGATGGCTGTCGACCTGCGACTCGGTTGATGAGAAAGCTGAAGGATCTACGAATCAGTCTACATCCACATGATAAATCAGTGACGAGTCTATTCAGCCGCGCGGCCATGGCGCAGCCACAGACTCGTGCATGCCTCAAATTGGCGCTTGGCTGGAGACCACGTGCTGCACCCAAACTTGGGCAACTGTACGAGCTTGTCTCAGGCTTCCCGCGCCCCAGAGCCGCGCAAAGGCTGTCCGGAAACCTGGTGCGAGTCGGTCTAAGGAGAGCTGGTGGAGTCAGCTGGAAAGCACAGGTTCTGGGCTAGAGCATGATGGGGCAGCCCTTTTCAGATGTGTATGCCATGTTCTCTGAGAAAATACAGAGACAAGGCAGACAGAATCGGAAGAACTGCTCCCAAATGCGCATTGAACCCATTGGACCCTCAGCGCAGCAGTCGAACCTGAGGTCTTCTGCTGGGAGCTGGGCAGATCTCGTCGGGTTGCCGCCCACTGCGCCAACCTGGGATATCTGGAACCACCGTTGTCTCAGTGGCAGCTGTAGATGAAGGCAGAGTTGCTGAACAGTCCTGTAGGCTAGGCAGGCACCAGAATCCTTGCAGGCTCATCTTTTCTATGCCAGGCAGAAGATACCATCAATGGCATAGTCTCGGTCGAAACAAGTTGGACCACGCGGGGCATAAAGACCACCGATGCCTCAGCGCTTAGACTCAAGACGCTGTCTAGTCTTCAGTTGGGATGATGGCTTGAATGCAGAGTTATCTTCTTGTGCCACACTTCTACACTTCTGGCGGCCGAGCAGAGACACTGTTCACGTTAGCAGCTTTAGCACGACCCCACACTTCCCAAATAACGTCGCAGCTTGGACACTCAGCCCAGAACTTGCCTTCCTTAGCTGAACCCGTGAGATTTGCAGCTTTTAGGCGGTGTCATCGCAGTAAGCTTTAAGCGCCTGAGATTCTACGCATGTCCAAGCCGAGCCTAAACCAAGCGTCTCCTTGTACTGCCTTTCGACCTGCCAACGTCGTGTTCAACTAGGTTTGTGATGCACTGTGATGCTGGTGCGGAATGTGCGGATGCCTCGTAGACTTTGGCATTCCAATCTCCACCAGCGACGACGCCTGACAAGATGCCAAGCAGCCGCCGCAGCACGGTGCACACGACAACTCAGTCGACGATAGACACCACAAACATCAGTGGAACCTTACAATTCCTCAAGTTTTCCGGCTACCCACTTGCAGCAACCCCAACAATTCAAGCCTCGTAATTCCCAATAACCGCCTCTGTGCTACTTCTTGGGCTGTGCTGTGCTATTCAAAGAAAATCTTCAGGGATTGCGTTGCGATTGCCTGTCAATTGTCGTGAGCGTATGGCTTCCAAGCCGTTGTTGGGAGGCCGACAACGGTCTCACAAGCCCAAGGTTTTGACTCGCAACAAATCTCCGGACGCGCAGCTACTTGGGGCAGCTTAGGTGCTCTGGCCACTCTGGCCACCAAGCTCCGAACAGAGCTGCTCCAGCACTTGCACCGCCAATTCCTGACCAGAGGTGATGCGGGACGAGTGTTATGGCAACAAGTCTTACTCTAACATATAGTCTGAATTGGTCGAATGCTCTGACTGCCCTCCGAACGAGACCCCTTGGCGATTGGCAACCGTGCGGGAGTCCTCCTGAGCGTTTGGAGGGCTTTTCTTGTCGGTGATGATGGGCACGTGGCAAGACCTGGAGTTGTCGGCCGCCGCTTCAGCTACAAGACTCATGCGATCACCGCGCTGTCTGGGTAAAATCTGCAGGAACTCCCGAGTCGCAAACACAAACCATGTCGACCCTCGTCGGGCAGCCACGAAATGTCCTTAGACCAGATGTTACTTGGATTTACTTGGCAACCCACACACACAGAGAATCGCAATCAGGCGCGTCATGTCGGGTCAACCGGCTGCAAGCCCATGGGCAATCCAGAGATTGCAACAGGTGAGCTGAGTGGCTTTTCTTTTTCCCCACTTCAATAGTTACCTGAGCGCAGAATCCACACCCTTGGTGCTTGAATGGGCTTGTGATGCTTGTGACATGTCGGTTTTCTCATGCCGTACTTCCGCCGCATTGGGCAGTCCCACCTGCCGCGTTTCCTCGAAGCCTTGCCTCGAAACCACCATCGTCATGGCATCGCTCTTGCTGCCTTAATTGCGGAGATGTAGCCGAATGCTCAGCAAGCAGTACATGACTGAGATGCTTCAAGAGCACAAGAGCTTCGAGAATACCAACCACTGCCTTCCCAATTGCATGCGAGACCTGACGGAATCCCACCCATGGAGCAAAAACGATCATTGCGGCATTGGGCTGCTGTCTTCGTTTGCTTCTGACAACGCTGCAGCCCAGCCCTTCCTCTGTGGGTGATCCAGTGATCCAAGCACCTGGCTTGGAAGATGACGCTTCAATATACCATAGGCAAACTAACTTACGGTTTCTCGATGGCATCCGGAGTGACTTCGAAGTCATACACTCAAAACACATGACATGCTAGTCTGCATTTCTGGCGTTTTTGGCACACCCTTGTCAACTTTAGGGTTTGCAAGGCTTCCTAAGGTGTGCAACTTTCAGGGACGTCGGTTTCCTCTCCTGGCAGTTGGCGGCACCTTATGTGCAACCTCGTGGTTCAACTCCTGCAGGAGGGCCACATCCACCTCTGCCGACAGAGCGTCGACGAGAACTTTCTCCACATGGGCTGCATGGGCAGCGATGACCTCACACGAGCGGGGTATTCTCAGAGAGCCATCCTAAGCCCCTTGTTTCAACGAGGGCTCTCTCAAGTGTGTGCACCGCCTGCCCAGCTGCCCTACTGACTTGGCTTCATCAATTTTTGCTTCCGGGCGTTCTATCGTAAGGTGGTTGGTATAGGCACACTAGGCACGCAAGTAAGACCAGCAAATGCCATCAGGTGGCTTTTCAGCGAGTAAGTGAGTGAGTGCATCTGCGAGTACAGCTAAGAGTGTTTGTGCGACAGAATGCGTACGTGCGTGGTTCTCTCTGGAGCGCACTTCCCACGGAAACCTGCTGCAAGTTACAACGGCCGAGGAACAACTTCTACGGCGACCCTAGGTTGTGGGGCTTCGGTATCTCTTGAATGAGGTGAAAAGATGCGAAAGGATCATTGCAGTAGGGCACGCCATTGGAGCATTGAACATAGCCGGAGATATAGTTGCTACACCAGCCGAGTGGTCTTCCAAAACAGGCTCCCCAAAAAGGCGGGTGCAGGTTGTCCTGGCTCGGGAAACCCTGAATGCTTTCCGACTTATGGGCTGTTGACGCCTCGAACTCCACCTGTACCAACCCAGAAATGGGCCCCCGACCCCCCCCCCCCCCCCCCCCCCCCCCCCCCCCCCCCCCCCCCGCCCCCCTCCCGATCCCCGGTGCCGAGATGCGCTTGGACACGTCATCGCCTCGAGCAGGAGCTCGACCTCCTTCGGGCAGTCAACCAAAAACAGGCAACGCTTGATGAGTGCCTGAGGTAGCGACTTTGGGGGGTAGACCCTGACCTGATGGCCCACACAACCGCGCAGGTGGAGTTTGAAACCCTCAGCACTAGTAGTCACTAGACTGCATTCATTCTGCATTCCTTCACGGCTTGCCGAAATGAGCGTCAGGCTGGGTTTGTGGCCGTTTGGGCCCCAGGCCCTGACCCATTTCCTATCTTATGGCGTCCAAACATGGGACTCACGATTGACACTCTCTGAGTAAACCTCGCAAGTACTGTAGAACATTCTGTAGACCACATGACATCCCATGAGGCTCGCCAAGCGAAGCTCCTCTTGGCTCTCTCCTTGGATGAACTTGACATCAGAAACAGGCTTTTCCCATATTTTCGACAATCCGAAGGTGAGAGGGGGGTGAGAGAAACCCGCCATCCGTAGGTGTACATATCATGCACGTGCATGCTTTGTGCATTGCCAACGTAGCAACAGCGAGCAGATGTCTTCTCATGTTTGTGGGTTTGCGACTTCTGTTGTTCTCACATCCGTGTATGTTCTTGTCATGTACATCATGACGCATCTGTCCGCCTCACGTGATCTCACGCCCTGACCATGACTACCGGTCATTACCAGACAGACTCGTCTCTCCGACCATCTATCTCACCTTGTCATGCCCTTCACGATGCTATCGTCTTGGTCTACGAAAAAACTGCCAACACTAAAAGTCATCTGATCCGATGGTTGGGGTCAATGATTATGCTGAGTGGCGCTTCAATTCCCGCAGCATCTGCCGACAGTACGGTTGGATCCTGAGGTGGCTCACGGCATGGCGGGCACAGAAACCAAAAGCAGATCAGGAGACAGACAGAATTTGAAAATGACCACTACAGTGAATCTTAAACCATGGCAGATGGAGGTGTTTCGGCATTGCCTTCTCAGCCTGCAGCCCTTCTCGACAACAAGGACCGGACCAAACTTTTCTGAGCTCAAGGGCTGCGGCTAGGGCTCCCATCCTGCACCATATTGCCAGATGTCAACGAAGGGAACTCCAGCGTGTTCCAGGTGAGGATTTTCATCTTGCCTTTGTAAGAACCACCTTTCCGGAGGGAATTGCGTAAAAGCAGAATGCGACTTGATCGACACTTCCCCCCTTGATGATTTGAGGATGGCTACATGGCCATCAAACTTCTGTCTCATTCCGCTCTGTAAAGGGACGGCTCACCTGGCTGCACTTCCTCAAACAATGGCAGATGATCGGATTGGACCAGGGCTTCCTTGGTTTCCGGGAGGTCAGGACTGGACTTGCTTGTCGAGTGTCCACGAGATACAAAAACTCAGAAGTGCCTTCGGAGGGGCTTGATGTGCCTTGATGACTTCCCCCAGCTGGCCTGAACGCTCAAGCTTTGATGCATAGCTGAAGGACTACTGCTGCTGCCACGACGACGACGACGAACTACGACTACTACTACACTACATACTAGCAAAGAGAGGGAGAGGGAGGGAGTCTAGTGAGCCACTAGTGCAACACTTTGAGGTGAGAGGAGCAATGTCTGCTCTTTAACTTTGGCCACATGGACAAGCGGCAGCTTCGCTCTTCTGCAAATCGCACCACTTTCGCGTCGAAGCCATCATCCAGGCCACCCTTTTGCAGCAAGGCCTCGGCAGGCACCACGAACAGGGCTAGGATGGGCTACTTGATGCGGTCCTGGCTCAAGCATGAGTGATATCAATCTGATGCTCGTTGTTTCAACTGGTGTATCGCAATCTTCGGTCAAGAGCCTTCAAGGAACTGGGGGTGGTAGAGTGGAGGATGGTGAAACTGGAAGAAGGGCGCGAGGAAATGGAGATGTTGGACGCACTTTGGGTGGAGCGACGGATTCGCGAGTACACGGTCAACTACGGTCAAGCTTGTTCTGTGCTCAACAGACCTGCATGAAAACGACGCAGCACAGAGCCCAGGTTGCCCAACCTGTATCCGTGCAGCAGCGATATTTTGGAGCTAATTTTTCCAGCACTTCTGCCAAGCAGGGTGAAGTGAGCTGCCGAAAGGATGCATCTGCATCATCTGCTGCAGCTGGTCACTCCAAGGTCAACGGCAACGTGCAAGCAAGCCACTCGGAAGTTCTCCAGCTCCCTTTTGCGGAGCTCTTGTACATCTCTCTTGCACACGGCTTCAACCTGGTGGCTGCATCCGGCTCTGCATGGGATATGTTCCAGCGATAGATGCATCTAGTACCTGGCTTTCTGGAAACTAGACGTACTAAGTTGCCAGAGAGAACTAAATTGCCAGAGAGGTCATCATTCTCTGATGGCAACATTTCATCTCTCCAATCCCAACCCCGCACGTGTTACCCAGCGTCCTTCTTGAGCAATCCTGGATACCTGACGAGCGCAAGGCCCGCTGCGCATGCATCAAAAGTCTCATACTCGAATGTAATCCGGTGGGCCCTTCATGGCATTTCGTGGTCCTGCACTAAAAGCCAAGGTGCAGCTTTGAGCCGGGCTCGGCATTGAGAAGAGTATCCGGCAGGATGTCGGACTTGATCTTTGTGGCAACTCTTCTGAGACACCAGGGAACATGCAGCCGCAATCAGTTTCGGGAGACTCCCTACGTAGCCTAGGCCTAGACCTTTCACCCGCGCAGCACGAAGCCAGCTGCCAGCAGAAGAGTTCACCCGAGTGTTGCTGGCTGCATACCAAGGAGCCGAAAGTGCCGCATAACGGGCTTCCGCCTCTGCAACAGTGGAGTTCAGAGAGCACAGCAGCTCTCTCGGAAGCGGCTCCTGGTCGTTCCATGGGGTTGCTCTTTGCGCGTATCAAAAGAGCCAGTTCCCGACTGTACGCAGTTCGGAGATTTAAACAGTCACCCCTTCAGGTATCCCAAGAAGCGGCTGCTGTCCTTCCTCTCAACTTTTGGGAGGAGCTCCGCAGCATGCGTGGACACCTGCTTTGTCCAGAGAATGCATGCGGAAAAACACTTGCTTGCGTCAGCCTTCCACACAGCTGCGCTTGTGTTTTTGAGCTGCCGCGGCCTTGGCGAAAAAATCTGCAGATCGCTGCGAGAGCTCCTGAGTACGCTGCATGCTTGCTGCTTGCCTGTTCAACTGCCAGAACATGCCACAACGCATGGGTTAGCGGCTAGCGGCTACAGCAGCCAGCATAAATTTAGTCAATTCATCAAGTAGATTTGATTCTATAATGCAAACTACAAATAATGAGTCGTGAGCTCTTGCAACAGACTCGTTCATCAACGGACCGATCGAGGGGCCGAAGCATGCGCCCGCTCCACGTCGGCCACGGCTGTCTGCTGTTGCTGCCGGAAGGCTGCCTGGAGTACTGATGCTTGCAGTGAATTGAACAAGGTGTGCTTGTCTTGTCACAACATGTCACAAACCCTTCTGGCTTCGGATACGAGGAACATTCACCAGGACCGCCTCTTTGAGGAAACTGTCAACCCCTTTCCTTAGGGAGTCAAATCATCTGGACATGTAACATGTTTGGACCAGCTCCTGGTATCTCTCCTTAGTCCTCCAAGCTGCTTCAGCTGTTCGACGAAGTTCTCCTCTCCAGATCCCCTGCCCGCACGAGCAGCTGCCACAGCGCGGTGTATATAATATCCTGAGCACCCGCGGCTCCCAAAATGCAAGGACTGCAACCACGAAAAACTGAGACGGAGACTGACAGCTGTTGCCATGAAGTCGTCCATGGCCGAGGCACCACAACTTTTTGCAACTAGCAACTAGGCTAGAATACGGGCTCGAAATTCGACAAGCCGGCGTTCGGCGCAAAGAGCAGTACACAGAGCAGTACGATTATAACAGTAAAAGCAGTATACAGATGGAATCAGATGGACTCTTTTGCTGGCAACATCGTCTGGCGATGCTGATTGTAAAGGTCATGCTGCTCCCTTCATCGTCAGTCTGGTTTGAGGCGTGCACTTGGCGCAACCGTGTATTGCCCTATCATGCAACCATACAACAAGCACACTGGACGAAGATTGAAGATCTCGCGGCAACCAGGGTACAGGCTTAACGAAACAAGGCCCAGCACGGTCGATGCGTTCCTGGCATGACACAGCGCGAGCTTCAGCGGCTGAGCAGTACTCCGGCACAATGTCACAAGGCAGGGGGACCCAGGACTGCAAACAGGCACGTGGGACGGATACCAAGCTCCAGAACGTCGTTGGGTCAATTATCCAAACCTGACATTCTCAGGCTGCTGCCGAACCCCCCCCCCCCCCCCCCCCCCCCCCCCCCCAAGCCGTGAGGAGCGTTGGCTTCGATTGGATGTAGGGCCGGCACGGGAAAATAGATAGCGACTGGCAGCATGATGAACTTGGGCAGGCAGTGACTTCATCGTTGAGTTGCCAACAAGAACCATCAAGCCCAAAGACAGCAAGAGCAGCTGACACGCTGCCACATGCTGCATCCAAGCAGCTGCAAGCTGAAGCAAGCGCCATATTGACGCCTGCCGCTGAAAGTTGCAAGTTACAGGAAAGCAGAATTGCGAAGTGCTGCGACCTTGAGCAACAGATGTGTCGACAGCAGGCATCACATCATTGCTCCCTCTGTATAGCAAGCAATTCAGAACAGCCAGAAAAACACGTGCTTGTCGTACACCGCTTATGGCATGAGTTTGCACTTTTTAATCTTAAACATACTTTAGCCAAGATTGTCGGTGTACAGAGTCGCCATGCTGATGGCGTGCCAGTTCTCGATGTTGCACTGATTAAACTGGATCGGCCTCACTTCGCAGCCTCTCCACCTGGGCACGTTGGCCGCAATCTGCAGTTTCTGAACTCTTGCTCCCTTTGAGATGCAACTCTCATCGTGCTATTGCAAAAATTTGCGAAATAGGTTTCATGCAAGTGCCACCAATGTTTGTGAGTGTCGACTTGTCAACGACAACCCAACCCCTTGGTGCCTCCTGCTGCCGCTCGCGCTCGTGCTCCTTGGCCAAAGCTTCGCGCCTGCAGTGCGCTTCCTGGATCTTATCTTTCGGAGCGTGGGCTAAGCCACTTCCGACTCCTAGGAATTCCGTGATGGTGTCCGATGCTGTCAACTACTCATGCGTGCCCACACTCTTCGCGAAGGCCCAAGCTCCAACTCACGGTTCGGATGCAGCGCTTCTCGGAACTCATCCTGGTCCAGGCAGATGCAAGGCACATGCGAGTCATGCAGAAGAGGCGTCTCCGATGCTGCCACACATTAAGTGGTTCACTCTGCCACCTGCTCGAATAAAATTGAAGCAAGGCTCCCGAAGCCACTTGTGCACTTCAGCATTGATTAACGCTGCTCCGCCTGGAACGTTGGATCCAAGATGCATCGGCTGAGTGGCAACTATCTTGGCGAGAATGCTGCCATACTACGCTTTGAGATGGCCGCTCACGCCAGTGATGGTCAGAGCCACTATGCGTCTCCGCCTTGTTGACTCACAGGCATGATATACGAGCGCTCACAGCATGGACCTTGACACACTCCCGAAGACGAACAACTCTGGCCCACACGTCAGGTGAGGCAGAGCTCTTCCTGTCGAGCTGAAAGCCTGGTAGTAGGCAGCAGCTCCGACACTCATCACTCATCGTGGTCCATCTTTTGCGCATGACAGTGGTGAAGGATTCGAGCTTTGCCCTCCCGCCCCCCCCGCCCCCCCCGACATTAAATCCCTGAGATATCAGGCCGGTCCCCCCAAAACAAGAAGGATGTTTTCGTGACAGGTGAGCCACATGCAGTGATCAGAGAACTGCTAAGAATCTAGCACGTCCAGAGCGAAATGTCGGGATTGCATGGCCTTAGTGCTCTTGGACACCGAAGTGAGGTGCCGTGAAGAACAAATATGCGCATAGATGCGTAGCATCACTGTGGCTCTGGCGGAGTCCGGCTCTTCTCAACAACAGCATCACCTGCCCAAATCCATGAGTTGCACAAATCGAGCTACTGCAGATCTGGCACGTGGGGTGCTCTGCCGCCTCAAGGGTGGAGCCCCACCATCCTCCACCCTCCTTCCCTGCTGTTCAGCCAGGTGACGTCAGGGGTTGTGATGGCTCCGCAGCAAGACTGAGTGCAACTTCCCAGTCTGGTGACTTACTCGACACACGGCCTTCTCCCAATACCCCACGCTGAGAATGCCTATCAATCCGGCAAGCACCAAACGCTTCTATCGTCCATCCTTACCCATTGCTGATGGTTTAAGAGTAGGTTCTCGAGTCAGACTTCGGCCTTGCCAAATTCCTGACATGCACATATCCTGCCATTCCACTCGCATTCAGAAGCTTGCACATTAATCGCCAGCGCTTTACACGCTCTAGCTCTAGCGAAGTCATGCCCACAGTGCAAGCTGGGTTCGGACCGGAACTTGGCCGAGCTACGACCAACCAGGCAACCCAAACTCCGCCCTTAGAAGCCTTACATTGTAGGGTTGGGGTTCAGAGTGCCCGCCCCCTGGTGTGGAACTTGGATCTTAGCAAAGCTTCATATGCCCTCGATGTCATTGAGCAGAACCTTTCTGTTGATTTACGCGTGTTCTTTGCCGAGTTCTTACACATTCGGGGGAAGGTTCTTTTCTCGGCACCGCGGGGCCATTGGCAGTATCGCCACAGATCCTTGTCCAATTCTGAGAGGACCGCAGCTGCTGGCAAAGGGCTCCTCTTCAACTGCATCGGTGGATGCAGGGGGCAGCACATCTGCATGAAGCGTTCGGAATACATGACATATCAGTGTCCTAGCAGCCACGCATGCTCCAACAACTGCAGCAGCTGCGGAGCCCTCGCATGGCCAAGAGTAGGACGGCTCAAGCCAAGTTCGAGATATACTGTGAGACTATGGTTGGCAGATGTAGCAGAAGATGCAAACGAGGGTAGTATAAGTAGGGATTTAGGGGCAGCATGGTTATTTCATGTTATTTCCCGGCTGTGGCCCTTTGGCGGCCACAGCTTGTGTACGCAAGCAAAGAAACCACAAAAACAAAGGATTCTAGACTATTGGTGGGCCCTACGGCGTGCAAACAATATTGCGAGGGTTGCTGGCTCGACACTTCTACTGCGTGGTGCAAGGCAAGATGCCTTCACCCGAATGAACAATCCAAAAAGCCATGCGTGTTAATCTGCAATGACGTATGCAAAGCATCGGTCGATAAGGACATCACGTACGAGCACTGTAAAAAAAAAGCTCGTGCTGCAGAGGTTTTGCAACGACTGCCGGGGCAGGTGCCCCGGCGACCAGGAGGGTCCTAAACTTGAGGGTCAAGCAACGGAACCTCGCGGAAATATCGTGTAGACGGCAACAGAGGTGATTTTGAGGAACTTTTGAGGAACGGTCCGCCATTGCGGCGCCACGAAGCCTGACTGCAAGGTCTGATGTTGTATCCGGACTGTGAGAACTAGTACAGAAACTGCTGTAGTGGAAGCCCGAACCCGAGAACAGGCTTGGGCGGAAGAGACCTGACAAATGCGGCTGTGTATATTGACACTGCTTTGTGGTTCATCAATTCCAACCCTGCACACCGAAGTCCACAGCCCCATGTTGCCCGCCCCAGGAGGCAAGAACGTGCGACAACGGTAGACCTGCAAAGAAAAAAGTGTAAAACAACAACTCTGTTTTCTCCTGGCGCATGCTTGCGGATGCTTGTGCACTGCAGAGAATCTACGTACGCAGGACTCCGTTGGCCGGCCGACGTTGGCAAGCCAGCGACTCCATGTTTTGATCTGCTAAACGAACCAACAGTTGGGTGTGGGACAACCTGGAACATGGCTCGCTTGTACACGTATGACGACATACGGCTTCGTGTGCCTTTGCGATTGCACGTCGGAAGCCGTCATAACTTGATGACTTACACTCCTTCAGAAGACCACTTGCAAAATACAAAGATGCAAAACCTGGAGCTCCGGTGCCTGGGCCGGGCTGCGGTTTAACCGCCACAAGACCGCCAGTCCATGGGACCACTGCCTCAAGAAGTAGCGTTCCGGCTTGGTATTACAGTTGCGCTTACACTTGCCATGAAGTGCGAGGTCGTTCTGATAATATTTGCAGCCCACCGGCATGCCCTGGGCTGAAGCCATGGTTGCCGCAACCGCCGCCTCATCCTCAGCCATTGTGTCTGTGATTGGCATGCCCAACCTGTGATCTCAACTCAAGATACTCAAGCCTGTAGGCAAACACAGCGAACCCCACCTTCTCTCTTAGCTGAGTCTGCGGCAGTCCACGCTACAAGGGAGCCTGTCATCCTGCAGAAGCACGTCCCAAACAATGGCACTGGCATCACAAGATGCTCTCAGTGGACTTTGTCAGATTCCGATATGTGGGCAGAACTCGGCATCATGATGTATGTGCTCTGGTCCGGGATGCATCTCATTCTCTAAACCTGACCCATTCCTTCAACGATCACATTGTCTGGTTGCAGGTGTTGCTTTTCGTTCTGCTTCACTTGAGAGCAGTGCGGACGAAAGCCAGGCCCCCGTAGATGCTGTTTCAATTCAAGGGTGGCGGGGGGAGGGCACCTGAGCGAGAGCACCCCCCCGCCTTAGCTCACACCACGTCCTGGTTGGGGAAATTGTTGAGGTCTCAGGAATTAAGGCCCCCCAAGTCCCCTTTGTCCCAAAACAAGAAGGTCGTAAACAAAAACTCCCGCAGCTCCCAGGAGCTAGCTTTCTTGACTTGCAACTCCCCTCCAGCCACCCCGGAGAATCTCAAACAGCATCATCTTGACCCTGGCAAATGGCACACAATCACATGGTGGCTTACGAAAATATAAGGGACCCCTAACATAGACTCCAAATAGTCGGATCCCCTCATAAACAACTCATAAACAAGGGACCCCACGAAGGTACCCCTAATTTCGTAAACCCCCACATGGCCTGCCAAGCAGACCGGCTGCCTGCAGCCAGCGCCGCGAGCTTTCCCTCCCTGCCAAGGAGCACAGCACCGATGTGTAGCCTCAGTGGAAGTTGCAGCAGTTCATTCACTTGCACAAGTACTGGACTTACAACCCACACACACACTCTCTCTCGACTTGGGCTCCCAAGCACCCAAGAGAGAGAGAGAGAGAAACAGAGAGAGACGCATGAACTCTTGCGCATGCTGCCAGCGCATTCCTCCCAGAAGCAGCCTGTTTCGAGCTCCAAGCCCCGGACTTACTTCATCAGGCTGAAACCTGTGTCGAGTTCGCAATGAAGATCGCAACGTCGCACCGACCAAGGTGGCTGCACTGGGTTGGGCTGCGGACCTCTGAGACACGAAGCTGCGGAAGAGCAGCAGCGCCAGTGTCCATGCAGCACATGGCGGCTCGCACACCTCTGGCAAAGCTGTTGGGGGGGGGGCTACCGCGAGCTAACCAATACAGCAAGCATCCTTCCCGCCGTATCGCCAGAACGTAGGCGCAGGACGCTCAGCACGGCGTTGAAGCTGAAGCGATCAAGCCCAATTGCAGCCAATTCCATGTTTCCTCCGTTAACAACCATATGCCTGCCATGTGTTGTCGTGCTTTGGCTTCTGCAATCAAGCTGGAGACTGCTGCATGCAACGCTTCGGCAATCGTCGGGTTGGGTAATCAATGGTATATCAATGGTGTAGCCAGGGCACGCAAGAATGCAATAACAGAGCGCCAGGCAGATCCCTGCAATCAAGCGCAATGTCAATTTCATCACACTTTGCACTATCTGAACCCCGGCCTGTGAAGATGAACTGGCCAGAGACTGGATGGCAAGACAAGCACCTCTACAACGTGTCGGGGTCTTGTTCTCAAGCATGGTCCCTGGTAGGTAACTTTCATGACAAGCCTCCTATGCCCATGAAAGTCCAGTTTTTACAGCTTGGTGATCGTAGACGGCCTACCTGGCCTAACAAGAAGTAGAATTCATGTTTAAAGTTACTTGGGCTGGGAATGCCGACTACAACTTGGAGATTCCACACGACCAGTTAGGCCAAAGCATCCTGGGAAATTTGCCCTCTGCGGGCCCGCCGCCGAAGAAACTAAAGCTTAAGTCTCTTGCTTAGGGCTTAGACCCTGCTATCGGGAACTTTGACCCAGAGGATGGCTTGAGAGATGCGACGACACCTGTTCTTTTTTCGCTTCAGAGCCATTGGCATGCATGACTTGTTCGGCTGGCTGCTCGACTGCTTTGCGTCTGCATCGGCAAAGGATGCACAAAGCAAGGTACCGGCAGACCGCCCAAGAGCATCGGCAGGGCCACACCAAGAATCCACGGAAGGCGGCTCGCAGTGCTAATCTCAGCATCTTCCAGGCTATACGAACAAGCAATGCCAGCCATGCTCCAATCAGCAGGTGGTCCCGCACGAAGCTGACATGCAGGTGCCCTGGAAGCCATTTCTGATCTTCTTCGGGGAGTTTGGACCTGCCAGTCTCCATCATCCACTGCATGCTCGAGCGGCACACCCCAGACAAGTCTGCGGCTTCGTTCAGAAGCCCCGACGCCGTCTCGGTGAAGTTGTCAAGAACATTACTCATCGATGCCTTGGCCGCCTCCTGCCGAATCCTGTCCTGGAGCACGACCAACTTGGCAGAGGCCTTCGTCCAGAGCTGCACCCGAATCTTGCGCAGGATCTTGGCCGCCTGTGCAGCCGCTGCCCGCCCCTTCACAGGATCCGCCCCGAGGCCTTCGTTTAGGAGCACGAGGAAGCCATCAAGCAGGAGCTGAAAAGACTGCTGCAGAGCAGCTCTTAGTGCCTGAGCTGACACGACGCCTGCAAGTGGCAGAGACCTACGAGTAATGGCAGGTCAGCTCCTAAAAGATACATCTAGAACATTCCAGAACTGATGAATCACGTCATGAAGCAGCCACCAGAAGTCCCGCATCACACGAGTCGCCCTCGCAGCGGATCTGGCCAGAATAGAAAAGCAACAGTTCTTGCTCACCTACGGGGAGGTCGGCTTCCTCTGCGCTCATTGCGTCTTTGACGATGGGCTCCGGCAGGCAGGCTGCTGATGCTTGGCAGGCCTCGGCCTGACCCTGAAAATGTTCGGGCAGGCTGTGCCGGCAAGCGCCGAGCACTTCGCCGAAGTCGGCCTTCTGGCCATCGAAGTTGCTGGAGCAGAGGGATTGCAGGGCTTGCTTGCAAGCAGTTGCGTTGTATTCCGGCACGGCAACATCATTAGTTGGATCCTCAGCGCCATCAAAAATCAAGGCACGCAACTCTGTGGATGGAACTTGGTTGGAATTTGCATTATTTGTGCAGCCAGCGGCAACAAGCGAATTGCTGCTGTGGCTGTTCGGAAATAAAGAATCTCGGATATCGCCTTCCATCGTGAAGCCGAATTTACCCTGACCATCCCTCTTCAGAGGCAAGCAGCTGGTAGGCGTGCCGGGGCCACAAGCGCAGCTTGCTTCGGACTCTTGGATTCCACCGCCTAAGTGAATGCTACTTGGGTGAACTGATGAAGTGATGAACTCAACCCCACCACGTCGAATGAATCTTTGAGCGCCAGTCAGTTTTCTCATATGGCAAGGCCCATCCGGCCTTGTTCGCTGCGATCTGTTCCTCGAGACGCGCAGTGCGCGCCAAAGTGGCCTCCAGCTTTGTTTGCCTCGCACGACGGCCCCAGCTTAAAGCACACATCTGAATTTCTGACTCCTAATGTATTCGGCTACACCCACCAACACAACAGAAGCGGAAGGCAAACCTGATTCCAAATTTTGGGATGGTTGCAGCTGCTTCTCCCTATCTTCGGCGGCTTGTCTTGTGAGCTCGACTTGCTTCATCTTTGCTGCCCTGGGCAAGCGGCACGCGGGTCAACCGCAACGGCAGTGCAAGAAGCATGCAAGCAACCATGCATCTTGTGAATCTTGTGTGCAGTCTTCCATTATCGCTTCCTTTTTGTTCTGCTTCCTTTCTTTCATGGGGTTAGGGGTTAATCCCGGATCCCCTCGGGCATGTTTGCTCGCCGCTGTTTCCAGCTCGGAGTCGCCTGCGCCAGCAGTTCCGCGCATTTTGTGGAGCCAGCCTTCTCACCGAGCGGCGACATGTCTCCGCAGTTTTCGGAGCCGTTTCTTAGAAAAGCACATGCTTTTCGGACCCCGCAGGCTTTTTCTTGCCACCCGCCAAGCAGACCAGCCACACTGCAGGGACAGCAGGTTTAGGGCTTCCGGGACCGTCGTGAGCCGGCATTTCCGCACTTTTTGGAGCCCACCTTTTCCAAGTCCATTAGAGCAAGGCACGCAATAAGCCAGACAAGTCGTGAACAGAAGTCGCTAGATTCGCTAACTGTACTCCAGCGGGTTTCTTGGAGCTTGAAGGCCGCGCCACGAGTTTCTTGAAGAGATCCGCACTTCGTCCTCTTCGGGTTCCGCATAGTTCCGTGCGCGAAGGTCCAAGAGTTCGTGGGAATACTTGGGAATAGCATGGTGGTGGATGCGGACAACAGGGCATGTTTTGGAATGCGCCGGGTGTTCTCATCGCCTGATGCGCTTTTCGGCGCTCCGGGCTGTGGTCCAGGAATCGTGGTGTTATGTGGTCCATGTTTCCCTCGCGCAAAGTTGGCCTTTCCTCGCCTGGATCCGTCGGTAAGCTTCGCAAGTGGTGCACACGTCTGCCAAATGACTCATCTTCTCACCACCGAGGTCCCTGGCTGAATTCCCCAACCCTTCCCCAACCCTCCCACCCTAGGCTGCCACTCTAAGGCTATGCCGCTATGCCTGGAAGCCTTCACGGCCCTCCTTTGCCAAGTGACTTGCAAATTACCCTCGACCTCTAAAGCAATACACAAAGCCGTCGTGCGAGTTATTTTGCTGTCCAAGAGGAGATGCACCTTCGCAGTTCGGAGCCATCTCTGACTCTACTTGGCAATGGAAGAAGCGCAACATGTAAAAAGAGAAAGGGCTGAGCTGTTTATCTGAAAGATCCTATTTAATGGACCTTGCGCAGGGTGAGACTCATAACTGCACCCTGAAACAACAAGTGGTGCTCGTTAGGTCCCACCCCTTTCGCGCCTGAATATCTTGAAACTCTGGTTCCCCTCGCAAACTGGCAGACAATAGCACTGTCAGACATCGTCACAGTAGAAGTAGCCCCGTGTCAGCATCAGCCACTGTTGTTCCCCAGGCAATCCCAAGGTTCCAAGCTAGGCCGGCCAGACGCCAGCTGCTCCCCCCAATTCCGTGTGGCGTTAAAAGATAGTGGGCGCTTGAATGGCACATCTGCACAAAAAGCCTGTCATAAGTCAACCCGGTCACATGTCTGCCATCTCATTCCTTGCTTGTGCGAGCCTCAGTGCTGACATCGGTCTCGCTTCTGTGGTATGTGAGGTCACACTTCGACAAAGATCTCAAGTTGGTTCTGCGCATGACCGGCATGACTCGCACAATAAACTCTGCACTGTTGCATGTTGACTGGGCAAAGGAACGAAACGGCTCTGCTTGCTTCCCGGCAGCGATGCTTCTGCCGCCTCTGCGCGTTGCAATGGTGAGATCGCCTGTGCTGGATGTAGTCATGCCAAAGTCTGCATTGTTAAGACCTGACGGTTAGCACGTCCTGCCTCTTCTCCTGCGATCACGGCACAGCTGTCTTTGCATGTCTGCGCCATGAACTCCGGATGCTGCTGGCATGCGCCACCTGAAAGAAACTGTCAGGCTACTTTTCAGCTGCTTGTGTGAAATGGGCGCGGCCGCCCGGCCCAAACTGCAGTCAGGATCACCACAAAGCAGGCCGCCCAAACAAAAGAACGCATCTTAGCTTGCGAGTCAGGCTCTCTGGGCCCAGCTGTCGCAAAGATCAGAGGCGCCGGATCCGACGAGATTTTGGCAGGCACCCTGACACTCCTCAACGGCAAGACATACTGATTCATGTGGCTCTCGTCTTCGAAGCCCAACTTTGAAAGCCCTGCAAACCTCACAAGCTCTGAAAGACGGTCCGCATTCTTGGCCTCGCTCCTTCAGCATGAAGGAGGGGTTCTTCTTGCACTCACCCGCGGCCGCCCACTGCGTACAGAAGGACTGACCAGACTGGCTGCTGGCCCTTGGCAATGGCAAACATCGCAGCAAGGCTGAGCTGGCTCAGCAAACCACGGTGCCACCGAGACGCCCCGACATTCCGTTTAACAAGCATGATATGAATTACATTCTCAACCTTTCTCCGCTGGGCAGGCGTCTGAGTTGAGGCTGTTGAGCAGCTTGTTGGGCAAGCCTCAGCACAGCTGCCACTACAAGGCGACCAAGATCACATGCCTTACTTCCTCGTGCTACGAACTCGAGCACTCGGCGCCTGCAGCATGTAGTCGGCATTGCGACTGCACTCTCCAGCTGCCGCCCATCGTGAGCAGAACTCGCTCTGGTCGCCTGCCTCGTGGATCGGTCGAAGCAGAAGTGTCAGTGTCTGTCCAGTGCTGCACAAACTGCCCTTTCATGTGGCGCGTGTCTGCTTTGTCCGTCTAGCTCAACAACGATGGATCTGCAGCCGAAAGCTCTCTACAATGCTAGGCAGCAAGGTCTTTGTTTGACAGCGCATTCGTGATTGCACATTCGTGAGCTCACCACCTCCGCGGCGACATGCCAGAACACGATCGCCGCCATGCAAGCGTGCTGGCTCAGAGTGGACACGGGCGCCATGGCCATGACCCCCTGTAGCCGTCTTACTCGTAGTTTTGCTTGCGCAATGCTGATCCTCCACTACAAGCATTCCAAGACCAATGTAGGACCAATGTAGTTCCTTGATTTCCGGCGTTTCTGAAGAATATTGGCAGCACTGCCCAAGTGAGCGTTACAGAGTCTGTCTCAAGCATCCCGTGCATGTCTTGTTCAACATTGACCCTATTGCTTTGGGAACTCCCATGGCCCATAGCTGGAAAAAACATGTGCTGAAGAAATGTCAGGAAAAGCACGTGCACTGCGCACCATGCTCCGCGTGCAGGTACCCTATCGGCCCTATGTGGGGCAGAAAAAGAGTGACAAAGCAATCCACCGAGGCCTCGGGTTGAAGGTGTAAGGTTGTGAGAACAGGCACCCTCCTGCCTGGAATGGGTACCCCCCTAGGCGACCACGATCTGCAAGCGGACGGCAGGACCAGGGGCAGTTGAAGCCCCGCCCAGCACGGCCCCCCCCCTCCGCTGCCCCCCCCCTGCCCCCCGCCCCTGCCCCCGCCCCCTCGAGAGGCCCGCGGCTCAATGGTGTGAGCATTATGTTACGAATCCTGTCCAAGCCGAACCGTCCAAACCCTGAACCTTGAACCTTGAACTCCAAACCCAAAAACCCTAAACCCCAAACCGTAAACCTTGAGCCCTAAGCCCTCAACCCTAAACTACCCTCAACCCTAAACCCTAAACCCTAAACCATAAATCCTAAACCCTAAACCCAACCCTTATTGCTTGGGGTCCACGCAGATGCGCTCGGCCGGGCCGAGGCGGGTCGCGTAGCGTTAAAATTACGATAACAGTGCTGCTAAGGCACCGAATTCATTCTGATGCACATTGTGCAAGTGCATGTGCTCCAGTGTGCTCACACCTCTCCTCCACTGCCCGACCTGTGATGCAAACATGTGAGAGCAGTTCTGTCTGATTCACGTAGAACCGCACGTGCTATGGGCACGTGCCGTGGCTGTGATCTGACCAGAAACATGGATGCCTGGCAGCAGGCCAGCGCCAGGCTGAAAGTCACTCCTTGGCTTGGAGTAGGCTCAGATTCGGGCAACCACAGCCTCTGCCAACTTCAGCACTCAGCACGACGACTTTGCTTTGAACCCCGTTTCATGCAGCCAACTCCTCTGGCTTCCAGCCGACTCACGGACGCCACTAGTTGTAGCAGAACCACTTGCACGATGCCTATCCTCCTGGACATGATCATCGAAAGATGCTTGCAGTCCAAGGGATCTCTGCACCCAAGTTTCTGCTTGCCTCAATGGTGTAACATGTCATGTCTTGCAGGATGTTGAAGACCTGAAGCATTGCCGCAGCATGCGCAGCGACGATGCAACAAGATCCGAAAAGCCTCTGCAAGCTCGTTGAGCAACTGGGCATGACAAATGGCAGGTGGCCTTCAGCCACTGGCGGCTTTTGGCGGATGTCAGCCCGCTGAGAGCCGAGTTGCAAACCACGGTTGTGGAACCTCCTGGAATCGCTCGCATGCATGTAACTGATTCAATGGCTGAAACTCCACTTCATGATATAAGCATAAAAAGAACTGGCCACCTTTGACCCCTGATGCCATCCGCGCATGGGCAATCCTCTGTTGCTTCGGCAAGGTTCCCGCAGAAATGTACCTCAGATCTGGCAGATTTTGAACCGCAGCATGACAGTAACAAGCTTTAAAGTCAAGCTTTAGCTTGTCGGATCTGGACTTCCGGATGTGTTGCCAGCAGCAGCACATACCCTACCTCACAAAGTACAACCACAGTCGGCTTTTCGAATCATTACGTAGAGCTCCGACAGGGTCAAGGTACTGGCACGACATCGGTCCAGCAAACCACGCCGCTCTTCTTGGTTTATGCTGTTACAACTTTTACGTGCAGAACACTCCTTCTTGACCTGTCAACAGGGAGTCGAGACGCTGCCGAAGCCACAGCAGCTGTGGGCCCAAGTGCATGGTTCAATCGAAGCGCCTAGATGCCCTTCAGCAAACATCAGCAAACTGAGCATGGGTGATACCGCTGCCCGCCCTTTACAAAAGCAACGTCAAAAGGCTCGGGGCAAGGATGTGCTGTGTTAGTTTTTTGAGACATTCAGTCCTTCTTTGCCAGGTTGCTTAATGCCTGGCCTGCTGAACGCCACAGCATGGCAGTGGTGTAGGACCTGCTGGTTGTTGAGTATGTCACCACCTGGTCTGAAGGGGGGGGTGCAGAAATGCACCCTGCTGCTTACATCAGCCTGGGGCTAGTGACAATACTAAATACAGGAGACTATACACTGAGACGCAGGTGTAAAATGAGCCCTTCAAATCCCCTGGAAAAAGTAAAAGGCTCGCCAGGCAAAACTTGTTCAAGCATACAGGGCACGTTCGGCTGCACTCCGATGAGCTGCATACAGAGCAAGCGGTGCATCCTGAGCGGCAGAAGCCAGATTCCTACTCGCAGCCTCGTCTTTGGGATTTGGGGTCTTGCGAGTCTTGCGTCGCTATCATTTTGCCCTTCCTGCTGTTCTCTAAACTTCATGCGGTCACGGGGCACACTCCTCCAAGCCCCAGCAGTTTCGCAGGAGGCAAGTAGCGCACTGCACACCACCACGTTCGCTTGCACCTCACATCTCCATGGCCAATGCCTATATTTACCAATGCCTATATTTATATGATCCCGGTGTTCCGCACGCAGCATGTACGAAACTGCATCTAAGCTTCCTCCACCCGGACTTCTGCAGCTTAACCTGCAGGCCCTCTTAAAGTCAAGCCTCTAGAACTGCTAACCAGTACCAAGGACAGCGGCTTCGACCCTCCAACAGATTGCAACTCAGAATGGGGGTCGCCTCTTTGGCCTGTAGGTAGCCCAGAAGCTCTGAAGCTCCAGGCCATGGGACACCACCTCAACCACTAACTTTCCATGCGCGTGTCGACTTAGGGAAGCCCAAAACAATCGAAACCCTATGGGTTGCAGACTCGGAACTCTGACTTTTGCAGCATGGGCGTACGAGAACTGAGGGCCACACACGCGACAGCTGCACCCAAAGCTACCACGTCACACTCCTTGCAACGGCACCATGCAGGGATTGAAACAGAAGCTTGCCCTCTCAAGAACTGCTAAGACATCCGTCCAAGGAAATACTAAAAAATGAAAGGAGTCCAGACAGCAACTTCCGTTTTCAAACCCTGCCGAAGATCCAAGGAAGCCCATGGAATTCTGCTGATCAACGATAAGGCCATCGGCCACCTCGCACGCTTTGCAAGTCGGCAACAGCGCTTACGTTCGCCGCCCAGCATTGATGGCGTGTCGATGGATTGACGCGCAGTATTCCTGACAAGTGCCCGGCACCGGCCTTTCCGGAGAACAGGCGGTGATGGATGCACTGAAAGAAGTCTTGTCTGCAATGCGCCTGAGATTGCCGCAGCTTTGCCACCAGAACGGGAGCAAAGATGAGCCAAGCTTATACGATGCTTGGTGACTATTGGCAGCTGAAGACTTCGAGACTTCGAGCTTGACACTTCTATTGGTCAGCCTGCGGCAGAGGAGGAACAGCGTGCGGAAAGCCCTCTGCCAAGCGCTGGCGCTGGCAAATGCCTGCACGGATGTGTTTACTCCACATATACAAAATGCATGATAACCTTTCAGACATTGACATTGTACCTGATTGACTGATTGAGTGGCCTACATACCCGAAGCCTTCCTCTTCTGGGTGTGCAGTCCCGGCGGCACTCAGCGCTGCATTGTAGTGGAAGATGTTGACCTCACCTTGACCAGGGATGCTTGCGACGGCAGGATGAAAATCAATCAAATCCGAGCAGCGCGTGGGCCGAGTGGGCCAGCAAGTGATTCCAGTACCCGTAACAAGCCAAGGCACCACGCATTTGCGTCAGCTCCACTAGCCTAAGCTAAAAGGCAATCTGAATGGGTGGTGATGGCAGAGAAGCTCGACTGGAGCTGAATCTTCACATGCACGTCTTGTTGGAGCCGACTGGCAGGCGCAGAACCGCTGAGGTCTGCCGAGCCCGACCCAGATCGGTGATGGTCTTTGTAGTTAGTCTTGGCTCCTTGGCACAATGCCATCATCATCCTGCAACGCTGGGCCCAGACTTTCTGGTATTGGTATTGAGGCCCAAACCTGCGCCAGCCTGTCTCCAGGGCAGAAAACCCGTGCTAGACGAAGTGACTTGTAATGCGCAACTGGGGGCGAAAGCTCGATGATGCAGGAGGGGGTGCACGAGTGAGAGCAGCAGGGTGGTAGTCCATGCTCAACATGCGCTCCGGAGCTCCCGACTGCGAGCGATCTTCGTTTCCAGAAGGGGACGAAGCGCAATAATTACCATTACACCTCAAGCGCCTCCACCTGGCTCTGAGATTACTCTGGGCTGCTCCAACACTAAAGTCTTGGCTCCCTGGCGCCTCAAGAGCTGTTCTCGTTCAATCTGCGTGGAGCTGGAGAAGATGTTTGGGGCAGCCACGGCCATTGCAGAATACCCAGATTGCGCTACTGCTGTGCTTGACCCAGTTAAAGAAGTCAATTGCGCTCCTTGCCGAAACACAGTGAAACATGTGGCACATCAAGGTATCGGATCCGCTCCTGAACGGAAGGCTGAATGCGACATGCTGAAGTTCGGGGAAATATCCAGCCTAAGCAGTGCGAAAGTCTGATCCTTGCAGGAGCCGTATGCGAAAGCCTACACATGCTAACTTGCGCAGAACTTTCCCGATGGTTTATGCACGCACTCCCTTTGGGAGGGGCTTCGCATGGCATCTGCAACACATACGCACGTGGCAACAAGATCACACGTCGACGTATCAACATCATACTCGGTCAGGAACCCAAGACGCAGCTCTGATTTGCTCATGGTACGCATGGTGGCAGACACCGACTGTACATCCACGACCCTACTAATCATGGGGCCGCCACATGGGCGCTTCTTGCAACTATGCTGAGAATGCTGAGCTGCTGTGGGGCATCAGCTGCCCTTGCGGCGGAGCCCATGAAACCTACGCGTTCGATGAATTGGGTGCATTTGGGTGCATCAGATGATATCACCTGCCTCGAAGCTTTCACAAGGGCACCTGAATGAGTCGTCCCACTGGCGCAACTACAATTCCCAGCATTCGACCCTGAAACATCAGACCATGCCCGTGAGAACTACGCGCCAGAAACGTTGTTGTTGTGCTGATTTGCTGTGCCTTCTGCCACTGCAGCCCAATTCACTCACTTTTCATACTTTCTCGAGGATCTGAGCCGGCCTTAATTCAGAGCCTCCAGCAAAAGCTCCGCCGCATCCGCAACAGGAGTCTTTTTGTGAGTCTGGCCCATGAGCAGAACGTGATCCTTAGCAGCTTAGCAGCATGAAAGCCGACCCAGGAAGAAAGAAAGATCTGTCGGGCCTGAACAAACAAGAAGTAGTAGAGACAGCAGCCTTACTCCAAAAGTCGTGGTACCAGATGACCGTCTTTGGACGTCACGCATTGGTTCAAGCATATTTCTGACCGGGCTCTGAGATGCGCCGGAATACCCTGCGCAAGTCCTGAGACGCATGCACAGCGATTCCAAGCAGATGCGGTGGACCTGACGCACTCAGGTCCAGAAGGAGGCTTTAAGAGGTCGTACGTTTTCAGGCCAAAGCTGGCAAGCACTGGCACATGTGGCGGTGATGCACGTTTATTCAGTCGCGATTCTCTTTTGGCGTTGACCACTCGCCCGATCAGGTCGAAGCCCTGAAACCTGAGCACGACATGTTGAAGTCTGCCACTGGACTTTCACAGAACTTCAAAGCATGCGTCTTCCGTGGCACCCACGCAGCGCAGTCCCGCAAAACAACGAGACCCAGAACCCAAGCAACACGGTCCGTATTCGCCAAGCCACTGAACCATGACCTCATGCTAGGCACTGGAGCTCCGGCCAGGCATATCGAAACAGCTGAATGCTTCCCTCTTCTGCATGGCCAGATGAAGCTACAGCATCCATTTATGACGCTTCTCAAACGTTGTTCTGCGTTCTTATGTAGGCCCGCCACACTCCTGCCATAAATCTCCACAACCGTGCGCAGTTGGTCCCACTCCTGCTGCATGGAATTGTAAGGATGGGTGGCTTCGGAACGTTTAAGCTAACGTTTAAAATGCAGCCATCCAGTCATATCCAGTCGACTGCATAAAGAATGATGCTATCTTATATCCCAAGCGACACACTAAACGGTGTCCTCGTTTACGAAGATTTCCTCAGCCAACTCTGTCGCCACGTGGCCTCACGAACGCGGAGTCGTGATCGCTCCGGCGAAGCAAGTTTCACTACACAACTCTGTTGGCAAACCGATAGCGCAACAACACTGTCCCCACTCACCCAGCCTCGGACACGGCCTATCTCGGTGCACTCAGGCCAATGGACAATTGCGAACCGTACAAAAGGAAAGTTCGATCGAACAAGTGAGAAACAAACCAACAATGCCGAGTGCCCTCGTTTATTACAGAATGAAAGAAGCCCTAAAGGGCGAAGCTTACCTGAAAAACAAACTGTCAACCAGCATTGGGATGAAACGTTGATGATACAAAGCCCGCAAGCTTGCTTTCCCCCTTTTGCAAAGTCACGGCAGTGCACTGGAACCCCATATCAACGGCAGATGCGCAATCAGAAGAGGAGCGGTATCCTGATGTCAACCGAGGCTCTGAAGCTCACCAGGTTTCTCAAAGCCGCTAGTATCTGCTCCTTGCTTCTCACCAGGAGCTACGAGGGCATGGCTGGTTGTTGTGACATGTACAGCACAACGCCGTGATGTCCCTGCTTCAGTGAACATGCGTGATGGTCTAGGTGGTGCGGGACCAAGAAGTGCCCAGCTTCGGCAATGGCCATGCTGTCCATGTTGTCTTCGTCGCTGGCCTGCACGTTGCAAGCTTTGCGTGTTCTGGCAGTACTAGGGTTCAACCCACCCAGGCCGCAAGGAGCATTGCTCATCAAAACCTATTGCCCAGAAACAGGCCGAGCTCTCTGGCTGCCAAAGTTTGAGCACCTGCGCGCCTCGATATGGATGTTCCGCAGACCGTCCCCGGCCTCCGATCCTGTTTGCAGCTTATGGCAGAATCCCAATGACAGTTGCCGCGAGCATCCAGAACATTTCGAAAGGTACTTGTGGCCGGAAAGCGCAAGGGCCATCTGATGTCAAAATCTCCCAGCCTATGCTGCTGCGCCGCGAGCTCCTGCACAAAGGTGTGCCACGAGTCGTGGCACTGTAAGTGTCGACTGCAGAAATTGGGGGGGTGGGGGGGGGGGGGGGGGGGGAGCGTGCTTCTCAAGTCAAACATTCATGCAAAAGGCTGGGCTCTTCAGCTTCACGCCTGTTGCGGGGGCCAGAGCCGATACTGCCAACGGATGCTCGTCTGCCTGGATCAATACTTGCAGGATCAGGTCTCGATTGCCCCCCCCCCCCCCGCCCAGAAAAAAAAAACAACCTAAAACTATCCGAAATCTGATGCCGAAGCAAGGCAAATGCAACCTCAGCCTGTGTTTCCGATTCAAGCGATACTCAAATTCAATACAACCTCTGACCTCGACTCACAGCTCGGACCTGCCAACATTCTTGAAGCTACGCTATGCCACGCATTACAATTCCCACTGGTGCCGTGCCTGGCTCTTGCGCATGCTTCCCGTTGACGGATGTTCGGCGTATTTGCGACAATCTGCGCCGGCGCTCCGCGTCTGCCGCTTTTTGCGCCTCGACGCCTGCGCGCGAGGCGAAGGAAGCGATCGAACAATGCATTCAGAGAGCAGCTTCCGAGCAACGACACACACACACACACAGAGCCCGCCACAAGACACATCACCCCAGTGTGGCTACAATGCACTACACATCCAGCACTCTTTCCGCCAATGCAGATGCGGCCCTTCGTTCTCACTGCATAAAAAAACTCAGAACTCAAGATACGTGGCGGATGCTGATGGTTCGACGATGTTTACAACAATCTTTTCAAAGATAGAAGGTCACCGACCGAAGTGCGACTCCCCAAGGTGGAATCTCCCAGATGCATGTTTCCACCAGGAGACGCAAGACCAAGAGACTGCCCCGAAGTGACTTGGGGCAAGTGCCCTCTCGTGCAGGGAGGACACCCGCGGCAAGTTGCAAACTGGGGCACTGCGCACCCAGTGAGACAGCCATCTCGGTCAAATGGAACAGGATCAACAGGCGGGAGACTTGACACACGCACGAAAAACGACTCGGCGAGGGTTGCAGCGGAAGTTGGGACATTGGCCAGGAAAAAAGAAAGATTTTTCAGATCGTGACGGGCGAAATGCGGTGGGGGGGAGTGGGCGAGTGGGCGAGGGGGGCCGCGCGGCCATCACGTACCTCCCACGCTCTGCGGTCACCTTTGAACAGCCAAGGGGAGGAGCAGGCTGTGATTCTGAATCTTCGAGGCATGGTCCAATGGCGTCAATGTGCTCACTGCCACTCGATTCACTGATTCACCTTGTGCCCTGGGCAGCAAGCGTGTCTTCCATTCCATCGCGATGAAAGTACCCAAGCATTTCAAAACTTGGTCAGAATCTCGCTGCATGCCCACGGCAGGTGTCAGCCTTAAGGGTAGCGCGTCCAAAGCAAAAGGCAATCTCGAAGGCTGTACTCAGCTGCTTGGGTGGACACAGTTCTTGCCGTTTACTGTTTTTTTGACTTTTGTGGACAGCAGCTGCGAGATAGACAGCGAGTCAGCATAAGGGTTTTGCCTTGGCTTCCGTTGCCGTGCCCTTGCCAAAATGCATTGCCGGGTTGTTCTGATTTGCCCGATGGGCGCAAGCAGAGCATTCCACCTGTGTAAGGCAGGCACGATGTCTCCATCTCGAGTGATGTGTCGCAGTTGCTCTTGGCAACACGTGCGTAGCCGTATGAAGTGACCCATACAACACTCGGCATAAACACAAAGGCATGCAACAAATTCGGCAACTGGTTGACGCGTGCTGAATGCTAACATGCAAAACATGCATAAGTCTGAGCTGCACTAGTTGCACCATCTGCTGCCAGAGTTCGTGTAAGGCACCAGATGCAAACGACAATTCGGCAGCCATAGACAGGCAAGTTAGCAGCTTGTCACATGATCCCTGCTTCACACACATGTCGCTCAGGTGCGCTCTGCATAGCTCCTGGATCATATTCCGCATTCAGGTCGTCCAGGGAGTACTGGCTGGTTTTTTTCCCGGCGCCTCAGCTCACAAACTGGAACCCGCAAAGATGTTTTTCGAGCCTCAATGTCGTAACTTCTTCTCAGCTCTGTCGCTATCGCCGATGTTTGCAATCCACAACTGTCGAAGAACCAGGCGAAGCTCTCATGGAAATTGTAGCTAAATTCAAGCTCTTGGGCCCTGGCCTGTACCTCTGGACATAGCTGCAGCCTGCACGGGGGCGAAAAAAAACAAAAAAATGCCAAGTGGCACTCGAGGTAGCTTGAAGCACCCGGGCCTCGCCAGAAACAAGAGGAAGGCAGTGGTGCCAAAGAGTGGTCAGCAGCAGCCTCCAAAAGCGGGTTTTGGGGCGAGGAAATGGCAAACCGTTGACGCAACAAGCGTGCCTTAAGCCGCCTCCATCGACAAAAGCTGTTGCTGCTTGCTGGCCTTGGCAAGGCGAGGAAAACACGGGTTTATACAGATGGGTCCCACATCCAAACTGAGGGGCTCAAAGGAGCCGATAATAGATTTCGGAGCAGGCCACCGCAACATCTGCTAACCTGACCGTGGGCAGTAGGTCCACACAGTAGGAATCGTCTTTGATCACGTTGACACGTACTGCCAAATTGCACATGTGACCGAGTTGAGATGTATAAAATGACTCATGCCAATGACCATGAAACGAAACATAGTCGGTCAGTTGGCCTCCTGGCTCTGTCGGTGTAGTCTTAAGGCCTTCCGCTCATCAGGCAGGAACATGGAGCAGCTCAAAGGCATCCTATTGGGCTGCTGCATGTGCAGTTACTCACTTAGTGTCAATCTGGCCGAATCTAGCCCATGCCCAGAATCTGGGAGCAAGGCCTGCAAAACACGAACCGCTGTCTCAGAGCCTGAGTCCACGTCTTCCACCAGTGTCTGCTACATGTTCGCGGAGTGTTGAACAAGTAGCCTATTGTTCCTCTGTTACTCTGTTCGACGACTACTGTCGGGCACAGCAGGCCTACAGTGATACTGGCAAAAACCCACAGGAAGGATAAGAGGTTAATTAGGCGCATCCACACCAACAAACACAACCATACGGCAAAGTCCGTATCTCACCCGCTCGCAATGGGAAGATCCAGCTCCAGCATCTCTAGTCTGAGCGGCATCGAAACATCTTCTTGCAGTCCGCCGGGGAGCACTACAGTTCACTTTTGCCCTGGTGATCCTGGTGGCACATTCCTGTACAAGTACTTTTTTTGACAGCGTTCCGGGTGATGCGTGGGATGCCCAGGGCCTGAACGGAGCCATACCGTAACAGCAATTCTTGTGCTTTAAACACAATGTCCAGCAGTATGTCTTGTAGAGGGGACATGCCATCACGTCCAGCACAACCAACTGCAAACGCTGCTCCAAGAAGCTAGAGGCTAGAGGTGTTACTCAGTTGTGCTAAGAGTCGGTTTAGCTGCTCGGCGTAGCCGTGCAGAGCCGACAACGTCCTTGGTGATGTGCTTCCACTGGCAGCTAGCTCCACATGCTGCATCAAAAGAATGCCCTTGGATCTGAATCAGTGCTTAAGGTGATAGCCACCTTCTGTACACTTGCGGCCTGCCTTCTACCACACTGACTGGAGGCCGCCGGGGTGCCAAAGCAGGTTCATGCCAGCGCCCATGACATGCCTTTGACTTTCGGCAGTAGAGGTGCGACGAGAGTATACTCTTGCATAAAAAGATGTCAACCAACTACTGGACGCATGAGGCACGGCAAAACCCTCGACCGGCAAAACAACAGCGCTGCAAGAAAACACAATACTAGCTGCCAGCCACTTCGCTGGAACTAAGTATGATAGGTCTCAAGAACATCAGCATTTCTCCAAGTCTCGTGTTGTCCACGTGATGGTCCACGGCCTGAATGCAACGTTTCCGGCCGAGCTACGAGCAGGACGGGATATTCCACAGCCTCGAAGATGGTCTTGATGATGTCATACCTCCTCACAATCTCGAAGGCCGCCTGTCACGGACACATGCTGAGACTGCCAGGACAAGAGCTGAGCATCATTCAAGGCCACCCAGCCTGTGCCGGAATGAGGTCCTTGAGTGCCTAGCCACGCACACACGAAACGTATTCCAACATATGGCTGCAGGGAACGCCCAACTGAAGAGCCACGCCAGACACTCTCGCAACTGAAGAACTTGAGTATTTAACAAGCTTTACAATCTCCAAGATTCATCTATCCTCTGTTCACCATTGCAGCAACAAAGTGCTCTTGCAGCACCAGAGACTACCACCGCGTTGTCCTGCGAGAGCGAAAGCTGCTTGGATTGAAAAATTGTTCGAGCTGCTTCCCAGTCAAGGCTTAAGCGCTCACATGGCGCACACTCGGTATGTACTTCATGTGACTAGCGCAGCAGTAGTGTGCGCATTGGAGCCGGGTCCCAGGTTGTCAGGGGCTTCTGTGTTCCTTGGATGTTGCCAGCAGAGACAGCATGTACTCGACGCAGCCGACCTCCACTACAGCCTGCCGGCCAGCATGCGGCTCTGCGTCTGGTGTCGTGGAATGCTTTTATACAAGAAAAGCTGCAACATACAGAGGCTACGTCCAACCAACTGGCTCCTGAGCGCCTTTCAATGTTGCAGAAACGGTCATAAGTCGGCTAGTTTTGTACATGTCTGTCGTAATTCAGGCACTGCGCAAGAATAAAAAACTTAGAAAGAACAGTCAGCAAAGCCAGCGGTGCCTCGCGGATGCGAAGCTTCGTCTTTGCCAGGTTGCTGAGGAAAGCCGCGCCTGCAAGGCAGAGGCCCAGGGCGGCCCAGGTAGGCCCCATTGCTTTTTCCTATCGCACGAATCTCGGTGACGACTGTTGTCACAATATGTCTCAATCCAATCCCGCCTGCTGCTTGGACTCGGGGTTGGTCCTTGTAATCCTGGCCAAAGCTTTTCAAGGAGGCTTATGCAGGTTGGCACAAGAAAGGCTGCGGAACTGCATGTAAAGGCCTTCATGTACTGTAGAGATCTGGCAGCAGCCTGAACCAGCAGAAGCAATCAAGAACCAATGTTGCGCAGTTGCGCATGATGCAGCCAAGCACGGTGAACATGTGCTTCCTTACGGAGGCAAAGGATTCGAGACACCATGAAGTTACGCTAACTCTTGATGGGCACTTCTTGTCAAATGGTTCAACGCCCAAGGTATAAACTGTAAACGACAGCACAGGTACCGAACAGATGTCCAGGCTGTGCGATGCCCAACAGCTCCAACACCAAGAAGACATGAACAGCACAGGCACTAGAAAAGAACCTACATGCCAAAAGGGTGATGCTCAACGGATCTCAACGGGGATCACCCAAGGGATCTGAGAACTGTGAGTACGACGCACGATATCCTACGATCATCTGGTGAACACCCGGAGCACTGCAGGGATCATCCTACATGCTCCGCAGGATTTTGGGGGGCGGGGGGGGGGGGGGGGGCAAGGGTGAGGATGAAAACAATGGTATGTAACCAGCATAGCCTTCTCTCTGTAGAGCAAGAGCGCAACTTCCTCATTGAGCGTCACAGCCGCCAGGAGGTAGAACATATTGGCCGCAAAGCCTGGAATGTATTTTCAGAGCAAGCACGAGTAGCACAGGCATAATGCATACATAGATGCCGGCTGCTTGTCCCAAGGAATTTGCGCTTGGTCTGGTTGGGTTCACCAACTTGCTTTCAACTTTCTGGCCTGCATTGCTCTCGGTGCTGTCAGCGGCCAGATGCCCAATGATCGTGAGGCACTTGTGGCATTCCCTCAACTAGTGGTGGTTGAGCATGGCAAACTCAATCAAGTGGCTGGTGCTGCAAGTGCCACACAGAAAAAACTACGAGAATTGCAGTCATGAGTCATGCCCACTTCGAGTTTTCGCGTCAAGTGGTACTCATCCTAGCGCCAAGTTGCGTCACATGCAAGTTGCGTCACACGCGTCATGCATAGCCTTCCATCCTTGACATGAATGCGCTGAACTGGAAAGCGCATGAAGAATCCCTCCTTCTCCAGCTTTTCATGGACTTCGAGTGTGAGGTTGAGCAGCACCCCCGCACCAGCCTCCGGGGAAAGGTCCAGGGTTCCGGCATTTAAGCTTAGGCGTGCAGGGGGTGCGCTCCAGTGACCTCTTCTGCCACAGCACAACACAAAGACATTCGAAGCACCTGCCTCTATGGCTGTCGTGTACTCGTGAAACTTTTTCAACGCCTTGCACGAGGCCGCTTGGCGAAGTTGCTCTGCAGATTAAGCAGTTGACGTGGCTGCTCTTGGAAGCCATGGGCCCTGCCACACAACATGCAACACGAGAAGGAAGAACTTGGAAGAGTGAAGCCAAGGGGATCTTGTGAATCTTGTGCTAACCTGCCAGAGCGCATTGATGACTTTCCGAACCACGTGTGTGTCCATCAGATCGATGCGTATCCTGAGTCAGGCTGCAACACAGCTTGCTCTGTCTCATTCGGCGTGGATGCACATTGCCTGAGTCCTCCGCTGCGAGCCCGGAGCGTCACTCATCAGCTGCCACTGCGAGATCAAGTTTTCCTTCTCAGCTGCACCTCCCACGGAAATATTTACGGTTGCAGTTATTGTTCCGAGGCAGTCCTATCCAATTTCTGCCTGTTGTGTTTGCCCTCACTATCCTCGACTCGTGACTATCGACTGTCATCACTTTGGCACGCCAAGGACAAGCCCGGCTTCAAACGTGCAGCCATGTGGATGGCGACCCTGACATTGACGATCACCGCTTTCAGCCGCTGAAGCTTCAAGAAGGCCCCAATAGTAGCTGACCCCCCAACTCTCGAAACGAGAACCCTTCACCAGTGTTCAGGATGGTTGCTAATTGCTAGTGGTCTTGTTGGTGTTTGCAACGTATCAGGGAAGCGACATCTAACCTGAAAGAAAAAAGTGAAAGAACAAAGTTGTTTCAGGGGCAGGCGGAATGACGACTGGGACAAATTCTGACCCACATCATCAACACAAGGAATACTTCCTTACGTGGTGCTTGAAACACATTTGCTCCACGGTGTGGAAAGCACAAGACTGAAACGAATCTTGCGAGACAACTGTCAATGCTCATTCGTGAGGCAGGTGGCTTATCGTGTTCTCATCATCGTCCTGCTCCTGCAGACAATGCGAATTCATGTGAGCCCTGTTCCCAAACAAGAAAACTCTGCGCGTCCTCAAGCTCCTGGGCCATAACGACGGCAAGGTTTTGATCCTTTAACTCCTGCTTCTGCTCACAGCTTGGGCGCGCAGCATGCATCGCTCAACCAAGTTCCGCCGGTACCACCGCATACTTAGAATGAGACATCGGCATTGCAATCAGCAAAACGGCATGGAAGCGCAGCAAACAAGCCAATAGATAGTTTATCTCCAGAATTACGGTACAGGGCCTGGGCACAAGCCGACCCCACCCCCCACCCCAGAAACCCCTCTGCGCCAGGAAAAAAAGCCCTAGGCCCTAGCCGCGTGGGGAGACTTCCGGGATCCTCCCGATGGTTGGCGAAAAAGCCCAGCTTCCAAGCGGGAAACTCAACGACAGGCAGTTTCACAGGCGCCTGCAGAAAGGCTGGCCACTTGCAGCCAAAGCTTGGATGAAGGTTATCTCCACATCGAGTTGTCACAATATATAGAGCTAGGTTGATCTCCTCGCCACGCATGGCATGGAGAACATCAGGGTTACCACCAACCCCTCTGCCGCCAGGCCAGGCCGAGGCGGTTGAAGCGCAGCATTTCTGGTCTACACTGTCTACACTCTTCAGGCCGGGGTCATGGGGCAGAGCGAACGAGCCGAGAAAATGAACAGAGGGAGCGGAGTAAAGGAAAATTTTTAACCAGAAAGCCGGGCACAGACACTGAGATAGATCGCGAGATAGACAGAGCAGCGGTGACAGGCAGAGAGAGGTGAGAGATCTAACTAGCAAGAAAGACGGAGCCCAGCAAGAGCGAGCATATGATAGCTAGCAGGAGAGAGAAAGAGAGAGATAGGGAGAGAGAGAGAGAGACGGACTCCCGACTGCCCTAGCGTGGACGGCGGCACAGCACCTGCGCGAGTCTCACTATCTTAGTTTCACAAAGGCAACGGTTGATCCTTCAGCTGCGTGTGGCTCAGCGCAGCAGCTAAGGCCCGAAAGGCCAGAAGCGAGGTTCCATCCTTGCAAACCAAGTTTGGAATGCGAGTGGAATGAACATGTCACGACTCTGTCCCAACTCAACTGCAAGCCCTTGAGACTTGGGGAATCTCAGGGTATCTCAGGGCTCGGACAGAAGGAAGCCGATCCAGCACTTTGAGCACCTAGTCGCCACACGACTCTGCCGACATTGCGAAGAATCCGGGCATGAACGTCAAGAGAGTCCAAGGAGTCAATGCCTCCAGATGCCCACCACGAAGCCCGAAGGGGGTCAAAGCCTGCGCCAGAAAATCTTCCGACTTGCCGAGGGCCTAGATCGTACTAGTCATCGGCCACGGGCTGCAGCCCAGAGCCAATGCCTCTGGAATGATGAGGATGCTGGTGAGAGCCTGCGCGCAACATGCAGAAGGTGACAATCACTGTGGCGTCGTCTTGAGTCTTGAGAAGTTGAAGACTCCATAGGACTGATCCTGGCACATCATTCTAGTGAACGTCACAAACGAGATGTGCACGGAGCAGTCTGGTGCGACGCAGATGTGGAGTAGTCAGTCGCTCAAAGCAGGAGAACATCCCTTGTGAATTCAATTCATCCCACCAAGCAGTTCCACCCGACGTGTGCCAGGATACGGCCGCCTTCTTCAGTCCCACCCATAACATTGTCATTTCTGCTTGTCATGCCTGGAGAACTTGATGCGTGACTTCCACATTCTCCCCTGTGAGCTTCAGGGCTTTCCTGAGATGACATATGTTGCAGAGTGCAGAAGCAGTGTGCAACAGCGTAAAGATACTTCAAAGGCGCAGCATCGCCGAGATGTCAAGGAGGGCAGGCTCACATTCGCATAGTCAGGCAAGGCAAGTGATTACACGTCGCAATGTCAGACTCAGACAAAGTCGACTACAAGCATACACACCCCCAACGACCTTCCCGCACTCAGGACATACCAAAACTAACGCCTTCGTGAACAGGCAAATTGAAACACCCTGCGTCCACAACTTCATGCGGCCGGGGCAGCACTAGCCAGTTGATCGCCCCATTCTGGGTTGCTTGCAAAGCAGCAGGTGGGGCTCGGTCACCTGGGCCGGTCCCAACTCCTGATACAGCCTGCACTGACATAAGTATATTGCAAAGCAATGACCGCCTACTAAGCGCCAGGAGACACATCGCAGTGAGCCCGGCTACCGCCTGGATGCAAACGTGGATGTCCTTGTAGAAGTTCTGCAAGGCCTGACTTATTGGAATGAATTACTTTGTTGCTGCATGCCACAGTCTGGCCACCAGTGCAGTTGGACGACTACAAAAGACTACAAACGACGGCTACTGATCGCTCACAGACACTCTGCCTGCGCCGCAAGTACAGATGATTATGGGATTCAAGTATGCCTTCTCTAGCGGCTCCCGTTCAACTTCTCCTGAACATTCCTGAACAGAAGCCCTGCTTTCGCATACCGCTGCATGCAGTCTTGGGCCTCGCACAGGCACTGGACGACCCCAGATTGCAGCAGCTTCAGCTTGTGCCTTCCAGTGTGGCCATAGGCCAGATTGCGGAGCACCTGATGGCCGGCCCATACAAGTCCACATGTCACTGAAGCATGCGTAGGAGTCGGTGCACGAGCTTTGCAGACGTTGGTGCCTGCACTCCCGTTTGTCGTCTGACAAGCTGACCAGGCCCATCGCAAAACCCAAGCGTTTGGCAATGGCCAGAAGCAAACATCTCTGTGAGTCAACTGTTGCAGGCAGGCAGCGCCGCAGCCTTGTTCCTGCAGTGGTGCATGCTCTGGCTGGCAATGACGCCCAAGGATGGCCTCCGGAGGTACCGCCCATCTGACATCTAAGCAACGTAAGCAGGCTTCCACCCCTGCCCTTGCCCCTCGGGGTGCGGCCAGTACCTGCTCGACACCTTGATGGTCCATGAACCTCGGCAGTCTTGCGATCAGTTGGACAAAGCTGATCGACCAAACCTGCCATCCATACGACTATATGCTTAGGCCATCTTAGGCCATCTTAGGCCATCTTAGGCCCTCGCCGCTGCTGATTGATCTTGGAGAACGTCCTTGTCGGAACTCATGCAACTAGAAGCGGATGCAAGAGAACAGGAATCAACGGAATCATTAAAGGTCTCCTCTGGCGGGCAAGTACAGTATGTAAGGCCATGAAAGGCCCAGAGCACTGCAGTCGGGCCGCATGTTCCAAAGAAAGCGCACAGCCTGAAGATGAAACTCCTGCAAGAGTGTTCACACCATTCATAACAAGGAAAACTTCTTTGCGCTAAATAGCATCTACCTGTATTTCGAGCATGTCGGCGTCTTCACGTTATCATTTCTGAGGTGCAGCCTTTGCATCAACTCTTTCCATAGACTCCAGCATGATCTCCTTGGCTGCACATGCTTGATAGTCCCTTTCACCGTTCAGAGCTGCACGATACGAGCACAAGGGAGACCTGTTGGACTCCGAAGGAATGGCGCCTTGGGCTGGAAGAAATATGCTTGGCTCTCCTGGAAAGTATGGAAGCCCGACCTTGAGCCTGCCTTTTGATTCTGCCCCTTTTTTTCCCATATGCAACTGCATCCCAAGGAGTTGTCCAAGAATCAAGTAGCTTATATCAACGGCACTGTGAACCAGAGCAATCGTTGCCCAGTGGCAACACCACCCATGGAACCAATGAGGCGCTCGATGTCGGTGTCCTTCAGCTGCCGTCAGAGGCCACTGGTCCAATTCTCGCAGTCCTTCAACTTCAGCTCGGCACTGGCTACTGTCGGTTGGTCCTGTGCGAAGTTCGCCAATGTGGCAGCAGTGCTGGTGGCGATGGACACCGACGGAGCCGAGACTGCGCCTGTCACCTCAGTCTGACTGTCCAAAAGCCTCTCCCCAGCTTGCCCAATGGCATAGCAGCAGCTGGCTTAGCGTGAGTTGAGCATGGTTGAAACAGCTGATCTGCACGCATTTGCTATCGGATATCGAATGTTGCACCCAAGCTTCCGATTCTGTGTTTGAAGGTGAACGCCTTCCGACCTGCACCACATGCTTGGGAGCGAGGCAGCGCACCCGCCCACTTTTCAACTCGAGCGAGTGGACATCGCATGTCATCTGCAGGTCTTGTGAAGGCTTGATGCAATGGCCTCCGGCCCCGCCCTCTGTGTAGTTTGACTGTTTGAGCTAACATGTGTACCCTTGTGCAACCTGGAGCAAGTCGAGCATGTCCTGAATCATCGCAGGTGGAACCTGTCAGTCCAGGGAATCTTTTGAATCACCACGCATTTTGGGAGACGGTCCCTCTCCTTTCTTGAACCCGCCCGATGCAACTGCAGTCCCACTTTTCGTCTGGTGAAATCATTTCGTTCTTGCTTGCATTGCTCTTCTTCGGGGTATTTTTATGTGTTTTTCTTCTGGCTATTCTCATGATTATCCTGCGTCTTCTTCTTCCAAATTCTTCTTCATACCATTCGTCGTCTCTGCTTCTTCTACTTCTTCTCCTTCTTCTTCTTCTTCTGCCGGTCTTCCTCCACTCTCGCTCTCTGTGCCTCTGCCTATCTCTCATGCCACCCCAGCCACCTTCTCATGCGCCTTTCCCAGCCTCGGCTGTGAAACAGACGACTTATTAGCATGTATGGACACGCAGACGATACGGCTTGCAGCTTGCCCCATTTCAGCCGATTTTTTCAGTTTCTCAAAAGGTTTCCAGCTCCAGGCAGGCAGCGACCAGTCGAGCTCCTGGTCGTCGGTGGGCACGCTTGGGAGATCCGAGCCGGAGCCTCCAAAGACATGACGTAGAAACACGAGAAGAACCCGAGCTTGAAGCATGTGTAGCTTCGCAACCGGGAGACGCTACGTCCCCTCCAGGAAGACTTATATGTGTTGCTACATCGTCATCCCAACTCACTGAGCCTAGAGCGGGTGAGGCTACCTCAGAGCGACCAAGGCACGGGGGACTGATCTTGCGGCCATGTCAGCCTGCCGCACAGGGCCACTTCCCAAGGAGCTCCGCTCCGAGTCGCTGTGCTCCTGGGCCGAATGCCGGCTTCGCTTTCAAGATATACTACTCCTACTATCTCCTACTACTGTATATTCTCTGTACTGTATATTCTTGGAGTTTAGTAAGGAAGAAACACGTGCCATTCGACTCACACTCGCGCACGGCAGGCAGGGCTTCGGAAAGCTGCAGCCGGCAGGAATCCCCTACACATCGCCTTCAGCGCGTGCCTTTGGTGGGCTAAACTCCCCCATTCTATCCAGCAAAGTCACTCAGTTGTAGCGAAAAAAGAGGACTGCAGAGGCTTGTGCACACTTTCACAAAAATCAGTTGTTGCTTAGGCATAAGAACCTCTAGCGAATGCCCATCCTCCGACTCGCTCGGTGGCTTTGTTGCCTCAGGCGAGGGCAGCTCCGGAGCCTAGCAGCGCCGTTTCTGCTCCGCTGAGTCTGTGTGGCAAATGATTGGCCTCCTCCTCGGACTCATCCGGCGCATCAGTAGAAGCTGGAGCCAGCCGCATTGTCGCAGTTGGCCCATACGCACCATTGCCTGATCAACGTGCTCCGCATCAGAGCGCAAGGTGTCTTGCAATGTCCGCTTGACAGATGCATCCGGCCTGCTGTGCCATCCATCATCTTTGCCTCCTGAATGCAAAAAGCAAGCGGCGGCGCTTGAACTCCAGGGGCAACGTGACACAATGCCAATCAACATGCTAGTAGCACTGTTTCACATGTAAGAACAACACAACACAATCCGGCAATTCTCGCAAAGGTAACTTACAGCTGGCCGCACTGTACTGCCTGCAACTAGTAGTTGCACTTGAAGGGCACACAGCTTCATTCTTCACATGGGTCTTGGTTGTCATGACAGGTTAATGTGAATCCTTGTCTGTGTTTTGCTGTTGGTTGCAGCCACACCCCTCAAAGCCTTCTTAGCAGATGGTGCACACGCTACGATGGAACCCGGGGAAAACAATCAGGTCAGACAGATCCGACAGAATCTTGTCTGCTCCTTGGCAGCTCGGAGGACTGCAAAGTTTCCCATGGCCTGCAAAGCGCGTCATGAGCAATTGCTTCGAGTGGAAGCAGGACTCCCAGTAGGACTACTTTCAGGTCCAGAAATTCTTGGACTGGTCGGACCCATGCACGAAAATTGGTCTCCAAAGGTCCAAATAGGTCCAAAGCCAACAGCCAGGATACTCCCAAAGCTTGCTGCGTCGTCCGAGCATCTCGGTCCTGTGGAAGTGCTCGCAAGCTGTGCTAGACTCAAACAATACTGTACTTCCCACATCTTGCCTCAAAACCACTTGTGCAGAGGTTTCAGGCACTCGTGTGGAACCTACGCCTGGGTTTTGAAACTCCGGAGGTCTCCGACGCCTGCAGAGCACGTTGCGAAGCGATGGCACAAAGCTCCAGCCAGCTAGCAGGTTGGGTGAAGACTTCCTCACCTTTGTTACAAATCTGGCTGGTTAGATTCCGCACAGCGGCTTGCTTGACAAACAAAGTGCACGAAATCCATCACGGTAGCTGCCACGCCACTCTGTCCCACTTGTGCTGCCATGTTCTGCAAAGCTGCCTGGCTTGCGGTCTAGATTCAGCAGTTATCCAAGATGGCTGTTGGAGAGAATGTCCGGCATCGCACGGCCGCATCAAGCTCTGCAGCACGCTATTCAACAAATACCGGGGACCCAGGCGAGGATGTGGCGACGAACTGGGGATCCACCCATGTTGTCATCAAGCTCTTCCTGTCATTCCCAACAACACATACTGTCAAAAGGCCCCTCCCCCGATCAACACTGCACTGGCCGGGCACAAACGGGAAAAGGACAGAACAATCCGAAAATGATCTCATGACATGCTAGTTGGGCACACTTTGACGCCACACAGGTTCATGCACATTCATACTTGTTCACACATCGCACCAAGTCAGACAAGGAAAGTCGAAGGTATTTAAGTTCTGTGGCTGTGTCTGGACCCCGCCTCTGCCAGTTGCAGGAAGCCCGCATTGGCCAAGGGCACGACACCTGGGTACACCAAGGAAGTGTCATGAACTGTCAGAATTCGGTACCTCAAAGACAATTTGGATCGCAACAATAGGTTTGGCCAAGTCACCATCCGAGCCTGATCCAAATTGAGGTGCACACTCAGCGGTTTCAATATTGTTTAACAGTTTAACAGTCTAGCAGAGTCTAGCAAGCCTTGCGCAGCAGTGTGGCAAACTTTTGAAGCAAATCCGCTGTCTGCACTTGAGGCTTTTGATGGCCTTCTGAAAGGTTACGCAAGTAGGCAGCGACAGAGCGACTGGGCCCAGAATCGCGGCCACGAAAAAGCGCAAGAGCCTTGACTACGGCAACTTGCTTGCAGCAGCTTGAGGACAGCAAGCATCCGCACTTTGCTTAAGGCATGCACCTCCACACCAACCTGGCAGCAAATATCATGGCAGTTAACTAGGCTTCATCCGAAACTGTCTCCTGGGCCCTTAGCTTATGGCTCCGCCTGCTCACCCCCGAAGGCCAGAATCTGCTGGCGCCGATCAGCAGAATGGGCGGCGACATTCCGCAGCGATGCCTCATCTTCGTGAGAATGAAAAACGGACCGACATGACATGGGCCAGGAACACAGGTAACGAAGGCAGCCTGTCGAAGATGTACCACAGACTGACCAACGGCATTTTAACTGCAATTAATCAAGGAGCAAAAGCATGATCAGCCAATCGCAGAGTAACGTCGCCGGATGTTGGCTTTCCCTGTCCCGTACCTGGCCAGGAAGACCCTTCCCGCGCCTTCGGGGGTTTGTGAGTTTACGATAGCTTACGCGGGATTCGTGATAGTACGCCGCCGCAGTGCTACGTTGTGCCACATGGACTTGCCTGTTTCTGAGTCCACAAAATCATCGTCGTTCTCCTCGTGCGCGCCCTTGCGGCGACAGCCTGATGGTCACTGGGACACCATGTGAGATGGCTTTTTGTCCCCAGCTCAGTCAAATGCCAAGGCCCAGGTGCAGGTGGGTGGCGCTTGCAACAGCAACAGCAGCAGCAAAAACAACGCCTTGGCGAAACAATGCCATATACACAGTGCAGGAGGCCGCATATTTCCCACCGGTACTCCATCAACGATAAGCCCAATTCAACGACTGCAATGTGAGCAGCTGCGTCACTCCGCAGGTCTGTGTTCCCTCTGCGCATCGGTGTGTGCTACGTGCGTGCGCTGTACGGCACGGAGGCTAATCATGCGTGCCCTGCAGCTGATACCATTCTCCATGACACCCAAAGCAAGCAACAAAACGGCCAACGCCTTCATTCAGCTGCGCTTCAAAATCACATCCCGACCACTACAACCTCAGGACCTCCTGCACTGCACGTGTAGACCGGTCAGGCCTAACGATGCTAAAGGAGGATTGTGACTGGCAATGAATCGTGTAGCTGCGCGTGTAGCTTCAGGCTGCGGCCGTTCCAGCTTCTCGCCAGATTGGCCAGAGCGCGCCGAGGCGTCGCCTCTCGCAGAAGCATCGCCTCTCGCAGAGGCCTCGCCACGGGCTGAAGGGGCAGCCGGGGCAGCCCGACCTCAGTCGCAGACTTGCTGCAAGGCGGGCAGTCAACACCATCCTTTACCTCACCTTTCACCGGAAAGTCGCAGCTCACTCGACCATCAAGTGAAGTGAAATACTCAAAGGGTATTCAAAACACTGTGCTGTAATGATACCCAACACCTTTACTGAGAACATGCAGAATAGGCTTCGAGTCATTTCGCTCAAACGACTCCAAACTCAAACACAAACACACACGCACACACGCACGCACGCACGCACGCACGCACACACACAGACACTGTCTCTCTTACTTGGCAAGGCATGAGCCAATGAAGCGAACTTCGACAGGACCACACAGGACATGACTGCATCAATCTGTACACAAGAGCCGTCTGATGCCGTAGTAAAATATTGTAGCTGTCTATAAGGCTCCGACTTTCGCATCCAAACCAATTTCTGAAATCGAAAAGCCCGCAACAAATGATTCAAGCAAGTACAAAGCTTGGAGCCCCAAACCTTTTCCCATGATGCTTATTGCTAGCTTCGTGGGCCAACGTTACAGCATCACGCACTGGCCCCCCGCTGTTTGAAACTACCAAGTCCACCATGTTCGGGTGTTGTCACACAGACACACAGAGGGACAAGCAGGTCTGGTGGATGACATGCTAAGTGCTGAAGACCCATCTCCATGAGTGTCGTACAACACACTGACTGACTGACTGACCGACCGACTGACTGACTGACACGCTCGCACCGTGGCCTCGTGCACTTCTTGGGTCCTCCCGGCCCGAGTCTGGCGGATCTTCCTCAAAGAATGGTTTTGCCGGCTGCAAGCACATGCAAGACATCCTTGTCATTCCCCTCCTTGCGGGTGCCATATCGTGCTGGTGCACTCTTCAGCCCACCCCCGCGAGGTGATACTGGTGAGTCCTTCGTGCAAGGGCACAACTCACAACTAGAATAGGTCTCGCACTTGCACAAGAATCACTTTAAACGCATGTTCACCACGGTGTCCTGACTGCGTGGGCTTGCTTCACCAACGGCTGCGGCACCCTCATGCGCCTAAAGAGACACAATGGTTTCAATGGATTGTGACCATCAGCATTTTCGACAAGGGAGGTGATCAGCCACACTGTGCCATAGAACTCCGGACATGAGATCAGAAGAATCCGCTGAAGATGGATGTTTATCTCCCGCGGAAGCTTCACGGAGCTGGACATGTCTCCGCACCCTGACTCCATGGCCTTGTAGCCACCATGTCTCCCTCGTGCGCTCTTGAGTCCAGTGCGGGGCGACGCGGGTGAGTCCTTCAGCAAGGACAACATGAGAGTTTCTTGCGCAGCATGGGCACGGGCACAGATGTCCTGACTCCTTGGGCTGCCATCCCCACGAGCGCTTGCATCGCGTGCAGAGTCAGCGTCCTGAACATAACGTTGACCTCATATCTTGTCTACCAGCTCACATACTCTGGCTGCACAGGTAAGCCCACCTTCTGGGCAACCATGCGGCGGCAGGGAGGAGGGGAGGATGGGGGGGGGTTAATATGAATTAATATGAAATGTAAGTGAACATTACGGGACACAGAAAGGGTACGGTTGGGGGCTTCTACTCTTTGTCTTTCAATCCCAGACAGTCCTGGCCACCAAGGCGCCGTCGCGCTTTCGGAGAAGCATCTCTGCGCGCCGTGTCATCCTTCAAGCGCTGAAACTTCGTTCACACACGGGACAGGACATGAGGAACATGCTTTGAGCTTCCACTTTGAGCCACCACGTGTGCCCCAGGACGGGGCGGCCAGGGCCCCAGCGTGCCGGCCACTCTTCGGCGAGGCGCCCCCGCGCGCCGAAGTCGGTGCCCGTCGCTGCTCCTACCCAGCTGTCCCGCTCTGCCTAGAGTCTAGAGAACCGATCATAAAGAGACAAGTAGATATGCCCGAGAAGCACACCGCATGTTTACAGGCAATGCCATCCGAATATGAGATCCTGCACGCGACTGCAAGCGAGCATGGCCATTACCAGCCTGACAGCACACATCCGCACAAGGCGACGGTGATTAAATGGACAAATCATGATAGAATAAAGATCCTGCTTCCACGCCGAGATGCAACACCTCAATGCCCCGGAATCTGGCCACAGCTTGCGAGCCACGCTCCTCAGATCGAATCTGGCCAGGGAAGCGCACACTCTCCCTTATGTCGCATCAGTCGCATCTTTCATTGCTCAGTCCATGCGTCCGTTTGTGTGATGATTCGCAAGGCCTGCGCAGCTTTCGAAGCGACCTGAGCATGGGATGAGACAGACACGCGCTTCCCCGAAGCTGCCCGAATCCAACTGCAGCGCTAAAAATGTTCAAAGTACAAGCAACAGTCTAAGTACCCACACATACCACACAACCACTGCACAGCCCCAAAGCAAAACGTGCTGGGAAAAACCTAGGCGAGCCAGGCCTGCAGATTCTCCGAGCCCTCCAAGAGAAGCATGGACAGCACGCCGAAGGTGCGATCCTCCATTGTAGGCGGAAGCCGGTTGGACCTGCGCTGAGACCAAAAGACAACAAGGCGCCGTCTTCCATCTCAGGGTTCAATCAAGATCAGATGTTCGACTGGTTGTGAGCTTGCGAACGGTGCTTTCTTGTTGTGCAAATTCTGATGCCGCTAAGGCCTGGCCCTGGAGGCCCCGAGGTCTCAAGTCCAAGCATAAGTACATCCCGTAAAGTTGTTGTGGCGCACCCCTTGTCCAAACGGCGACCAAGGCTCGGATCTGTCTCTTCCTGAGCTTCGTTCTTTTTGCGTTTCTCCTCGACGCGACGTTGGGAAAAAGACTCATGAGTGCTATGTGAGTTTTGCAAGGCATTCGGCCACCAGACCTGTGCCTCAGCTTGGGTGCGCCTGATGTCGGCTTGTAAGCACTTTGAAGGGGGGGCTGATTTCAGCGGACCTACACAAACTATTGGTCCTTCCGCTCATCGTCCTCCTGCTCCTCAGCGTCCTCCAAACGTCAGTGAGTTTTGGTCGAACTTACCATGGAGACACAGAACAGGAATAACAAGACTACCCCCACAAGGAAGCCATGGAACCAAGATGAAGAGGACAGTGTAACCATGGCAAGTAACCATGGCAAGAATGGGCGGTACGGTCGGTTGCGACGATGCTTTCCTTGCGAAACCACGGTGAGCCATCTCTAGTACCCATGTCTCCGCCCACAACTGAACCGAAGATGCTCCCGTCAGAGGGCATCGGCATCATCGATCATCGATAGCATGGAATGCCGCTCGGCAACGATTTGTAAGCATGACCCTGCAACACCCTGATTTGGCCCTGCCATGCCTTCGCAACGATCTTCTCCTCCTTTTTCTCCTCGGCGAGCTGCCCCTGGGTTTGCAAGGAAATTGTCAACGATGCTTGGTGGGCCTGGGCCTTCGATGGTATGGTTACGACTGCGGAGGGGTCAATTTGCATGAGCGCGTACCTGACTGATGATGGGATAGGCTCCAATCTCAGCGATCTCGTGTGGCTTTACACGGACCCACCCAATCGCCACCATCTTGTTGCAACACACATTGCAGGTGTCACTTGTGTATGTGGGTGTGTGTGTGTGTGTCTGCAGAAGACAATGGAAATTGAGAATTACACAAAAACTGTACAGCCGGCGCAATATTTCAGGTACTTTACAAGCGGACATACGTGTAAGGGCATCGGTTTTAGTATTCTGGGGAGTTGAGTTGGGGTTGGGCGTCGCCGCAAATTATTCGGGCAGTCAAGCATCCAGTTCAGGAATATCGACGAGGGCACCATGCTCGATCCGAAAGCCTCAGGGGTTGTCAGCATCAACCATGGGCACACATTCTTACAGGCGCACTTAGCAACATGCAGTCGGCCCAGAAGGGAACACCCGAGATATGACGCTCATCTTCACCCTCACCGATCTTGCTGAGGCAACTACGTGCTTCAGCAGGCTGCATAGCAACCTCCCCGCACAGGGGCGAGTCAGAAACACGGAACGGTGCAAGAACTGACGGCCTGATCCCCAGTAGACTCCTTCAACTCCTGAGCATCTCCTGAGCTGCGTGACGAAGCAGGATCTTAATATTCAGCTGTGCTCCGGTTGGAGCCACTGGCCGAGCCTGCACATGTATGATCAACTGACCGCGACTGGTCACCTGACAGGGACCTGACCTGACGCCACAGCATGTCCAGCCACGATGAATGTTTATGCCCAGCATACTGTTGCGGCAGGCTTCGCTGCAGATGCTTCACAGACCGAGAGAAGAACTCCTCAGCTTCGCTAAACCGACCCAGCAAGTCAGCAACCCCAAAATGTGGTTTACATGCTCTCTGGCACTTCTCACCATTCAAGCTGCGACAAAAATAGCTGACCCTCCTTGACCCTCGATGACCGCCTTCAAATAAGATCTGATGCGGTATGATGCGGTGCCAGGCAATGGCACAGTTGGTTGGTCTCCCATACTGCGGCGTCTCTAGCCGCCCGCCACATCGCGAAAGATGGCGTGCCGATGCGTGCCGCTTCAGACAACGTAGTACTTAGAAAAATTTCGCACGGCCCTATGGAGCCTGGTAGCTTGTCCATGTGTTCAGTGTCCATGTCGGCACCCCACGCCCCTTGCCACATTCCATTCTCCCTGTTATTAGACCTCCCTTCGCAAAAGTCTGGTCGGTTTGCTAGGAATGAGGGTCAAAGAATTGGATAGAATTGGGGGAATGGATCTGGCGATGCTGAAAATTGTGTACTGGGTTGGCTGCTGCAACGCCGAGGCGCCCAAATGTTCTTTGGCATCTGCTCACGCCGTTCCGAACGCCCGGACCGGATGCCCGTAGCCAGAGCTGCCGACACCTGGAGACGGCTGTTTGAATCAGAGAAGCAGGTCACATCAAATGCAACATCAACATGCCTTCGTTGACGAGCATGGCTTAGCCGATATTCCCGGCAGCTTCAATCTATGGGCAGCAGAGATACTGCTGGCAAACTGAGAAAGAACTAAAGAAATTGAGGACAACCCAATCCAAAACATCCAAGACGCCTTGAAAAAGAAGTCCTTTCGATTTGTACCTCGGCATGTAGGTGCTACTCTTGCTGGTTTGATGCCAGAATATTGTCCAAAGCATAGCGCACTGCATGAAAACAGGAGCGTCCGTGGTTGAAAACCATGCCACGACACACACAGATTTACGAGTCTGTGTAAGGCCGGAGTGCCCAAGCCCACTTGAGGAAGTCCCATGTTAAGGGTGAAAAGGAAGCGCAGCTTCCGGCGCTGCTCCCGGAACTCATCACCCTTGCCAGCACCAGGGGCGAGAACAAATTGCTTGCATGTGCTCGTGCCGCTGTGACGCATAAAATGACTTAAAAACAGCAACCGCAGACACGGCCCTTGACTGCGAGTGATCCCCGTCTTCCTTCCCAATAGAGGACAGATTTCACTAAAGTCAAATCTGGATTTTGCAAAGCTCCTGAAAAGGGGAAGCTAAAGACTGTCACTGCCTCAAAGAATAGGCTGGGGTCTGTAGAGGAGCGTTGGGGTTCAGGTCCGGAGATGGCCAGCGCTGGACCAGCTCAAAAAACCGTGTCTCCAGGGAGAGGAGGAGGGTTCCACAAAGATCCAAACCTGGGGAACATGGAGTGCCAGACAAACCTTTTTCCCACCTGGCTTCTGCGACCATCAACTTGAAGGCTCGAGCGTCGCCATGTACAAATGATTCAGTGTGAGCGAAAAGGTCGAAGCTTCGGGGAGTGCAGCTAGCTCGGCTGGGGTGTGCCGGTCTGAGCTAAACAGAAACATTAGCAGAGCGTGCGCTTCCCCAATGGACGTGACAACCATCCTCTTTGCTCCACTTGTGGTGTGTCGCATTCAAAAGTGCCCACGCAAAAACTACAAGCCTGCATCCATCATCAAGGCATGTTTCGACGACGCATGTACTTCCAGCCTTTGCTGGCTTTCCAGCCACCACTCGGCGAACTGGCAGGATCGGCACACCCCACTGGAAAGCCTCACTCTGGCAACTGTTCTTTGATGAAGACATCTGCGCTCACTAGAACGGCAAGCCGCGGCCAAGAAAAGCCAGCGCAAGCACTAGGAGATTCCGTGGGCAAACGCACGCTCGCGCGAGAGAGAGAGAGAGAGCGGAGATGCCCGGAGACAGAGACGCAGGCGCATGGGAGAAGGTGCGGATGATGATGGCAACGATGCGACTCAATGATACAAGCGAACGTGCATCACAGAACTCCTCCTGATGCAACCTCCCCGGAAGGCATCTTCATGCTCTTTCCAGGACGACTGCCTCCCAGACCTTGTCCGGCCCTGCGGCTACAGCACGAGTGAAACTAAACTCAAGCCTAGCTCCGGTAGACAAAGCCGTTTCAAATGATCACGATAGCTGCTAGATGCAACCAAAGCACCCAAATGCAATCTTGAAGCACTGCAGCGTTCTCTAGCGAGTCCTGCGCCGCACCAACGTGACCTAGAAAGGCCTCCTGGCATTCGCCTACAGCAACGTACCGTCGAGCTGCTGCTAAAAACATAACTAGATCCACACAGAACAATGCGCGGCCTGGCTCACGATCACGATGAGAATCCGCGAGGTCCTGATAAGCTCCTCCACTTGAAGTCTAAAGTCGATTGGCTTCCTGATCATCTGCTCAGGGGGATGAGGACTGCCAGTCGCTTGAGTCTAATCCGCCCTTGTCTGTCCTCCCGCTCCTCCAACCACCTTGGAAGCTTGGAAGCAGAAGTTGCAACAGCAACTGCCGCAGGATGCCGTGACAAGTTGGATAGATGCGGCCACATCGCACAGCAAACGACCAAGGTGCCATCTACACTAATCCTCTACAGACTGTGGGCTGTCTCTAGGAGTCTAGGAGACGCAAGATTCAGAAAGCCCTTGTGAAGACAAGCCGCTGCATGAGCGATTCGCGATCCTCCTGGGCGAGAGAAGATTGCTGCTCTTACTTTAGCCAGCCTGCAGCCTGCCTGCAGGTCACGATGTCAGCCGAGCATCCTCCTCCTCCTGCTCCTCCTCCACTTCAATGGCCGTCTCGGTCTCCTTCACCTGGAGAGCAGCCACAAGTTGCAAAAGTCAACAGTCGTGCTCATGCCAAGAATTCGAAAAAGACAAATAGAATTCAACCACAACCACTGTTCGGCAGGGCTCTTGGTTCTCAAGTGCTTCGAATCTTAACTGGCGAAACTCTACCAGACCAACCCTAAGAGCGTAACTAGAACCCAGGCAGTCGTAGATGCCTCAATGACACCCCGTCGTTACTTCAAAGCCGGCACGGGAGCCATTGGGTTGATCCCCTCTGAAATCCTGTGAAGCACGGTACGCCTCCGAGCCCGTATCTGACGAGCGTGCAGATATCCTTGGTGGGACTAGCGAGACGGTGACACAAAGCTTTGCCCAAAGTTCTGCTTGGCCGTGAGCCTTGCATGCCCAGCTGCTGGCTGGTGCGCTTCTTTTGCTCAGCCTTTGTCAATGCCTGCTCCTGCTGTGCCTCGGAGCATACCAGATTTTGAGAGTTGCATGATTTGCAGGGCTGCCCGCACAGTGGCACGAACTCCTGAACTGAGGGAAGCAGAAGGCTGACGGTACGCTCGGAGCCGACTACGTCTTAACATCGCGGTGTTATTCGCCAGCAGTCAACCTCTCTGGCGGTGGCACGCAGAGGCTCCGTGCTGGAGAATTCGATGGCCAACGCGGGCAAGAACGGTTTTTTCGGTTTGCAGGTTGCGGTGTCTGAGCCATCAGCCCTTGCCGGGCCTTGTCAAACTCATTGGGCTTTCGGAGTTTGGTTCATTTCTTCGGGGGTCGTGCCGAGAGAAAAACAAACATACCTCTGACAAGATGCCACACTGCACACGCACTTCCCTCATCATGCGCGAAATACGTTTGCCAAGCTGTGATCAGAGGGCAGGCTGCGTACATGAACATGCAATCGATCTACAAAGCCGCACGAGTAAACCAGATCAGATAAGTGAACAAGTTGGCTGCTGACAGGGGCCACATGAAACTTGAAACTGGAAACTTGTTGGATGCCACGATTGCACCAGCGCGTGACGAGTGCCAACTGCCACCGCGCCTGCTTCTCTCGCTCCTCCTTCTCCTGGGCCAGCTTCGCCTCTGCCTCCTGCAGTTTTTGACGGGCCTGCAAGTCGAAGTTGGGAGAAACCTACAAAGAAGGGTCCATACATGTCAAACTTCCAATTCCTTCCAGATGTGTGCCCAAAGTCTGCTACGTCTCTGTCAAGACGCTGCATCGTTTGCCAACTGCGCACTAACCTGGAGCGCGAGTTGCGACTTAGAGGGTTAGGGCACATCTGCCTGGGTTTGCATCGAAGCTTTTGTGGAAGCTCTGCTCGTCCGTACAGTCCCCGCTTCAAAGCAGCGCTTGGAGCTTGGTGGTCGTGCTTGAGATACCAGGACATAGTCCCATTGGCATTTGCAGTGCCAACATACGCGTACAACCTGTCCTGCCCTATATACTCATCTGAATTGCGAAGCGAAGTACTACTGTGTTCAAGCTGTACAAATCAAGGCATGCAGGTAAACTTTGATGGTTTTTTGTGCTTGTGAACACCCAACTGGCCCGTCCGCTTTGCTTGCTGTGGCAAAATGTCAACGGAACTGCCTTAAGTGTATGCTTTCCCCGCTCATAATCCCTTCTGCTTGCTTTCCCGGCCACAGATAGGGACCGCGTGTCACCTGGCACAGAACACACGTCACAGCGTCATGCTAAACTTGTTACGGCGCGCTGCCCAGCCCTGTATAAACCCTAGAGTCCAAAGGGAAACCTTCACAGGAATGTATCTGACAGGGCAGAATGTAGTACCCCCACCCCCCCTCACCCTGCAAGAGGTGCAAGTGCATGTCTGCAACGAGAAAGGAATTTAAACTTTATCGTTTTCAGACGCAGAAGGGCGACACCTCCTGCGCGATGACAGCCCACTCTAGCAGCAACTTGAGGTGCTTATGTACTGAGTTGTACTCGTACAAAAGGAGCAACGCTGTGCACGTTTTGATCGATGCACAATGAAGGGTGCGAACACGATTTCCCAACTTCAGGCCAAAGCACAGAACAGGCGGAGCCATTTGGCCAAATCTTTGTCGGCTTCCTCAAAGCTCCTGGAATACATATAGCTTGGCGCCGTGCCTACTGTCTGTTCCTGGTGTGTGCTGCTTGCACGAACCGTTGACAAACTGAATGGAGGCATCCAAGGGGCACGAAGACGTCGTTCTGCTTTGCTGCAGAGCTACTCCGGTACAGTAGTCGCAAAAGGGCCTGTTGCACCTCAATAGATGGGGACGTGCCTCTTTACGCTCTTCACTGCACCGCCACATGTTGGCATGCAAATAGGCTACGAAACTTGAAATGCGAAAGCTCGGCTCTGCGCCCGGATGAAGCAAGCAAAAAGGTCCTCACGGTAGCGGTGCTTCCGACGCCAACGGCGAGGCTGTCGGCGAACGCAGCAGGGCAGCAGGCAGCTCCAAAACTGAGCACGGGTCTATGTCTCAATGTGGAATGGGCTCGCTGGCAAAGCAGAGACATCATGCGACAAGCATGGCCCGAGATTCAGCCCCAGCTGCACGTCGGCATCGACCAACCCGAACTGTCTCTGCTTCAAACCACCTGGGAACGAAAGAAGGTGCTTCAAAAAAGCATCCTGCCCATAACATGTTCCCTATCAGTCGTGCATCATGGGGACGGTGGGCGAGCATAAAGGCGGATATCGCGGTCATCTTCCTTGCCTTGGAAGTCGGTGCAACGACCCTGACTCTGCACTTAGACTTAGACTAGGCGAGGACGATCGAGCACACGGATGAATCGAAGGGTTTGAGTTCATAACGCTTGCAGTCATTCTTGTACAGTTCAACAGAAAAGCTGGAAACCTTGAACTGGAATCTCTACAGCCGCAGAAGCAAGTAGCTGTCTGTGAGCGAATCTTGCACGACCTGCGCAAGCTCCACGTCCAACTCGTCACCATCCTCCCGGTCCGGAAGTGCAAAGATGCAGATGTCTCGACCATACCGCACACGAGACCGCACACTGACTTCTGAAGGACGCACAGATTTGCGACGCCTGCAAACCGACGATGTCGAAAGCCTCTAGACGGAGATCTTGGCCAGCCTGGAGTTTCAGAACTGGGACAAAAGCAATGGTCTGACACAATGCGCTGGCGCATGACCAAATCCATCCGTCCGTCACCAGCCCTCTGTTCGAGACACACTGAGCGAAGTGCGGCAAGCCGGAAGCCCTTCAGAAACCTTTGACATCAGGTCAAATCTGGTCGGTTGCAGATCGCAGTACTTTTTGGATGCTTTGAGATGGTGGAGCTTTGCAGTAGTGGCCGCTGAGACGCTCCCCAACCGTCTTGCGTGCGACGATCCCTCCACCCAGCTCCAAGGACTCCTTGAGCTGATCAAGCTGATGGTTTCGGACGACCTGAGAAAGCCAAGTCGTCAGACGAAAGACAAACGCAAGCTCGATCATCAGCCGTGAGAACATTAGCGCGGGCTGGACGCCACGTCCGCGAGGGAAATGGTCCGGTCTACAGCCGGCCGCTGCCGTGACGATTTTTTCCACTGGGGCGACTCCTCCGGCTCCTGCCCCCAGATGCAGTAGCTGCTAACCCACCATGAAGGGCCAAGAGTTCAGGTACTGCGGGCAATGATCAGGGGTACCAGGTGCCTGCACCGGGTCTTCGCGAACCGAGATTCGCCTCGCCTCCCTGGCTGAATTCCTGCGACCGCCTGAGAAACAGGTTAAATGTTGAATGTGCGAAGCGATCCGTGCAGCATGCTTCGTGAAAAAGCGCACCACCTAACCAGCAGCATCTGCACAGGCATGTGGTAAGGACATGGCGAGGGCTGTCCCCACGGTTGCCGCGGGGGCTCTGGCCATGGCGAGGGCTGTCCCCGCGGTTGCCGCGGGGGCTCTGGCCAGGACCTTGGAGCACGTCGTAAGATTGGTGTGGCGATAAGCGGATAAGATGAGCACCAAGTTTATAATAATACTAAGTAGCGATTTGCCAAAGGCTAATGCCTCTGCAACACCTGCAACAACAGCTGAAGGCCCCGGCTCCCTCCACGTGGGCTCTCGTTGCGGGGGCTTCGCGGGCTCGCCCCCCGCTGCGACCTCATGCCTGAGAGGTGCTGAGCAACAGCGCTTTTACATCCTCGAGGGAGGAATGCTACTGTCCTATACGCATTGGCAAAAAGCATTACGAGATTTGTTTGTCTCAACCGCAGCGCATGGCTTTCTGTCGGAACACTGTTGGGGTATGGGATGGCGTGGGGCTGTTGCCCTTTGGCTTTGGCTCTCGGAACCTCTCTCCGTGCTCAATGCCAGAGGAGCATACAGTCAGAGACGTCTCAGGCTTCAATCTCTTCCGTAAGCGGTTCAGTTTCAATTCCGTGCCCTCGTGGAATCTCGCCGTGAAAACCCAAAGCTCGCCATTTTGCTGCATGGCAACCGGAGTTCGCCATCGGTGTCAGTACTAATTACATTGACGAGGGTCTAGACCTCAAATCCCCACAGAGGCAGAGCCAATGCCCAGCTGAACAAGCAGGAGCCTGAAATCCCCCCAGCATTTGAAAAAAAGCCAATACGTTCTACGCACGGAAGGCACGACAATTTCCCTGGCTGTAGCCGAATGCACCTTCTGCGCTGCAGGGAAGGTCCGTCGCAAGTTTTTGAATGTCATTATGGAGGGCTTCTTTCTACCGTGACTGCGGATTCTGCTCAAACCGTGCGATGCGCAACCGTAGCTCTCCAAACCGTGTGCTGCACTTCCCTCGCCTTGGTGGTTGGAGTCATGTCAAGCTCCAGGAGAATTTCCAGCCATCGTCGATGGGAGCAGTGGAGCATGCGGATGAAAAACACTGAAGGGTTTAGGGTTTAGGGTTTAGGGTTTAGGGTTTAGGGTTTAGGGTTTAGGGTTTAGGGGCCAATACTTAATGGGCCCCCAAGACTTCAAGGAATGAGCTCCTGGAGCATCCTGGAGCTCTCTTGGTTCCGCAGCTTCTGTAAACAACTCCAGTGTGGCTTCAAGACAGGGTCGTGAACTCGCAAACGCTACGAAATGAATCATAAAATCTCACAATGGCCTACATCACATGAACAGCAAACTTGAGCCAATGTCTGTCCAAGAACCTCAGATTTGTCCAGTTGCCTCGGGCACGTTCAGCTAAACCCTGGAAAAGGATCGTTGTTTTACAAGCAGAACTGACACACCATCTGCATGCAACGACCTTTTACTCTGGCAAGTGCACAAAATCGTGCGACAAGCTCCCACCTCCAAGCTGTTCTGTGAGACTATTGCTATCATCATTTCTGGCTTTTGACAGGTGTTCGCTTTGAAGAAACCTTTGAAGTACCCAGCTTGAGGCAGTTCTCATGCTCCAGGAACATACTCGGAGCCATGAGGGCCCGTCAAGCTGTGGACAACTTTGTCACACAGCAATCGTCATGCTTATGCAGGAGCAGCCTCTCGCAGTCTCACACTTGCTTCACAGGAACAGCAATGAATAGCACTCTGTCTGCTCCAGACATCCCCATACCAATTTCATCCAGGACCGCAAGTTCAGATTTCAACGGGCGCACCCTGCCCAAGCAAGACAATGTTCGCTGATATGCCAAGTCTTCAAGCCGAGACGAACGGCATTCGTTAAAGATACTGGACACCCGTCAAACCAGATCGACAGGTGGCCAGCGGCTACTGGCAACAGGCAGCCGTCAAAGAGATTTTGTTTTTGCTCGTGTCTCTGTCACACAGGTCTACTTGTGCGAGTTTGGGCTGCCTGCCTCTAAACTCTACTACGAATAGTTCCGAATAGCAAGCAGTCAGTATAAGCATCAGAATCAATGAAGGCGCACCTCAAGCGAAACCCACTGCGCTGGCGCGCTGCCAGCGCCTTCAAGATCACCAATGTGGCCAAGCAATTCGAAGACCTTCGCCAATGCAAGCCATCTGGGTAGATATGGCTAGATGCTACACTTCCGCTGGCACATCGATGGGGCCACGAGCGCAACCTTGCATAGGCCACCGCATCACATGCGGGGCCCTGGGGCAAAACCCGCATCGGCAAATACAAATAATTCAGGCATATATTTGGTGCAAATTGTCAGCTTCGGTTAGGCTACATGACAGGTTTGTCTCGAGAACCGGCTAAAATCCTCTGGGAAGATGACATCAGGTTTTTCTAAGAATCAGGACAGAGTATACATCAGCCTGCTCTGTCCATGGTTCCTCCGTATCGGATACACCTTCGGAGTGAGTTGGCAGTAACTCAAGGCATTCTTTCTATCTATCTTGGCCAGTCGAAGTCCTATACTCCTATAGGATACAGCAGGTTGACTGCTGCCAAACTGTTTTGTGAGCGAGTGTGCAGGGAGCACCTTGCCGACACAGTAGGGAGCTTCCTCGAACTCAAGAAGCATGGACAAGCCCGGAGCCGAGAGCGCAGACTGGCGAGTATGCAGCAACAGCAACTGTTAAGAGCCAGAGCAAGTGGACTCCACCTTCGAACATGTGCGTCATTCTAGGACGTGCTAAATGGTCATCGCTCTTCTCGGCATGGGATGCACTTGCGGCTTGTGCGGTTCAGCCAGGATTAAGCTGCAGATGCTGCAGTCCTACAGTCCAAATGCGGGTAGGCCTCCAAGTACACTAACGGAGAACATGTCAATACATTTCAAGTTCTGAAAGGACACAGGCGCAAGGGTGTGGCATGGCGAGTGAACCACGCAAGCTACTGCCGTCACCGACCAGTGTGTCAGCGGAGCAACTTTCAAGCACTCAAAAAAGGGTGTCTGACCAAAATGATGCTTGCACTAACACTTCCGCACCTTGGCATTTGCTGAGTGCATCTCTGAGTGCTCCTGGCGCAGCCTCTTGCTGCGCAGGCTACATGTTTCCAATTCATATGGAACCTCAGCTGGCAGCCGCCAGCGACAGAACTGTGCGAGAGCCGAATCTCTGCGTGATGATAGCTGCCACAAGTAAGACATAGCAAGATGTGATACATTTTAAAGGAGTGGTGTCTGAACATGTGTTATGTTGGTCCCCCACTCAATCCATTCTAGAAGAGAAGGATGACAAAAGACCTCATCTGAGCACTTCCCTACAACTGGCGAATCACAAAACCACAAGTATCCACGTCAAAGCACTTCCAGTAGGTAATAAAAATCTCAATTCTCACTCGAAGAACTGGCCCTAATTTCTTGGCAGTCGTTTTACGTGCAACACGCCAGGTAAAGACTATGTTCTCAGTAACAAGCAATGCAGAGAGAAACACACCCACCCACACACACACACACACACACACACACACAGCAGAAACATAACTTGTGAGTCTGAGGGGTAACAAGAAAGCAGCCCGTTACGCGTTGGCAGGTACATAAAGCTGTCCTACTGCTGGATTGCTGCTTTGCCCTGCCACACAGGCAGAGTCCCCCAGTTCCATTCCATAGACCCTTTCACCATCGACAGGCACTCCGCACGGGAGCAATGAAAGAGTCGAGGCGACTAGACTTCAGCCCAAAAGCACCTCCACAGGGAATGGACGAGTTGCCATCGCACGACAAGCAGACAGACTGAGTCATGGCGTCTCGGACGGCCTCCCGTCTGGATGAAACCAATACTTTTTGCTGGTGGCCGTGTCCACGAACTCCGACCACTGGCCTGCAAAACTCACATCAGTTTCCAGACTAGGGTGTCGCAACCTGGCCCTCGTCAGCAGCATGGAATCACAAGAAGCTCACGCTGCCAGACCTGGTTCATTCTCCATGAACCATTCGTCCGTGGTACAGCAGTGCCACCTGGCTTTATCTGGGTTTCAGCGTGTCTGATCTTCTCTGTCGCCAGCATGCCAACATGAAGCGTGCTTGATCTTGCACGCAGCAGACAAACTCCTCGCGAAATGGACTTCCTGAGGCTCGCGCCAATATTCGGCATCCTCGGTGATGTACCCTCGGACAGAAGCCAATAGAGACCAAGCTGGGATCACAATTGTCTGAGCATGTCTGACCCAGCCGTCGGTGTCAGGTTCTTACCTATGTACATCTCGCTGGCGGGTCCGCTCACCGTCTGTTGAAGTACGAAATTGAAATGGCGGTGCTTGCAGGCTTCCCACTACAGTACTGTGTGCACATACAGAAGAAGAAGCAAATAGCACAGCTCGTCTAGAGTCTAGACTCAGACAGGGTGCGAGTCCAGCCGGCTTCTGAAGGGCGAACTGTTTTCTCAGCGTCGGGTGCCTGTTCGACAGAACGGCTGGACCGATAGAAGCATGTGTCATGGAGGAACGCATGCCACTTGCATCATTGTCTGTGTGGCCATCGCCTCGCATGGCTTCACCACATCACCGCCAGCGTCCTAAGCACTTCGAATCATCTACAGCATGTGCGCTGCTTTTGAACAACACAGAACTCGTCTGGCACCAGTGTCAATCACAAATTGAGTTCTCGTCACTAGCCAATGACACAGCAGAAGCACACAACAGACAAGGTCCGCAATACCTCCGACGTCAAATCGCCCCCGAAAAGCTATCCCGCAAGCTGCGACCACGGTCCACCAAGTCTAGGCTGCCGCAATGTTGAAAGTTAAGCGAGATCCCGAGTCGTGGAGAAAATAGCGTGAGGGAAGGAGCAGCTCTACAGGGACTGCTCATGCAAACCGATACTAGTACTGCATCAACTTGATGTATGCAACATGGCGCATGGCATGATTTTCACAGGTACTGACCTGCAGCTTCAGGACAGAGGGCAAGGCTTATGCAACTTCTTGCACCATGCTCACAGCAGTTAGTATCAGTACCGAAAGAAACATTTGCAGCCTGCCCTACATAAAGTTTGGATGATGGTCACAGTGGTAATTAGTGGTGGTGGCGGTGGCAGTGGTGGTCATGGTGGTGGTGAGTGGCCAAGGGCGGAATCAGCGGGCTTTCCAGCAGAAAAGCTTCGTCATCTGTCATCATCTATCACCCATGAAATTGCGGCCAGGGTCTGCGAGCTCTGCGGTGTGTTTTGTCGGGTTGGAGCCATCAACCTGGAATCAAGAATTGGACCGCAACACCGCAGCCACCGCACAACACTCCCAGCGCCTTGTTTCCGTTCGTGACAACCGGCGCGGGCAGCAACTTCTGCTCTTTGGCCACATCCTTCACAACTATCTAAATCTGAGGAAGCCGGCTTCCACCAGGATAAGAGATTGACTCAACGAATTGGACTCCAATTCTCAGCGGGTGTCTTCGCAAACAGTGGGCCATCGAACTTGCTGATGAATTATGGGCTCGGAGCACAGCAGACGGTGGAACGGTGAGTGTTGTGACGAACGACCTCCGGGCCAGGCCTTGCCTAAGAGGCTGTCCCTCCCGGCTGCACACGGGGCTCGGCAAAGGGCAGCACCCCGTGATTTCATCACGACAACGCAGATGTGCAGCAGATTATGGAAAGGCAAGCAGTGGATCTGCCATGCACACTAGGCAGCATTGCATGCTCGACCACCCAAATAGGTTTCAGTTTCCTGGCAATACGAGTTGCTGGCCAACTTCTTCGTCAGTGCTCACTGCAAACACACGACCCGGAGCTTCCTCCGGCCACGCTCACCACGGCTTCGTCCACAGCATAGCGACACGCATCATCATGGTTTCATGAAAAAGCAACGCGTCAACAGCTGCCAGATCACTCATATGACCAAATATGCTACCGCACAAGGGTGCAAATGCCAGTCGCAATGCAGGCAAGCTCAACGACGCCAGTCCTTTCGACTCCTTCAGCACCCGTTTCAACAGGGGAATACACATCTTTAGTTCTTTACGTTTTCAGGCGCCTGCTGCCATGCTCGAATATGGAGACACAACGAACGAACCTCCATGAGAGCCACAAAAACAGCTCGCAAAGAGCCATGAACTGAAACGCCAGGCCTCGTCTGCTGGAACAGTTGCGGAGGCAACAGGCGATGTGTTCGGGAGCTTCGCAGCCTATCAAAAACGAACAGAACTACTGCCAACGCAAAGGACACCACGCGGGGTAAATCGCGAAATAACATGACAGAACTCAACCTCCTTAAGCCTCGAAGATCCGAGAAGGTTTACCAAACCTGACCATCACGAAATTCAGAAGTTTTGCCTCAGACACTGCTTCTTCAGGATCGCCGTGAATCTTTGTGACACGCAAGTCCACGACATGATTCCAGCAAACCCCCCGGCCATCATCCCTCGAGCCTGAACGTCAAGGGCTTTGGCCTGCGCATCTGCCTGCACCATACCATCTACAAGTCAAGTACAGCTCTCAGCTGCTGATCGATTTCTCATGCCGTGTGCAAATTGGGTTTTGCCTTCGTCCTGTCCACGAAGATTCTGAAGTTCACTTCATCGCCAGCCTCTCCCAGAAAGTGTGTAGGCGAAAGGACAATGATTCGATTCCAAAACACTGAGAGGGCAAGCCGCCAGCCTTGAAGCCATTCAGCTGTGAATGGTGCAGGAAGACATCGCGATTGAACCTTGCAAACCTTGGTCGCAGTGGAGGGGGGGGGCTGATCCCACGCGTGTATGGACCATGTTGACATGAGGTTTCTCAGTCGATGTGGTATCTTTCACATTCCAAAGCGCCCTGTTTGCAGCAATTGCAACAAAGCAAAACCTGCACGTTGTTTTGCACTTTCCCCTTTCTTTGCCTCCAATCCAACCTCGAATGGGCTCGGAATGCTGTTTCTGTGGCCCTGACGTCTCATCACAGCTAATGAAGCCATAGCCCTTTGCAGGATTGAAGGATTTGATGCGGCCAGTGTACCTTGCATATTCGTGGAGTCCGGACAGGCCTTCTTGGCCCGACTAGCAATTAGCTGTCGGAAGACATCTTTGCTCTTGAACCATCATGAAGCGCGTCCCAGGGCACTTCTCGTCTTCAGCCTCGGTCTTGTCGAACTTGGAGCTTTGATGTGCTGGCCTCCGATAGATTCATACGGTTATCGGATCTAGCATCGGGCCCAAACTCCAATGTGGCAACTCTTGAACTCTCCAGCTGCCTGTCGTCGTCTGCAGTTCCCTTCTCCAGACGGACAACACGAGCCTGGCAATGTTACAGGACTTGCGACAGCCTTCAAGACTTGGTGTTCTGTTTTGTCTTCCACTGTTCCCCTGCGCGCAACGTGAACCACGAAAGAGCCACAAAAAGAACAACTCTACACTCCACGGTGCTCAAGCGAGAGGAGGGAAGACTTCGCCGCAACAGAAACTTACAGGCTTACTTACAGTCCCTTTTTGGAAGTTTCTCTCGCGCCTGCGGGCGGCTGTCCTTGTTCAGGGTGAAGAAAAAGCTGCACTTGACCCCTTTGCGCACCTTTTCTTCCACCTGCTCGTGGCAGCGAACGAACTTGATGCACAAGCTGCAGCACAGACAGAGGAGCTTCTGACAGCTTCTCCTACCACTCACATCAAAAAACTCACTGGTGAGTCAGACACCCTACTGGCGCAGCCTGCGAAGCCTCTACATCGAACACCTCGTTAAGAGTGAAGAACACATCGCACCTGACGTGGTGGTCAGCTTCTAGCATACACATGGCAGCAGCGCATGTGTGCGGTGATGATATCTGCCAACTTCATCCAAGACTCCGCATCATCTCAAAAACCTTCTGGCACGAGATGAAGCCAAAGCCTGCTCCACGACATTCGGCTTATACAAAACACAAGCAACATGCAAGTGAAAGAAAATGCTCTTGCCTCGTTCCGCATAGAAGCTTTTGATCTCGCCCTCCAGCTTGGCTCTGCCTCCGCACATTTTCTGGGTCCCTGTGCAAAGCCTGTGAAAGGACGTTCTCGCTGCCTTGCCTCCCTCGGTGCCGAGAATGCCTTGCAAAATGATGGCAGGCGGTGGGCGCTCCAGCGGCCTTCGCGGCCGCGAGGCCTTCAGACTCAAAGAGGCTTCCACTTTCTTTGATCATTGTTGCCAGCTCCTTCGGCCCTTGAAGTGCTCCACGCTGCGCTCACAGTGACCGAGACCCTCGCCAGCCCTGCTCCAGGCGGTGGGCTTGGTCTCTCTGCCGAGGCTCCCGCGTAGCCCGAAGCCTTGCAACACGAGAGTGGCACTGGCTGGCAGGATGGCAAAGGCCAAGCAAAGCCTCTCGATCACCTGCACCTCCTACACGAAACCAACACTGGCTAGGCTTCTCCTCTGACAAAGCCAACGCTGGCTGGGCCAGAAGTTCGCATATGCTGTCTCACAAGCAGCAGCTACAGAAACAAATGCCAGGAACCCAACTTTTTGAGCTTGCTTTGCAGGTCCCGCATCTGTTCTCATGACATACGTCACAAAAAATCAGCATGGCCAGCTGGCCGAGGCGCAATTGTATGGCCTGCATGCTTTTCACATCTTGCAAGACGAAAACCGGCACTCGCGTTCACCTGGCCTGGAGTGCGCAGGCTGCGAACAAATTTAACAGAATGTCAGCGACGTTCGCTGGCAATCGCAGCTGCACAAAACCTTCACGGCCAAAGTGTGACCTGGTGCCACAACTTGCTGTCACTAAGTACATCCCCCATTCGGCCATGCTGTGATGGAACTCTACCGACTCTACCTTCGCAGTGGTTGAGCGGAGCAATCCTGCTCAGATCTGAGCGCCGAAATCCCCTGCAAATACAGGAAAAGGCCACTCAGGGCGTTCTCCCATCCACGTCTCATCGGTGCTCTGCGGATATCTGCACCCTGCCTAGGGCAAGGCATCTGGCACACCAGCACGCACTGCACCAGACTTGACCACGAACTTCAACGCACAAGTGGAATCTTCAGCGTTTCTGACTCTAGTGGCCACATGCTTCAGATATTTGTTGGTTGAGATGGTTACCATCTTCTTTCGGGGATTCCGGGCTTTGTTTGAAGATAACGCGGCAACATGGGCTTGGCCTCTAACATCTAGGAGCTTAAGCAGGAAAACTACGGAGTGGGCTGTCGTCTGTCAAGCTACACTCTTTTTTGTACGCATCAAGAGTTTGAACCTTACAAACCCTAGCAGCCGGAAAGAGTGCTGCAAGAAACTGAGTGTGCGGTGAGGCAGAGAGAGAGAGGGAGAGAGGGAGCTGTAGGTGTCCGAGCTCAATATGCAGCCATGGCGCATGCTCCACGACGTGCATATCCTGAAACAGTCTTCACACCACTGAGCACAGGTGGATTGAGATCTCTGAAGGTGCTAAGAGCCATACATTGGAACCGTAGGGCTCAAGTCCCAGTGCTCGCGCCCTGTTGAACATCTCTTGAAACATGGAAGGCCTCATGCGGCATTCATCGACATTCGGCATGCTTGAAAATGTGTGCTTTTCGCTGACTCTACAAGGTCATGGGTCATGTCCATCCTCTGCTTTGTACACGAAATCATTCAATCTCAGGAGCTTCACGATGGGGACGCGGGACAGAAAGTTGATGCCGGTAAAGGTGATGCCGTCTTGCTCGGAGCCTGCGGTATCAAGGCATTGCTTGAGATTGGAGACTTTGCCATCATGTCGCATCATGTCGCGACATCTCTCAAATGTCTCAGAATCCGCCTAAGCACTGGAATTGTATGGCACGGGTGTATTCATAGCCAGTCTCGGCCGTGATTTCTGGATCACTCCAGATTTCCAGTACCATGTTGTCAAACCTGTGCTGTCTCAGGGGCCACCGGCTGTTCTTGCCGTCACGGGTTGATGACAACATGCATTAGCAAGCCCAGGCACTCTTGACCAAAGCCTGTTTCCAGCATGACTCCTGGCTCTGCTGGCTTGTAGTACATCGTCATGTTGCATGTCCACCTCCATGGCACGAACCGCACGAATGCGCCCCATCCACATCTGCACTACGCGACTGAGCCCTGCACATGTTCATCCTCCTGTTGCCATTCCTGACTGCATGCCAGGTGCCGCGACAACAAACAAATACAGCTGCGGCTCATCTAAGTTATGTCAGCCCAAATGCATATGAGGTTCGCATTGTATCCTGGGAGCCAAGGGCCATCAACACCTTTCTTCCACGGCCACGGACACGTTACGGTGAACCTGAGTACTGTCCGGGTTGGTCACTTTAAAACGGACATACATACAATGCACAAGATGTTAACGGTTGTCTCCGAGCAGCATGTCTTCAATAACGTTGCCGTGGCGTGTCATATTGAAGCGAGTGCACCCACATCCGTTGCATTGAGTGATGTCGTGGAAGGCTAGCTCATACCACACTCCAACCTTGTCAGCAGAGCCGGCTTATCCAAAGGACGCAGAAATCCAGCGCACCTCCACATGTTACACGTGCGGTGCTACCGGTGCATCCAAGAACATACTTGTCCACATTGAAAGCCGGCAAAGTTGGACTCCTGACATCCTCATACTTGGGACATTGGAGGGTGCCCTTCCTTGGCATTGGCAGGTGCTGCTGATGTTTGATCGCTGTTCCTGTGGCTTCATCTTCGAAAACAAAAAACATGACAATGATGGCGATGATGCCATCCATGGCACACACACACACATAACAACAGCAACAAGCCATGACCCCAACATTATCGTGGAACAATAACAACGAGAGAAACTAGCAAGAAATCTGCCGAGGCCTCGGACCGGAGGTATGTATGGGGAGCATAAAGCAGGCACCCCAGCTCCCACCTCGCCCTACTTCCTCATCCGCCCTTCGACCCAATCTTGGTGTTCTTGTTGTGCAACCTTGTACATTCGGGGGTGCCTGGTAACACGAGCCTGTTACAACAGCATTCCCAAAGCCCTGAAGCCTAGCAGCACCTTCACACCCGCGATCTCCGGTTTAGGTTGCCTCGCCGCTGGGCATGCCCAGGCCGAGGCGGGTCAAAAAGTACTCCGCGGGGTGGGATGAAGTGGGGTGGGGGGATTGCTGTGTAAATGTTGTCAAACATACCGCTCCTGCTGTGTTTCGTTGGAAACAGGCACCCAAACCCTACCACGCCCCTACCTCGACAAGCACTGTGCGGCGCAACTTGTAACAAAATTGACCATGTTCGACCAGCTGCAAAACCTGTGGAAGGATTACTTGTCTAGTGCTCCCAGAGCGAGGCCAAATGTCTTGGTAATGTTGTTGACATTTGTTGACGGCGACAAATTTCCAAGCATGCACTTCCAAAGTTGGCTGCTATGTTTTGCATTTCTCGTGTGAGAGGGGCTGCGCTTGCAAGCGTGTTAACAAGGCAAGTTACGAGGATCCGAGCAAGGGGCTTCAACACTCAACACCCTGCTTGGAGTGGCACACAGGCCCTGCCCAACCAGCCATGAAAGAAGGCATACCCATGCTTGCTACTGGTAGAGGTGTGCACGCCTCATTCTGGCATTGCTTGATGCAACCGTTTGACACGCATCTTGCAGCAAGCGTCGGCGTCTCCAATAAGTAATACCAAGGCAGGCCTCCCCTCGGATCGATTGGATTGTCCACCTAGGTTTGGAACGTGCTGCTTACCCAGCCTCTTCCCAAGCAGTCGCTGGACAATTGAGCTCTGGATGCTAGCCAACGCCACAGGCGGAGTGCCCATACTTGCTCTGGGCACCGGCTCCATGGCAGCGACGGCCAGTGATCGGATCATCGAGTCTGCGAAAGAATCCTTGGCAGTACTACTCAATGACTGAAGCAAGCTCTGCCCTCTGCTACCAGTACAAAACCATGAGTAATGGCACTACTCAGCCATACAATGAGTACTACTGGGTGCTTGCAGAGGTTCCAATTCCGAGCGATTGGCGACCGGAGCCGCACTGTGAGCAGTGACAAGAAGGTCTCCATTGACTGTCAAACAGGACGCGGACCTCACTCCGCCCCTCACAGCCCCCCCCCCCCCCCCCCCCACATCGTCCCATCATGCTGTTTCCTGACCAGACACTTCAAAGACTAGTGCCTCCAGGCACATGAAAGATCCGCTGATGGCTGTAGAGATGCCAAAGTAGATCTTGTCTAGTCGCAGGCTGCCTGGGCCGCGGAATCGTGGCTCTTGTTGAGGCTGCTGCAGCATTCAACCGATGAAGCTGAAGTGATCCAGATTTACCACGATCCAGCGTGCATGGACGAGGTCACATCGTTCTCCCCCGACCCTTCTTAACGGTCGAGCCACCATACCGCCCGTCATCGGGCCCCTGGCCGTAAACCCCGGCGTTGGACCTTGAAGGAGGCTTCAGAAGTCCAAGACATACAAAGCGCTCGAATGATCTCCGTTTGTCGCTTCCTGTTTCCTTGATATGGATGCAAAGAAGTAGCACGGTGACCGAGTAGGCCCGGCCCAAAGTATTTGGATCGTTGGCAGTTTCTCGAATGATGTTGTCCTGGACAGCCGAGTGAGGAATGGTCAGATTGCAAGCCTTCTCTCGTCGAACTCAGTCCAAGCATCCATGCGCAGCAAGCGAATCCCAATGTCAAACAGCCGTGTTGATTCGGCCGCATAACCTGCAAAGCAGAGTTGGCTCGGCCCTTCGTCCCAGCATGGCCATGTTATGTGATGCAACGCTGTGCTGCACCTTTCTCAGCCCACTCACGGACAGCGAAAGCAGACGCTCGCGCCAGGTCCCAGAATGGGACGCCTGGACAGCAAAACCATTTTGGGACTCAAAGCTTGCCCAAAGTAGAAAAGACGATGCACAAAGAAAAACAAAAGGTGCCCGCCTCCTATTTTTGAACGTATGCTGGCATTTTCATGCTCCGCGGAATACGCCTGGCCACTCTTTGGTAGCCTCAAGAACGTCTCAGAAGCGGCAGGCCCGGCGAGCCGGTGCTTGAAACACAACTCTGTAAACCAGTCTACCATGCTCGGCCAGGGCGCAATCGCAGCATGAAGTCCAGGGCACCTTGGTCAAGGCAAAGCAGCCAGGCGCAGGCGAAAGAGAGGCTGGATGGTGGGCGAATCGGATTCCGAAATCCTTCTTGATCTAACTTAGCTTCGCGTCCGTACACAAGCCTCCTGACCTCCAAGAAACAGGTTCTTGCTTTGAGCACAAACTTCCGCCTCATCTTTTGCAATGCCTGACCTTGAACACGTGTTGGGCTAGAACTGAACTGGAAATTAAGCTACTGCACTGCATGTTCCTGCGTTGAACTCTTCGCTCACAGGCATTCCACAACTCCTCCTTGTTTCCCTGTTGTCGTGAAGAAGTGGAGAATGGCAGATTTATAGCCGCTTGCAAAAGCTGCAGAGTAAGTCACAGGCACCAATTGGATTGTTCATGATGGTTGTTCATATGTTGTTTAGTGGACTGGCCAAAACGATTCAGGCTCTGGAGGCGCGGCACCGGACGCATAAGCCATTGTCCCCTGCGTCCAGTCTCCACCGGGGGCGAACCGGCGCATGTCGACCCCTGCCAGTGAGCTGCATTGCATTGAGTTACTTCGCATTGAAGAAATGCCGTGGCTTGGTTTCGAGACAGTCGCCACCAGCACATGCCATCATGGCTACATACATGCACGATCAGAACTTCGCACTCTACTCAGCAAGCACCAGCAAGTTTTGCTTGCCTGAAAACGTGTCAGAGATCTGGGGTAAAATGCAAGCCAGGGTGCCCAGCAGCATGCGGTACGCTTCGTAAGCGAAGTCCTGCAGCCAGCTTGTAAGAAAATCTTCGCACAATATCTTACCTCCTCAGGTCTTGAAAACGGCCGTGCTCCCAGAGCCATCTTTCGAAAGATGTGTCGTCACGCACTCAGTAGCTCGAATCGAAGCTTTCAAGGGCTAACGCTGTTTGGATCCAGGACAGAATCCAACGCCCTGGGCCCTGGTCACGTGGGCCGAGAGCTCCAATCACTTGCGTGCGACCAACCGCGGCTAGACAAAACAACAGTCAGGCTCGCCCGAGAGTCCACCGTTTGAGCATTGCCCAAGCAGACACAGCGCCAACGCATATCCCATTCAGCGCTAACGCGGGTTGGCAGTCAGAGCCCAGCTAAAGATTGCTCATGTTTCCACCCCATCTAAAACACCAGGCCGAATGTTGCAGTGGAATGAGAAAATTGGTCAGCGTGATGCGGCTTTCGTTCAAGCACCGCCCCGTGAAGACCATGGCCCGAACCAACCCGTTCTGCGGATCCTCGTGCACGTGCTACTGATCGTGCGATCGTGCGACCAGAATTTGCTGAGCATACGTCACAATACGTCATAGCCGAAAGGCCAGCACATGGCCGTAGATGGCCTGAGTGCACACGCCGGTCCACCAAGACACCACAAGACACCAAGACCTATGGACCTATGTTGTCAACCAGTCTGTGCCGCACTTTTTGCCGTTGACAGTGCTGGGCTGGGTGGGGGGGCAGATGCCAACCGATCCACACCGAGCCAATAGCATCAGGAAGATGGACAGCACAATAGTTGCCCTGTGGCCTGTGGGTCGCATGGGTGTCGACATCCTGTCAAGCTGTCTATCTCAGCGACATGGCGAAGGTTGTATACCAGTCCTCCTTCCGGACTGGAAGTAACTTGGCAAAGTTCGGGGGGGTTGCCAGCGGTCTAGCTGCCCACACTCTACATAGTCACCAGCAAGGGTGAGATTGAAAATTTCGCTTGCGAAACAAAGTGGCCCGATGCCTTCCTGAATAGCTCTGCACGTCATCCACTTCTTCTCACGAAGACGGAACTCGAATCAAGTCAATGAGTCGAGGGTGCCCTGGCCACGAAACAGTTTTCCTTTCTTGCTGCGCACATCACCGAGTCACTTCGGATTTGGTAGCTTGCCTTATGTTACAGGTTCAGCCACCCTGTCCATATCGTCGTTGCTGATGTCGCTAGCCGCCAGCAGAGCAGCCACAGCTACAGCCATGGACCTTCGCTTGTGATATTTCGCAACCCCCCTGTCGTTGAGAATCTTTGGTGCAACATAATTGCCTACTATTGCCTACTCATTGCCTCGCACATCAACAAGCACAACCCTAGAAGTGAGCTTCCATAAGCCTCCGGCACGGTGACGTTGTTCTCTCTACAAAGCTGTCGGAGTTGCGAGAGCTGCTGCGCAGGTAGGTGTCGGAAAGCCACTAGATTCTGGCCTCAGTCATGAAACATGGAAAATTGCAATTCGGGAGGCGGGCAGTCTTGGCCACAAAAGCGTGGTGTGCCATGGTCTGTTCAACGTCTGCGCAGCCGTCTTTGCCACGGCACGGCTTTCAGACCAGAAGCCGCTCTGTGGAGAAACGGCCTGTGCAACTCAAGCAGCATGAAATCGAGCATTTCGAGCATGCCTGCGCAACTGCAGCGGCACAGCTCCGCAACCTGCGGACAAGAACAGGACCTCATAAGGGACTCCAGCAATGGCCTCAGCCATGAGCAGCTTCGCGTTCCCTTCTGCCGATGCTGTGGGCACCGTCAGGTTCCTCTCCTCGACGCGCCAATGCAAGCCTCAAGCAACCCTGCAGATGTCCTGGGCATTCATGGGCCAGCCTGACCCGTACATTCCTTTCCTTCTGATTCTTTGAACACAAGCGTTGAAACTTTCTACTGGTAGCAGGGTCAACTTATGCGATGTCTGTCACTGTGTCACAACTCGGAGAAGCATTGGCGACTCATGCCCAACCACTCCAATCCGGTCTGTCTGCAAAAGTGACTTATGGCAGACCCCGATCAAGCCTTTGGTACTCCCTGTGTCATATACGGCAAGCCCAGTAGTCAGCTTCATTCATCAGGTCCGTTCAGGCCAAAAGGAATACAGGGCACAGGCTTTTCGCTTTCGGACAGTGTGGGGGCTTGTACATCCGCGCTCTCTCTTGGATTGTGCCGGTCTCAAGACACTTCCATGAGTTTCTGGCTCTCAGGGGCTTGGTGAGTCGAATGTAGTCCTAAGTAAGACCTATGACCGTCCTTTGCAATGGGCTGAGCGGGGTTCAGCACAAAGTTCTTCCGCACCTGCGACTATACGGTATAGTGCAAGATTCCACAATAGGACTCGACGGAAAGGTAGGTCGCGGACGTTTCGCTCTGCTGCACGAAGAGCGGATGGAAGCTGCATGAAAGGCTTGGCGCCAGCTGTGGCTTGTGAGAGAGCCTCCGGCAAACTTGACAGCAAGCACACGTGGAACAAGCCGTGTTGCCGTAAGTTCACCAAACTGCGGCAGGAGCAGTATCGCCCCAACCACCCTTGGCTGCCCACATATCCCGCCAGCTTCTGGACGTCCAGCTCATCCTGAAGGAAAACGTCCTGTCAGCGCGCACAACTGGCTATCCAAGCAGAAAAGCATCGGAAGGCTGCAAGCATCCTCCAGGGAAGCTGGCAACGCTGCAGGCGTTGGATCTTCGATTCGCTCGCCTGCCGAGGCGCAGCGCAAGTGGCGTATAGCAGGCCACTGGCACTTGATAGCACTTGGACATAAAAATGATACCATCCGTAAACATCGCTGCACCACAAGCTGGCTGACCTGTTCCTGACACAAAGACCTCTGGAGAAAGTGGAAGTCAAAGACTGCGCATACTTCGGACTATGCATCTAGCTTCCTGCATCCACAACGCAGCGGAAACTTCCACAGAATCTGCACTCCTGCTAGACCCAGCTAGAGCTTGGCAAGCCTTTCTCGGCGCTCTCCATGTGGGTGAGGAGCTCATGCCTAAGATGCCGTGCGACATGATCCAACATGCAAGTCAGACACATCATGCCAAGATGCAGCAGGATGTTGGCACTCTTCTGGTCGTCCACGGAGTGCACGAAGCTGAAAAGCAACGTGCTGCCTGGGAAGTGTGCATGCGGAGGCACGAGCGCAGGAGATCTCGGGATGCATTTGCCATTGCAGGACAGCGACGGCCACCCCGGGGACCTCGGAAGCCCGCTTGACCTGGGCAACCATGCTTAAATCGATGGCCCACATGACTAAAAGTCGACACACAGTCTCAGAAAAGTCGGGGACGAACTTAGAAATGCATGTCTGAGGCATGGCGCGGAGCAGTCTGAGCTTCCACAGGGGGCCATTTTCCAAGTCGAAGGTCGTCTTGTCCAGGGACGCTTCAAAGCGTTCTTTGCCTGAACCAAAACACCGCAAGCCATTCAAGCAAATGCCTAACCTAGCATTAGCATAAGCATAACCCAGCTAACCAGCGCATGACCGCTTTCATCACCAACATCTGGCCGGCTGCTGCTACGTCCTGCCGTAAGTGCGGGACACTTTGCGTCAAAATCGCCGCTTACCTCAGATGTTGAGTCCCATCCAGGCCACTTAAGCTCTCTTCTGGCCGGCGCTGTGACCGAGACACCTCCTCGACCACAAGGGCGCGCTGCACAATCTCTTCCTTGGTAAGGCTCGTGGGCTCCCAGCGCCACCTGTCAATGGAATTCGTGCCTGCACCCTCACTCTTCCCGGCCCTGCAACGCGTGCTGGGAGAAAAAGCGGCCTGCCGTCCTGGCCTCCGTGAAAAAATGGACCTGGACGAACGAGCGACTACAACGACTGCAAGAAGGCGCACTGCAGGAATCGGCAGGACCAGGGTGACCAACGATGCTGTCTTTCCGACCACACAATCTCACAGTCTATCTATGTCTGTCTTCTTCGGTTCACACAATCTCACAGTCTATCTATGTCTATCTTGTTCGGTCCCTGCCTGTGTCTTTCGCTAGTACAGTGGGCTCACGCGCTGCAGCCCGCAGCATGGGGTGCCGCAGGATAGCCCAAAAGAGCGCCTTGACTTATTGAGATGGCGCGATCATCCAACTTGAGGCCACGGCCATCAGGTGCCCCCTATTTGGCACTTTATGTGCTCGCGCCTCCTTGAGCTTCTCGGCATCCACCTTTCCTTGCATGAGATGTGCTGCGCTACGCCGAAAGCCGCCCTTCACATGCTTCTTGGAGGATTTCACGGACCAAATGCTTTTGCCTGGCGCCCTCTGCCCTGCTGCCAGGTAACCCTCCAGCAAGGCCATGGAGGAGTGCGTTGTGATCATGTGCCTGAACATGGCAGCGGGATGCGGCAGGTCACAAAAAGCAGTCTTATGTGAAGACACCCCTGTAGCCCCACCACCGGTGGTGCAGAATCAAATTCTACTCCCAGTTCTCCATTAGTCTGGTTGTGCCTAGCCGAATGTGGGAGACCCAGGAAACGTTCCAGTAAGTTCCCAAGCCAGAGCATGACGCCTGAATTCCTGACTAGCACATTGAAATCCAGTGCGAAATTCATGCAGGAGGCCCCTCCGGCATGCGGCTCAGCATCAGCCTTGGGTTTGACCAGAAAAAAAAACATGGTAACGACCACTAGCTGACACAACCGCGACCAAGAAGTGCCTGCGATTGCCATCCGAACAACGTGGCCCACTTTCAACTAGGAAACTGCTCAGCGCTGCCGACATCTCTGGGCTCGAACTGCGGCAAGTCTAAGTTTCCTGTCTGCGACGCGACCACACACACGCACATACAAGCAACGAGGGTTTAGTCTGACCAACTCAATCTCCTGTGGCCACGGACACCTCTGGCCCCGCTGGTTCCACCACAGCATGCCGGCCACTGCGAGGCTCCATGTCGCTGCGAGCACGACCACGGCCCTGGTGTCCATGCAGCTACGTACTCGGGCAATTTCGACAACGGCACTTAGATCACGAGCATGCATGAGCCCGTGCCGCAGTTCTCTCTATCACAGCCCTTTCATTTTGAAATCCTGAAGTGGATCAACCTGGCATTTCTGACGAAACCACAGCAAAGAAGGCCTGCGCAAACGACCATCCGGCGACGCTTGCTGCTGTCAACCCGACCACCAAGCTAGGAAGCAGCGCGCAGTGCCTGCGCCTGCCAAAGGATGAGCTCCAGAAGCGATGGGTGTCGTGGCACTCGGAACATCACAACGCTCTTGCATTTGTGTCGTAGCAGCGAGCCGTGTACAAGCACCTGTCAGTGAATTGGTGGGTGCACAGCATCTCCGAAGATGCGAATTAGTTGCCGAGCTTGCTGTGAGCAGGCCTCGCGGCTTCAGAAACCATACGTCTTAAGATAAAATGAAGCTCTTCATTCACTCGAAACAAAAGAACCCAGTTCTTGCCAGCATGGGAATGCAGTTGCTGCAGGCGAGTCATCTAAGCAGGAAGGGCTTGCCGCGCTTTGCCTGGACTGCCTGGACTTGACCCTGCGGACACGTGCTGGACTGTGTCGGGCCAGCTGCTTTTCCACCGACTGCTTTAGCCGGCATGGATGCATTTTCTTTCTTTTCGACTATCATCGGGCCCCCATACCTCGCACAACCTGTATAGCTTGATGTGTCATAAAAGAAACGTTCGGGTCCCCGCATACGCTTGGCTTCGTCTGCATCAGCAGACATGTGGCGTGCATTTTGCATGGCCACACTCGCTAGCGGTTGTCGCTCTGGGTAGGGATAGCCTGCCATGACACCACTTGGCTTGCCTGCGGCAGGCTTCTCTGAGAGGTCATCGAACGCTAGCTCACAATGCTCTGCAGGCCTGTTCTCCTCACCAAACGGACAGAAGTCCTCCAGAAGGCTGTCCAACGATGCTGCCGGCTCAACGGCGGCCTCACAGACAGTGTCCTGGATCCGAGCTGCCGGAAAACACATCCTTTGCCAGGCCCATAGGACTAGACTTGCAGAGTGTCGCACGACCTCCTGGTATGCCGCATCCGCAAGCTTCTTCTTCTGGCTGCACAATTGGGCCAGCGAATACCACGCTCGCAGCGCTAGTCGAAACCAAGTCGCACGGGCATCCAACTGCCCCTTTGCGAGACAATGCTCTGCTGCTCTGCATCGACGCTGGGCCAAGTCCAGTTGGCCGCGCAAAGAATCAAACAGCGCTTCTCGACGCTCTTGCGCGGATGTGTCCACCAAGCCCTTCCAACCAGCAAAGCAGCTCAGGAGGCAACGTCTACGCTCGACACCCAACCATCTTTGCAGGTACTTGTGGGCCGACAGTTTGCGCGTCCACCGTCGGCCTGGCCTGCCTTCATCACTTGCAAACTCTGTTTGGGTCGAGCCATCCACACATGTTTGTGCTGTTTGTGTGCCGCTGCGGTGCCTCTCTTCGACTCCAACGACTTTCGACATGCTGCCACTACTGCCGCCCGCATCCATCTTAATGGTCGTGTCGTGGGCTTCAGTCTGGGCTTCCAGAGGTTCCAAGATTTGCTGAAGTTCCGATTCGCTGTGCTTGGGTAGCCGCGTGTGCAATGCCGCGATTTGAGTGGTTAGTATGTCGGCAGGCCCTGCTCCTATGCGGAGACCTTCCTGAAGAATTTTCAATGCCTTTGCCGAATGACCTTCTCTTTCCTCCAGATCAGCACGGGCCACATACATCCGTGCATCGCTGGTGATGCCAAAAGCACGCTGTCGATTGTGAAACTCGCGTGCTTCATTGGTGTCCAGCTCGCAAAGCAGCAGCATGTACTTGACGCAGAGCTCACGATACCCAGAATCGTCGGCCTCGGAGCAAAGCAGAGCACAGCACAGAAGAGCAGAGCCATCATTGAATCATACCCCAGACAGCAGGGCATCAGATGGCATCACCAGGAAGGCAGGAATGTTTAGTCATACTTAGCCAAGGGGCTTTAGGATAGACTTCCATGGCCGAAGCATAGACCACACGAAGCTCGTGCAGGCTGCATCTGGCGTGCTCAGCAATGCGCACGATGTCCAGAATCCTGGCCCATTTGTTCACAAGTCACCGGGATCACTCTGGAAGAGCTACGGGCACATCAGACAACGTAATTCGCACACTGCGCATGCATGAGCTTGCAGTCCTGGAGCCATTTCCTTTGCCGCTGGCTAGGCGAGCTAGGAGGAGGTCCGGCGACAGATGTTCAACCATCTCTGCGATTCAAGTGACAAGCGTCACCCTGAGAAATGCAAAGAGGGCTCACCATTCGCTGATACTCGACATACCCAAGCGGTTCTACAACCAAAGACGTACTTACAGCCTTGAGCCCAGATTTCAGAATGGCTGGTACTTGCGAAGGGAAGCGAAAGCGGCTGTTGCCGAAGCACGAAAATGAAAAACAACACAGCAAAGGAGTTAAGTGGTCAAAAGCGCGAGGAAACCGACCTCCAGTTGCGTCGCAGGCCAGACCGCGATTGTCCACATGGCGCGTGTACCGAAGGCAATGCAGACATGCTGGGGCCGCCCTCCTTCCCTGGCACGGTTTTTAGCCGCAAAGGCTGAGGCAGTCGCCTGTCTGCCCTAGCACATGACATGAAAGCAGTCCACTGTCGAAACAAAGGCCAACCCCACGAGCCCAGGAATGACAAGCAAACCTTGCAGACTGTACCTGCGGTCCTGGTGAACTGGGGCACACCAGGGCACATACATTCCTGCACACTTTCACAAGGACAAGCATCCAACTCCGAGGGTGGTGCGGTCGGCGCCGTCGTGGATGCAGAGCCTGTGACTTCTCTCACACACACAAGGCACCCGCACAGGCTCAAGCAACACTGGTTTCTGAGCGACACACATCTCCCAACGCCCTGTAATGCCAAAAGTATTTCAGCAGTCCTTGCCTAGGCTCGCATCTTCTTCGTCCTTCAGGCCACACAGACTGTTAAGAACAAGCCGGAAGTCAGCCAAAAGATCGCTGCTGCCACATCATGTGCGGAGGAGTTGACGGATAACATGTGGTCCTTGATCGCCATGCGCTCTATGCGTAGATGGCCACAAGCGTGTTCATCGTTTACTCGCCAACACTTATCAAGCTGAAGCAGTTTGCCAAGTTGACGCCCAGTTGAGATGTCATGGAGTTCATCATACACAAATTCGCTAGATTACTTCATATCCAGCTGTTGCATGGGTGGGGCTTCACCACCAGCCTCTTCGACTTGAACCGCAAACTAATGCTGGCGATGCAGCAGAGTCCACGTCGCATTGCCTGCTCCTGCCAAGAGATGCAGGGACGGAGCCCTGCAATGCTTGCTAGCCATGACGAGTTGGATTTCTATTCTGTTTCAGGGTAAGGACGCTAGGTTGACGTAGCGCAGATGAGTCGCAACATCACAAAATCATTGCAGGCCCAGGTAGGTCGGCCGATGGAAGCCCAGCAATTCCACGGGGGTTCGGCTACCGTCACAAGAACACTGTCCTTTTTTACGTCAGCCAAAGATGCTTCCCAAACACAGAGCAAGCGCCAAGAATCTGGAGGCTGGCCGGTTGTTCATATGGAATCGAAGGACAGATCTGTCCCGACAGAGAACATAACATAACTCCTAACAATTCTCGGAATCAGCGGAGAAGCCTGGGAATCTGAATTTCTCCGGGCCAGAGAATATCTGACATAGCAATAAGGCCTAGCAAGTGTGCATGACTGGCTACCTGCTTGGTATTGGCAGTTTTCTTTTGCAGGCCGCACAGAAGCGAGGGCTTGTCTCAGGCTCGTTTGAAGGCCAAGCTGAGCATGCCCTTGGGGCGAAACAGCTCGGGTCGCTTGCACGCCTCGTGGGTGCAGAACAATAAGCAACTTCTTCTTAAAGCCATCGCATGCAGGCTGTCAGGAAGTCAGCCTGGTCCACTTCTGCCGTAGGAATCTTCAGGACTTCGCCATCCAGGAAGTTCACATGAAACTGGCAAGTGGGCGAAGGTGCAATGTGACAGTTTCAGAAGCTGCTGGAATTTCAGCTGCGGCGCTGGCAATCCCTGTTCCTGGTAAAACGAAGATCTTTCAGCTTCTTCAGGTATTCTTCTTCGTATTATTATTATTATTATTCTGCTTCTGCTCCGGCTTCTGCTTGTGCTCCTTCTTCTTCTTCTCCTTCTCCTTCTCCTTCTCCTTCTTCTGCTGTTGCTGCTGCGGAGAGGAGCCCTCTGGGGGGCCTCTGCGGCCACGGTTCTATCTGGTTAGCCAGGCTCGCTTTGAGCCCCTCTCTTGCCTTCTTGCCTTCTTACTTCCTTTCTTTCCTTTTTGTCTTCCTTTCTTTCTTGTCTTCTCTTTTCTGTTATGTTCTTTTCTGTTCGTTTCTTATCCTTTCTTTTTTGTCTTCCTTCCTTTCTTTTCTTTTCTTTTCTGTTATGTTATTTTCTTTTCGTTTGTTTTCCTTTCTTTGTTTTTCTTTTCTTTTCCTTTCTATTCGTTTATTTTATTTTCTTTCCCTTTCTTTTTCTTTCTTACTTCGGGGCATGAGGGCCGCGGCTCTCTCTCTCTCTCTGCATGGAAACATCTGGGCCATATCTCGTCTTGTCCAAGAACTTTTCACATCAGCAGGTGGCTCCAAGTGCGCGGCAAAGCAGCCAAAGGCTTCCTTGATCTTGCACTTTCGGGATCCTCTGCAGTGTAGACTGTAGTACAGGTCCGATGTCAGCATCACTGACCACAATACGTTCTGTGCCACAAACATAAGCAACGTGAAGTTGATGCGAAACCCGTGACGCGGGCTTTTTTTGGGACTCCCTGGTTCACCCTCGGATGCCCGAGCCTTGCCAGGCTCCTTCCGAGATGAGGGCAGCCGCCTGCCCAGCGGCTTTGATAAGTCTGGATGCCAAGACCAGCACACGTTGCGCACGTTAGCGGCTGTGGGAGCCTGCTCCCTGTCCGCCGGGAGTCCGTCAGGATGGCACGTGTACCTTGGATCGCCTATCGTCACTCATAGTCACATGTAGTCACGTACAGTCACTTCTACACTTCCCTTGGAATCGTAGCTTCAACCTGCGTGTCCGGATGTTCCAGCTGGTTGAAGCCAGGCAACACGACAAGACCAACATCACCACCTCAGCTTCTTCGCCGGCCTTTCTGCAGGCCACCACAACTCGATACTGTCAGGACACTCTGGCTGCCACTTTCTCATATTAGCTTCGGATTGGGTTTTATCTAAGGTCCGTCGGTTTCAGAATCAAAGGCTCATGCTCAGTCTGGCAGTGCCAAAAGGCCAGACCTGGCAGATGCCGAAATGTTGGCGATTTTTGGGAAACCGTCGACAATCTTGCCGCACAAAGCGCTGCTGGCACCTTCGAGTTCCCAGTGCCCTGTCCAAGAGATGATGCTAGCGACCTGCCGCTGCTTGCGTCCTGCACACTGCGATTAGCAGGCTCACCTAAGCGCATCTCTGACTCACATGAAGCATAAGGGCCGTATCCCTGTCTTTGTTCAGATCTCGCGAGCATGAGACAGGGCCGAAACAGCATGTCCTGCAGGACTGCTACAAGGTGGTGTCCTGCATCGGCATTCATTTGCTCGTATATATTTCTGTTTCAAGGAACCAGAGCCGCGACGTTTAAGGTCAGGGAGATTCTCGGAGCACTGTCAGTAGCCAAGGAGACATCCAAGTGTTGGGGCGGACTAAGTACCTGTGATTCCCTGCTATGCACAGGAGACCATGAGAGAATGACCCACGAACTATGGTTCGTCAAAGCTCCGAGCCTCGAAACTGGAGCTCGAACTGTTCCGTAAAGAACTCGGTTGCGTTCACGCTATCCAGAAGCACCTGCCCAACCGCGCCATGTGTGTCAGCGCCTACGTGGGGCGATAGCTGCTACACGCAAAAGCACGACGCACATATGGTCACAAGGCAACAGCAGCCTTTAAATTCACTATATTGCGGGCCCTTTATTGTGCGGGCTATAATATAAATTAACGCGCCAGCGCTCTCATATTACATTATGATACGCCCATTGGAGAGGTGAACAGATATATGAATATGCTTCCCTCCCTCTGGGGCTGGAACCTTTCATGGGTGCACTTCATGGACGGACTCTTGGGAAAAGAAACTAGAATTGGCTTATTTAACGAGAGCTTTTCGTGATCTTACAGGGGCACAAGAGCACCCTTGAAGACGGTATCATCCGGGAACTTGGAATTGGACTGTGAACGAGAGCACGCAGCACACAGTGAACACCTGGATCCTTGGTTATTCATTCATCTGCCAGTAGAAAGCTCATGAACGTACCACATGAGCCGTGTGTTCGCTTACTTGCATCGCTCAATTCATGCACGAGTTCATAATGGAAGCGAGCTAGCGAACACGCCCGCATTGTCCCATCCTGGCTGTTACCTTCACAACTCAGCGGATAAACTGGCGCGTCTGCCGACCAGTCTGTTCATGCTCACACAACACAAGCGCCTCCTCCGAGCACGGCACACTGACCGGAGCCGGAAGATACCTTGAGCATGTTGTGGACGCGACATGTGAAAATGGAGCCCAAAGCAACATCCCGCAACAGGCAAGACTCAGTAGAAACAGAACAGCGTTCCAAAGAAGAAACGGCAGGTCCTAGGCTTTCGCCCAGGTTTCTCAGAGGCACGGGCGCCATCTGCTCGCGCAGCAGACGATCTACCTGAGATGCATCTCAGTGAGCCCTTTGAAACAATTTCATTTCGTTTGGCTTTGAAGCGACCGTTGCAAGGGTTGATGCAGTCGAAACTGGTTGATTTACGTGTGTTTCTTCTTTGCAGCGATCTACGGCGATATGAAGCCTGCCATGCAACAACAAAGGTGATGTAGCCTGACAAATGTCCTGGGACACCCATCGCATCTTCTAGCCGTATACCTATCTCTCTCTCTCTCTCTCTCTCTCTCTGCCGCTGCATCCCAAAGGCCTATAGACTCCATAAATCTTATTGCTGCGTCAATTAGGCCGTCTCTGGCAAAGGCAAAGGCCCACACATATCCAACATAACGAACTTGGGAGGGCGTCTCGACTCCTTGTACCTGCCAAGCTAAAAGATATTGAGCACATGTGTGCATCCACAGAAAGCGCCATTCTCTGACTCTTCACTTGTGCATCCTCACTAATCTTTCGCAGGCACGCCGGTCAGCAGATCGGAGAATGGTGAGGCACTACCAAGTCCCAGTTGTAAGGAAGTGGGTGGTCTCATCATCTGGCTCTGGCTCACTCGTGTGTTGCACCAGTACTGGCATCAGTGCGGGTTCCGCGCTTTGAATTCGTGGACTTGCGCAAATTTTAACGACAGCTCGGTGGATGTGCAAGCTCAAACACGAGATCCCCCGCAAGCCTCTGCGCGGAGTTGCTTTTTCGTGTGAAGACTCAAGCCTTGTGCGAGCAGATCCTGACTGCTCCTTAGCTCCTTGTTTGTTTGACGGCAGGCTCTCGATAGCCATGGGTTCGTGTCAAGCGGCTGGTGATTTAGAAGACGGATGTATACCCTACTGCGCGCTTGTCATCAAGCCACCTTTAGTCACCAAAATGACATGCTCGTGCATTGCCTCACTCACTCACTCAGTTCACGCACTCGCTCTCCGAAGTTTATCTCACTCGCCCACACCATTCATTCGCAGTCACTCGCATGACTCATGCGCTTGCTCACTCACCCAACGCGCGCAATCACCAAACTCATCAATTAGCGTAACACTCAACTCACTCGTGACCAGATGCGCTCCAAATGATTTGCCGCGCGCACACACACACTAACAGACACATTCGTTCGTTTCTGCTTTCTTATGTCAAGGCAATGAACATGGGAGGCTATCCGCTCCCAACGTCCAGGCCTTTGACAAGCGCTTCTTCTCGAGATCGGTCCTGCAACATCAACTCAAAGGTCCAAGTCGAAATCAGGCTCCCACATGTCTCCACCGTTTGTCTCAAAGACTCGTTCAGGAACGGCACTCACAGAGCGTGGAGGCAGGCTGCATCCCGCCTCCGCAGAGCGAAAAAATTCAGCGCGTCCTCCGCATCCTCCGCCTCCTGTTCAACCGCAAAGGCAAGATGCTCGAGCGAATCCATGTGAGAGACTTCACCAGCTGGCTGGGTACAAGCCCCACGTTGAATCCTCATGTTCCCTAAGTTTGCCCGTTCCGCAGACAGCTCGTTGCACAACAACTGTCATGCTTCAGGTGCTTCACAAGAACATGTTCCAGCTCCAGTGCACCCATTCTGCCTTTGTATACAGCAGCCATGAGCAGCAAAAGGATCCAGTGCGACCCTGGCTCGACATTGCTGGGTCTATGTGCTCTCGCTTCTGCCTTTAAAAAATGGTCAATGGTCAGTGAAATGTCCACCATGTTCCGCCCAATATGCCACTCTCAGCAGCCACCGGCCTTCCCACCTCTGCAATGGACCGCGGTGACGTTCTGCCTGGCTCTCACGCTCTCATGTCCAATGCACATCGGCAACAGACGCTATCTCTTGCACATCATGCTGGCGCACGCTATTGCAGAGTCGGCAAACTCCATTAATGCAGGCAAGCGAGCCTGCATTTGGCTGACCATGCCTATCATCCAGCAAATCCATCGCTGCCCTTGCGCTCGCTGCCACTCGCACTCAGCCCAACAGTCTCAGCCTGGGCCACTGCCAGGAATCGCCTCAAAGCACAGAAGTGCTTTCTGGGCTTCTGCTGATCTGAGCGCACAAGAAGCTTTGAAGTTTCAGAAGTGTCTACCCAGTTATCCAAGTTTATGTTTCTGCCATTTGGCCAGTCAAACTCTGGCATTCAGCAGGAGACTTCTGAAAGCACAGGGGGGCTCCGAGTGCGACAAGCTGTTGGTTCTCTCTAGAAGATGTAAGGGAAACAATGGTCCGTAAGGTTACTTTGAAGCCGTTTTTTTTGAAACGAGCGGGGAGAACGGAGGGGTCGCCTCCGTTTCAACCCTCACACTTCAGACTCGACACCACCTTGCCTGGCAAGAGTTTAGGCATCTATACACATGTATAGATCATGCAGTCCGAAAGAACATCCGAAAACATCCACAAGCATCTCCACGATAATCAGAGTTGGCAGCTTTCAGAGCCTATGCGAGGGCAAAATCCTGCCACAGGGCAGGAAAGGATGAGAAAGGAATCACACACAAATGTAGTGGGTCTGCTGGCAGCTTCTACAACGGACACTACCTGACGCGAAACCGCAAAGCAATTGCCCAAGTCTGCCGCAAGAGCTCAGCCAAGGGAGGTGGGCGATGGTCCTGCAACCATGCAACCACGCAGAGCACATGGCCGCGGTGTCTAGTTCACAATACACACATGAACAATATAATTCACTTCGGGCCACTGCGATTGTGCTTGGATTGGTGGCATTTAAGCATTTTAAGGCTTTGGGGGGCACCTTCATGGGATGGCAGTGGGCAGTGGCACACACGGGATCATCGAGGCCACCGCACGGATGTTTTGGGCGTGAATGCTAAAGATATCAGTCAGGTGGGCCTTGCAGGGATCGTTTGGAGTAGTGCAGAAGAGACTGTATCTGCGGGTGACTGCGGGTGAGCAAATCCGGGATCATCTGCAGGCGCTCCAGGCATTCTCTCCAGGCATTCTCGGAGGCAGGCTCTATACGGGGTTGTGGAAAGTGATCGTCTAGCTCGGAAGCAGCGTGTTTCGGGTGGTGAGGCCGCCATGCTGTAAAGAGCTGCTCCTTTGGCAGATTTTGCACTATCTCTCCAGGCAGTCTTTGGCCCGGGTGGTCCAAATACAGGCATTGGGGTCCGCCTCACCACATCTGATCTTTGCAGGTAGCGAGGGCAGCAGGATAACGAAGCCAGCAAAAAGAACTAGCATCAAATGCAGTGCGCACTGCCCGCCAGCAACACGCCAGCGTAATCACTCCCCCCTGTCTCACGGCCGGCCGCCAACCATACCAGCTCCACTTACACTCAGGCGCTGCGCTCGATATCACAGCACTCCCACCTGCGACATTCCCCGGCAAAGTTTTATGTGACACTGGGGGTACGGGATTCCTCCACCTCCATAGTCTCAAGAATGAACTTCCCATCGCCGTTTCTCGTTTGGAGCGTGGTCGCGGATTCAAAGGAGCATATGATGCCTTGCAGCATTCTACAGGCACAGGACACATCATCGTGCTTCAGAGACTACACGAGTCAATCACATGTCAGTTTGTACCATGCCTTTCGGACTGCAGACGTCATGGGGCAGGTCTCGACAGCATCAAAGATGGCGCAGAAGTCAGTCCATGACATCCAAAAACGACCTGCTAAGGGTTGTAAAGGGGGGTCGCTTCGTGTGTCTTTGGGTAAGTAGTTGACCTACTTCGTTAAAGTTCGATGGGTCTCGTTTTGCCAAGCTCCAAGCGGCTGGCTTACCGGGTCAGTAACTAGCTCAGGCATCGTCATTCCATTCGAGCAACTGCACAGGGAACGGCAACAGCGGCATTGACCCCGCATCACACTTTTTGGCCGACAGTGCTTCCTTCACCTCGTCTTGTGCACCCTCAGCCCTCAGCTTTGGAACTTGATGGAGTAACCTGGGCAATTTGACAGCTTGCTGGCCAAGTCATGTTCCACATGCCGAGCTGAAAGAGAAGATAACAAAAAGAATGAATGAAAGAAAAAGAGGGGCATGTCTATCGGTGTTCAACGGCTCAACACCTAGGAGTGGTCTGACCCAGGAGATAAGTCGCTCCCAGTGTCTGGGTCTTGCTCCATCTTGAAGTTGTCCGTAGACATTCCGAATTTCCTTAGCGCGCATCACAACGTGCTCGTGCCCTGAAAAGACGGCCAGCTATTGTGGCAAGCCACCCCAGGACAGTGTTTCCAAGCTCCTTCAGTTTGGACAGCATCTCATCCTTGTCCTTCTCAAACCTTGGCTTAATGGTGAGACTCTTCTGTAGCAGCTCAGGCACCAAGCGCAATATGCTCGCTCGCCACAGTACCGTGCAAAAGTAACAGCCTTCGTCAAGTGCGGTCTGACCCGTACGATGCAGCAACAGCCCTGAGCCGAAGACACGTGAATGAGTCAGGCATGGGCGCCTCCTACTTCAAACAATCAACATTGCCTCATTGATCTTCGAAGCGCTTCACCTACCTCCAGACTCCAGCCAAGCCTAGGCATGCTAGCACGGGCCTCTGACAGCAAACATGTTGTTGAGCCCTCCGACCCGTGCAGACCTCCCAGGCTTGGACTGCGGGCTTGCGTTTGCTGTCCGTGGTGCCTGGTCGTTCTCTGCCACTCGTGTCTGATTGCATTGCCTCCACTGCTCAAAACTGATGGTGGGCGGCAGCTGGTCCGCGTTCGAGCGACAATGTCAATGTTTTTGGCGGCCAATCCAAGTCGAAGGTTGTCGAGTGCATTTCCCCAAATCAGGTAGCGACCCTTGCTGCGAGTGCCCTGCAGGCGCCCTTTTGCGCAAGCGTCTGCTGCATCTGCTGTACAACGCCAAGGAACTGTTCCTGAGCTCTTTGCTCGAGCATGGCCATACGACGACTCTCCTTGCCAACTTGACTGCGAATGAGGTTCCATGAAGTACATTCAGTGGCATCTAGCCTGCCCTGGTCACACCTTACACTTCAGGAAATACGTTTGAAGCATCTCTTTAAGCCACCGAAGGGAGATACTCCATCACGACAGGCTGTGAGAAGCAGCACACAAGTCCTTGCCGCGAAGGCTTGGATCAAGCTCGATGGCCTGGAAGCACAAGTCGGCTCTCGAACTGAACAGCACCCCCCACCCGGCTGCTCCCTGTCCTTCTTCAGGTCCTCCAACGAGTCATGCCATTCTCAGCTTCCCGAGACTACCATAAACTTAAGTTCACGCCTGCAACAACGATGCATCGGTGCTGGCCAACAAGGACCATGGCTGTGAGGACACAAAGAAAACAAATCAAAGAAGAATCTGGTCCTGCAGCCCAGCGGCTCTTGAGCTCCTCGTGTGCCGTGCTACGGCGAGCATAGGCCTTGACATACCTGCCAAATCAGAGGCAAGGATACAGTAGCAAACTAGTGCAGCCCATCAGGGATTCTCCACATGGATGAACTGCTGTCTGCGGGCGTCGGGTCGAGCTGCACAGCTTCAGAGCAGTCCTAGGTCCACTGATTCTCGTCATACGACTGTCCATTGCCGAGGTACATAAAATTCAAGTCAAGGCCATGCCATGAGCTGACTCTGCTGACTTGCTGAACTCTAGTCGCATCCTTACCTCCACTGGTAGCTGCCCAGATTGAGCAAAGCACCTCTTATACCCTGCATTACCTTACCCTTATGTACTGGTGGGCCAGAACGCAACTTGCACACACAGGTTGTGTAGGCGGCTTCGGCGTTCAGGGCCGAGAGTAGTTGCGGCACGGGTGCTTTCACAGCATCATCCCAACGGCCGAGGCGTTGCAGGCAGGCAGCTCGGTTACAGTGCAACACGGCGCGGTCCTGTCAGTGAGGTTGACACGCGATGGGTCTCAGATGGTCTCTGTAACTTTCACGCAGTGCTCTCCCATTGTCCTTGCTGGACTCAGATTCAGCCTCGCCAGCAGGAGGACTCAAGTGCAAAGCCTCCGAGTACGCCTCGCGTGCTTCGTAGATTCGCCCAGCCTCACAGGGGTTTCAAAAGGCGCTCCGTACACAGCTTGCAGAGGACTGGTGCCACGGGCCGGTTTGTCATCAATGAAGAAGCAGAGCACCTTGAAGTGCTCATTGCCCTCGAGTCTGAGTTCTCGAGCTTTCACCGGATCTTCCACATCATCCTCCACTTGCAGTCCATCTGAAACCATGTCATCTTCGGACTGTCTCTCGCCCGAGTCATGGTTGTCAGCCGGAGCTGATCGGCCACTGACCTCCTGCAATCGTAAGCCAGCTTGGCACAGCAACCCAGCCCAAAAGCCATGCACACAGACTGAGTGAGAACAGGGAAGGTTCATGGTTCATGTATGCAACTGCCTGCGCACGTCTCGCAACCTCCTTCTCCACAAGGTCATCAACGGCTACTGCCTGCATCTGGCAGCGCAAGCTGCACCAAAGTGTACTCCTGCTAATCTGTCCCGTTCGTGCGCATGTCATCATCCCTGACTAGCCCAAGAAAGTCCCATTCAGCATCACACCATCAAAAGCCGCCTCTGATTGCACCTCTGCAGCATCTACCGGGACGGCTGCTTCGCCATTAAACACAGTCGCTGGGTCTGCAGGCACTTCAGGCTCTGCAGGCTTTGCAGGCACCGCTTCTCTGGTGCTCTCTTGGCAGGAAGGCTCGGACGGCTGGGCCGGCGGGGCCGGCTGGCCCTCTGCTGAAACCTGCAGCATTCATTCGGCTTCGCGCGGCTTCATGCAGCATCACGCAATTTATGCAGAACAAGCACGGGGGCCCCTGAAACTGCCTCAGCTGGCGCAGCTGCGGTTGAAAGTTCTTCAGCCGACTCCACTTCCACCTCGGGACGAAGAGGCTGGGGCTTGTTGTGAACTGCCAGTATCAAACGTTGCAAAGTACACGATAACTCCATGTGGTGCACGGATCCACTCAATTCGGTTTACCATCTTCTCTAAAAGGCCCACAGTTCACATGAACCCAGGCACCTCGTCCAATTCACGTCGGAATTGTGGCACCCGCAGCACGACAAACCTTTGATGTTCTGAGTAATCCGTTTCGTGGGGTTTTGTTCCCTGCTTCTGACTGCTCTGGGCAAGGCATTCACATTCAACTCGAGCCAAGGTGTCAAGTACTTATCAAGTAGAGTTGAATCCCGAAGGTGGACATTCCGAATTCCCCCTTCGTCGGCAGCACAACGCCTCACGAAGCTTCAACAACCATCGGTCAGAGCCATCGAAGGTTCAAGACCTGACCATCCCAAACAAGAATGAACTTCTCCAAGAGTCCACAGGTAGAGGGCCGCCAGCACCAGCGCCACAAAGCTGGGAGCAGCCCAACCCAGGCTGAATCTGCACATCATTTAGCAGGTGCGCGCGCTTCGAATAGCAAGAAGCAATAGATTGGGCAGCTACGAATCAGAGCCCACCTGTGCGCGAGAAGCCAAGCTACGAAGCAAACGGCTGCTCCCAGCCAGCTGCGGAAGCTCGCCATGAAAGTGGCTTAAGCTGCGAAGCATGAAGATTGTGGAAGCTGGGTTTAGGGTCCTAGAGCATGGGTCTAAAAGACTTCCTAGTTTGTTGGGGTACGGAAAAACATGAGCACGCCTTCTAAGTCACGAATGCCAGGTCCCTTTTTGTTGAGCGAGATGATGAATACTAGTCG